AAAAACTTTGACAGTTGCAAATTATTTTTATAAATCCGACATACTAGTATACTAAGATTTTTGATTTGATCTGGCTTTCGTAGATTGTATACATTTCAAATTTTGTCAAAAATATATAGTAATTTCTTTTATCAAATTGCTAATTTGTTTTATCAAATTAATAATTTGTTATAACAAATTTGTTTGCGAGATGGAAAGGTATAATACACAATAAGAGTACACTTAGCGATGTACGTGATTTAGCGCATTCAGACCTCCGCCACTGTCAAATGTAATACGATTATACAACCTTTGCAGCTAAGTTTTTAATTAAAGTTTAATGTCCAGTTTACTGGGTTTTTTTTTTTAATATTATTAGTTCCTTCTTTTATTTCCCTGAATTCTAAAACACAAGAGTCATTAAAATGTGAAGATGTATTTCCTTTATTACATTCAGACTCAAAATGAAATCCCAAACACTAAATTGGTACATTTTCACTACTTGATTCCGACACGATAATGTTTACTATTAGAGCCAATGTGGTCCCAAATATGCAGGGACGTAGCAACAGGGGGGGGGGCTGCCCCCCCCCCCCCCACTTTTTTCTCTCCAATATTACCTTTACTATAGTAAATTTTTATTGAAAGGATGGTTGGTCCCACACTTTTTACCATAGTATAGTGATATCAGGGAATTGTAAGGAAAAAAAATTGGAAGTAGCTTTGATAAAGTTAGCCCCCCCCCCCACACACACACACACACACGCACGAAATAGGATTTTCGAGTTTGGGCAACTTTTAATTTTCCGTTCCTTTTTTTTTTGCTTGTCAACTTTTTCAAGTTAATAAACAAATAATTTCTCTGGTTGCCCCCCCCTCCCCCCCACTTTCAAAAACGATGCTACGTGCCTGATACGTCATAAAAGTGAAGATTGTTGGAAATATTTAGCAAGCGAGATAACTTTATCTCTCAACATGGTAGTCTCCAGCAGCCAGTTCACATATAACTTTGGTGTCATATTACTTTATAATCAAATAAAAACAAATAGCAGTATTGATCAGGTAAAATTCATTAATGCACGATCATTCAAAGAATAAAATATCAAAAATTTCATCTAGACCCGACGTTTCCTTTAAATTACGTAACACGTACCTTTTAAAAAATTTCCGGGACGAACAAAGAACCGCTTCGATCGTTTTGCATCGGGGCACTTTTATACTATATGCAGGCAATACAAAATAGGACAAACAATTCTGGAATGACTTTACCAACATTGTAATGTCGGTTACAGTCATTCAGTTCTGTAAGTATTGTGATGTATGTAACAACTGGGCACAATATTTTTGTAAAGATTGCCAACTAATTCTCTGTGAACGATGTGTTCCAAAGCATTTGATCTTCTATCGGTGCCATGGTCATGATGTGGTGAGATATCGAGACAAAACGACGAACAATTCCAGCATTCCCACGTGTTCTTTACATTCCTTAAAAGCCGAATTTTTCTGTAAAACTTGCAGTGTTTATGCATGTCGAAAAAGCTTTGTGCTTCACACTTTTCATGATGTTGTAGACTTCAGAGAAAAAATTGATAGACTTTTTGCTAATGGAGTATTGCTACGGAGTAAAGTTATACCAATGATTGACAATCTTTTGAAGCAAGTAAATGACTTTTTAATGCAGAACAGTATGGTGTTTGAACAAATGAGATTTGAATTAGAAAATTGGCTTACCAATTGTTCGACTTTAATTGTGAAGTGCAAGAGAAATGGAAATTCGACGACGGTGAAGGGCATAGGAGGTAAAGATTTAATGGCACTAATGCTTAAAAAGGTAATTGAAGATAGGAAAATATTTCATATTCAAAAAATACGCTTGGAGAATTGTCGACGTTTTGTTTGTGATATTATAGAAGATATTGGAGAAAATCTATGTAATCCAATTTCTCTCAGAGATTTACGCTCTCCATTTTTGCACGATTTGCAAAGTGCTCTTGAAGTAAAAATAACATTTCCTCAAATTCCAGTTTTTCAAATCGAGCACTCCAAAGATACAGATAATGAAGTCATGCTGACGTACAATCGGAAACGTCATCAAACAGTTTACGTCAAAGCTGTATTCGAGGATAAAAAATTCGTCATGTTATCAATTTACCTTCATCGAAAACGACTTTCTAGTATAACCTGTGCTGAAAATACCTTTGCCTGGATATGTGGACCGGACCATCCGACGGTTTACAAAATTGATCTTCAAGGAACGGTTTTAAAAAAGATACCATTAAATCTTCATGCCATCTATATATGTGCTAGTGTAAATGAAATATTTTACAGTGATTACACCGACAACACTATTAAGGTATTATCAGTCAGTGACGATCTGGTGTATAAAGACAGAATCATTTGTACTAACGACCAGAATTGGTGCCCTATGTCCTTGACCATCTCTCGTACTCCCCCAAAAGATAAAGTCATTCTGGTCTGTGAATATAATGCATTCCTTGATCATGGAAGAGTGTGTAAATATAACACCAAAAACAATGAAATTTTGTTATTAATCGAATACACGGACTGCTTCTCAACGATTCCTTTGTACAGTAGTGTTTGGTCTGTTACAGAGAATACAAATGGCGATATTTGGGTGGTGGATGGCAAAAAGTATTCCGTAATTGTAGTGAACGAGTGTGGATATTTTTTGAATGTTTACGAAGGTCAACAAAGCGACTTCGTGTTCATTCCCTGGGGCATAACGCACAACAGCTTTGGGCAAATTCTCATTTCAGATCATTACAATTTCAGAGTGCATATTTTAGACTTGAGAGGAAACTTTATCAAGTTTTTATACTTACATTATACTGACCTTCCGACGGGAATTTCCTGTGGTCCAGATAATAAATTATGGATTGTTGGAGACAATGGAAAAGTTAATATTTTTGTTTACAAATAAATTTCAACTTTGCATTATTCTTCTCTTTTTTTCAACTTGTTTGTAAAATAAAGATACTAGTACTAATGTTATTCAAACACTTTTATGCCGAGTTAACAGGCACGTAGCATCCTTTTTGAAAATGGAGGCCAACCAGAGAATTTTTTTTACTTACCTGAAAAGAAAAGTTGACAAGCAAAAAAAAAAAATAAAAAAAATTTAAAATTGCCCAAACTCGAAAATCCTATTAAGGGGGGGGGGGGGCAACAAGTGGGGGGGGGGGGGAGTCAACCAACCTTTAAATAGACATTTTCTATAGTAAAGGTAATGTTGGGGGAAAAAAGTGGGGGGACAGCCCCCCCCCCCTGTTGCTACGTCCCTGGTTAATGCAATAAAAGCAGCTTTTATTTTACATTAAAAGAAGCACAGCAATGCCTAATGCCAAGTCATTAGCTCTACTGGTCATGCAGTGGAAGAGTACCTGTCTGTCTGTCTGTGAACAATTTTGTTTCGAGACTACTCCTCCTACAATGTTGGCCCAATTTGATCACATTTAGTACACATTTAAGGACCCTCACTACATCAGTACAAAATGTTTTTGAACATTGAGAAAAATATATATGATTAAAGGTGTTAACGATTGAGTTTCTCAGTATATGGTACGTGGCATTTACCACAAGGAAAAATATTCAAACACAGTATCAGTACAGTGAAGAATTTTAAAAATCGTGTACAAATCCTCTTGCCTATTACAACTTTATACTGTTTGCCTATAAGATGTCCAAGAGCAAAAGATCTTCAAAGATTCTATAGAAAACAGAGTTCCACCTTGATCATTACAAGTATGAAAAATAAGTTTAAAAACTAGGATGTTCTCCTACATGTATATTATGAATAGATTTTAGTCTATCTAATTGATATGTCAACAGTTAATGGACCCCTTATTGATAACTTACAACATGTATCTGTCTTTCAACCCATCCATTCGATAACTAGCTGATAACCAAAAGGGTCTAGCGCTAAACAAGATGGCAGTTAGAGTCTGTCTTCAGTTCATAACAGTTTCCGAATTTTACTACAAAAAAAAAACTTGTTAATGCAAGAATCCCAGACCCAAAGGCCATGGATTTGAAACTTTTGGAATCCCCTTCTTAACGTCATGAACTCCGTTTCAGAGCAGCACGTTTGCTCATTATAGCCATACACTTAGTGTATCTGCTAAATGTTCACAAATAGAGATTTTCAAAGAATTCTGTGATCAATAGAGCTTTACATGACACCCATACCTCTGGTCCATAATTTTAGAAGATAAATATTCTTCATTATAACCACATAGTTTGCTCAGGAGCATACAAGAAATGTTCTTTCATTAATTTCTTATGTTTGGCCTGTTCGTCTGTCTGTCTGCCAGTTTTTTTCCGAAAAAAAACTTTATCATTGCTCATAACTTTTGATTCGTTGGAGCTATGGCTTTCAAATTTCACGTGTATTTCTTGTGGCAAGATCTCCCTTTAGGTACCAACATATTAGACTTATGACCTTAGAGTTTCTTCTACGTTTGCCATAACCTTTGAACAGTTGGTGCTAAGAGGAGAGAAAAATTTCTCCAAGATATAATGCATTTGCAACATATGATGAATTAAGCACTATCCTAAAACTATGAAACCCTGATCCTGGGGCCATGAATTTCTCAATTTCAGTACAAATAATATGGAGATAACAAACAGTATTCAAGCTCCAAAGTTCATTCAAACAGTAATAATCAGGAGCAGAGCAAATACTAGTACTCAGAGATGGGATCAGGTGCCACGGAGGAGAAAGCATCTCCTGTTGACGTGTCAGACCCACATATGTGCTCCTTGTCATGATCAGATAAACAGAAAGTCCAAAACATAATTCAGTGTGAAAATAATGATCTAACAGTTAGTATGATTTTTTTTTTCAGTCAGCATTTGACATGATAAATTGTACTTTGTACAATAGAAAGTTCAAATCAACAACAGAACTTGCAAAATGGGGGAATGGAAGATTCAGAGACCATGAAAATCCCTACTACCCAAAGATGTCAGTGTATTTACAAAGAAATTTTCTTGAATAACAATGAATCTTTGCAATTATTTTATTTCGAATTTTGTTGCATAAACTTGCAATATACATTAGACAAGGAGACAAATCAAATGTCCAATTATTTAAAACAATGTATTGCACAATGTTTTTACTGACAGCTCACATATTATATTTCCCATTAGTTTTCACACAGACAAACTACACTCTCATAAGTTAATTACCACACATTCCAAGTCATCGACTTAATCATATAATTTTTTCAATCATAACATGCTCGTCCAACATTTCCATTATCAATTATGCACTGTTTTGAAGCTCAACACTATAAAATATAATCCATTTATCCTAAACTACGTACATATTTAGTTAACTTGCAGCATCCCCCATCCCCACTTTTATGTTTGATAATTGATGTAAATCTGGGAAATTCTCTGTGTATACAACATATTAAGCATATTTGGCACAAAATACAACTACCTTCTCAGCTGAGAGAGACCAGTGTTACAAGTAATGAAGTATTTCCCTACACTAGAATTAAACATAAAACCTTAGAACACAACCTACATGTACAAACTAGTGATGGATATTATGCTTTTCTGATTTTCAGACATAAAATGTTACAATTTTTTTAATACTGAGCTTTCACTTCAATTTCTAGACCGGAAAAGTTTTTTATTATTAATATCTGTACAAAATACTCAAGAAAAAAAATGAAATGTGTGAAAATGAGAGCACACACATTGTATGTACTTTACAAAGTACAATTCAAAAACTGTACAACTTAGAAAGAGCTTTTTACTACAAAATTGTAAATAAATAATCTGTATAAATGTAAATTTTATACCACAACTTCATAAGTACAAACCATTATGAAAGAGTCAAAGCACTGTTAAAAATTATTTTGACAAACAAAATGACTCAAATCTCATAATTTCATCAAAGAACACAATAAAGATATTCTTCAAAATGCATGATCAGTACTACATTTTTAAATATTCAATACATAATCTTGATGATTCACAACACTTTCCAAAAATGTTTGAATGAAAAAATCTTATATCAGATTTAATTATCCTTCATATTTGATACAAATATTCCACAAAAACACATTTTTGTAAAAAAAAAAAAATGGCATCTTACATATGCCTCATGATATTTTTTTTATTTAGACCCAAAAATTTCTGGTTATAAAACTGTATAAAAGCAAGCACTGTTTATAAGAAATATTGGTCCTCATACAACCCTTATCCAGCACAATGTATAAAACACATATCTTTCTATCCTTTTCCTCAATAAATTCTTAAGCTTGTGTCATACTCAATTCTTACAAAATCCGACACAATCTAAAACTAACAATATTGCATTTGTCATTTTTAAGTCAAACAAAAAAAAATTTTTTTTCAAGCAGAATTGAGTAATTCTCCATTTCATAATCTAATTATTATATAGTATATATCATTTTCTACTAAGATACATATTTATCACAATGAGCTGTACCACTATTTCCTGATAATTTACGTAGGTGCTTCTTCCCATAGAAGGTTGTTGTTTTTGAAGACTTTTTTGATTGTAGATTGTAGCTTTCTCCTGGCTTTCTGTTCCTCTTCTAAATCTCTCTTCATCCTCTTGTGTTCCTGTAATATGCCATATGTATCAACTGAAGAAAACTCAGAAAAGACAACAATGAAACAAAACCTCTCTTAACCAATACACACAGGTCATTAGTTATATATAAAGTGACCTATAAGTGGCTGACAATTCTTTGACATATCGTATAAGTGGAAATTTTAGCGAGACGCAAATTTAGCGATTTCTCCTTAAAAACTGGTATTTTATTTTTAGCGAGAAATAATTTTAGTGATTTTAAAATGCTCACTTGAGAAGCTAATACAAATAACACGCAATTTATTTTTAGCGATACTAAATTTTAGCGATCTCAACAGCCTCGCTAATAATGCCAAAATTACATCCTCGCTAAAATTTCTACTTATACGGTATGACTGATTTATTTTTGGTTGACACAAGATGATATCTCATCAGCTGGCATAGCATAAGCTAAAATATCAGTCAACATATCATTGACTGACATAGCATTGACTGAAATATAATTGGCTAACATATCAACAACTGACCATCGTTTGCTGGCATATCTGTTAATGGACTGACATATCAATGGTTGAAATTTCATTGACTGACCTATCATATGATATGAAAGATCTTTTGATGACATGACATGTCATACACTTATCTATTTAGATGACATCATTAAATCATTGACATATCATCAGACGACATGTCTTCGGTGTTAACATATCATTAAAGTACTCACCTGTTCTAGAGTTCTAACTTGGTCCTTTAAAGAATAAACTGTGTCCACCAATGTCCTAAACAAGAAAATAATCAACTTTAACTGCACGCTAATGACAAAATACAGATTGCTCAATCAAAAATTCAAGAAATATTGCAATTGCAAGGGTTTATAGCTTATACTGATCTAATCAATTTTTTTCCTGAAAAAAGAGGGGTTACACATCCCACTTGGTATTATGCTATGGTTTTGCATGACATTTTGCATACCAATTTGACTTATATAGTAGGTTTTGGGAAAACAGGGAACTTCACACATTATTCTGTTTATAAATTATACTTTATATTACATGTACAGTGTACTCACTTTTCCTGAAGGTTGGAGGGGTATTTTTACATTATTCTATTTATAAATTTTAAGTGTACTCACTTTTCCTGAAGGTTGGAGGGGTATTTTCACATTATTTATTTTTGGATTTTAAGTGTACTCACTTTTCCTGAAGGTTGGAGGGATCCCCATCGTCTATAATTATCTTCTCTTCCTCTGGCATCAGGACGTGGGGGCAGGTCACGAAAGCTGTATACAACATCAAAAACAGGAAATCACAAACTAAATCACCACTCAAAGCCAGCATGCACAGAAATGACTGCTAGTCTAAGCACATAATGTTGTCATCTTGAACTTATCAAATATCAGAGGACAGAGGACTTGTAACATGGTTAATTTTCAGTAAACTTTCCCACGGTTGTTTAATGTACTTACTAAATTTTACAGACATTTAGGTTGAAGATTTTAATTTTTAAGCTAAACTTTCAGAATCTTCAGAATGCCATCCCCCCCCCTCCCTTGACAAGGACAAAAATATAAATGTTAATGCGATTCTCTACATAAAACAAGCTCTATCAAGCATAGAGCAATTGCACTCTCAAAGATGCAAATGAAAGAGCAGGTCTGAAAATGTTTTTATTCATAATCTTAAGAATTGAAAACTGTAATTATGAATTTCTGTTCAGACAAGAGATTCCACCCCAAGACTGACTGATACAGTACTTACCAAAATTCTAATAAACAAGGTCAAGTTTCTACGACACAAGCATAATATCAACAAAGCTAACAACATCCATATAAGCAAGATGATTTGAATAATAAATTAAGAATAAACAAAATAAAACAAGCTGGCAAATAAAGAGAGCATTTTCCCCATTTCTAAAGATTAAAAGTTACATGTACCGGTAATTGCAAAATGATATATTCATTGCAAAAATATAACCTGACAAATAATTCTGATCATACCAGGGATGCATATAACTATAACTATATACATGTACTGTAAAAAGGGAAATTGTCTCCCCATTGTCCCTTTTCATCCTTGTAATGAGTGGGCATATTCTGAACAAATTTACCAGCAAAAGAGTTGAATTAGGACTTAGCGAATTTAAAAGGAGTGATTTCAAAATTGGAAAAAGATGAAGATATCAAACAATGATCAATATCATAAATCCAGTCAAAAAGTGGAATTAAAAACAAGTCGAAAACATGAAACATCAGAGGTGGGATCAGGTGCCCAGTGGGAGTGAGCATCTCCTGTTGATCAGTCACACCACTGTGAGTCCTATTGATTAGGTAGTCAAATGTAGCATAAAAACAATGAGATAACAAATAGTATGGGACATGCAGACAAAATACAACCATCTGCAAGTATAAGGAGATAACATTCCTAGATACAGTGGGGGAAAACAAAACAAACATAACACACAGTTAATGTAAAATCAAAAAAATAATCATAAATGTCCAAAATTAAAGAATAAAACAAAATTAAAATCATGCAATTTATGAATTACAAGTAATATCACATTTCTTTTTTATTACTGTGCTTTTATTAAATAAATTGAATAAACATTATTATTATCCTTCAGAATTATACAGTCAATCTGACTGGTTTAGAGCAGGTCACGTGCAGGGAGACAACTCGTGATGTCTCCCTCACGCGCAGGGAGACAACTGTTATCTCCCTTCAGATGACAATGAAATAGCGTAAGCGATCATGCAGGGTTACAACTGTGTTGTCGCTCTTTGAATAGAACTACTGTGGTTTAAGCGAGATAACTCCTACATTGTATTTACAAGTACAATGGCTAAATATGCGGGATCGGTAAACAAGAAATTCTAACGATGACGTCAAAGTTGTCTGTTGACATATTTTGAAAGTATGGAATCGGAGCAGAGTAGAAGAAATTAAGAGGTTTGATTACTATTTTCTACTCTATCTGTATCTGTATATATACGTCGAAGTGACCAATACTGGCTTTTCTACGACGGTGAGAGAGCGCGTGTCGGACTTATTGACACAAGCTGTCGAGGGCGGTCTTGAAGGCCTCGACAGTCTTAGCGCAAACTATATTGAGGACAATAATTATATTCCATTTGATGACTGTGTCCACAAAGAATGATGAGCGGTATTGGTTAGTTCTCATAGATGTTGTTTCGAGACACTTGCTGTTATTTTTGACTTGAGATGAAAGAATGTTTGTATTTTCACAATTATCGAATGTTTTTAATTTGATTTGGCGTCTAGGCTTAGCTTTTTGAATGAAATTGTGAGTTGGTAGCCCTGGCACCAACCCCTCAACCACCTTATAGAGCATAATGAGTCGCAAGCTGGTCCTTCTATGCTGGAGCGGTTGTAAGTCCAGTTCCTTGGCCTTGGTGGTGATGAAGCCCTCTTCCCTGTTGTGGTAGTCTCGTTTTATGAAACGGATGGCTTTGCGTTGGACACGTTCGAGCTTATCTACGTCCTGTTTTTGAAATGGGTCCCAGACTATTGATCCATATTCAAGTGTTGATCGCACCATGGAGACGTAGGCTGTTTTCCTGCAGTTTTCTGTACAGTGTGATAAGTTTCGTCGGAGAAATCCTAATGTTGAATGAGCTTTTTTAGTAATCTTGTTGATGTGAGTTGACCACTTTAAGTCTGATGAAATTTGGAGTCCAAGATAGGGGTTATTTTCAACCTCTTCCAGCACGTGATTGTCCAGTGTAATGTATAGAATTTGCTGGTTTTTTGGCGTATGCTCATGATGTAGCATTTTTTGGCGTTGAAACGCATACTCTATCTAATTAATAATTGTATTTATTCTTCAGGATAATAAAACTATTATGGACTGTTTAGAAGGGAGACATCACCAGTTATCAGGTCTGAGTAGGGTTGTCACCCTCGGGCGCAAGCGCCCTCGGGTGACAACCCTACTCAGACCTGATAATTGGTGATGTCTCCCTTCTAAACAGTCCATAATTGTATATTATTACCAGCTAAACACTTGTAATTAATTACCAAAAGTAACATCATTTCACAAAATACATCCAGGTTTTATTCATTACAAAACAGCTGATTTTCTTTTTAATTTTTTTCAGCTCGGAATAGTTATACTTAAATCATACAGTGTACTTAAATATGTTATCATACTTAAATCACAAGAGTTCAAGGCAAGTTAATACACAACTTCTATCTAGGAGTTAGTTTTCAACAAGCTGTAACAAGATCTTAAATTCACTGTCTCAGTGAAAATATAAAGTTAAAACTCACTGACTCTGTTGAAATACCAACCAATATCTCACTGACCAGTGAAGATAGTCGTATCTCACTGAGTCAGAGGAATTACAGAGTTACATGTGGAAATATAGTTACATCTCATGCTATATTTAACTCATTGTTTATTGTATTATCACATCAAGTTTGTATCTGCAATCGGCATGCTGTTAATTAAACACAACCAAGTGATAGTCACCTTCAGGAAATGGGGCATTAAAAGATAGGGGGACTGGGAGGGGATTATTTTATATTGACATCTTCAAGCTGATGTATATCATGAACTCTATGAAATAAGTAAACATGTATGTAATGCTCTTGAAGGTGGATGCTTCAGAATATTCAGGTGTAAAGGTTATTCAAGGTCATCAATAATTTGCAGCTTTATTGTCCCCCGCTTTCACGAAAGCGAAGGGACATTAAATCTCATTTGTCTGTCAGTCTGTCTGTCCGTCATAAAAACTTTAACCTTGCTCATAACTTTTGATTTAGTGGAGCTATCACCGGTTCTCAATATAAGGGCACAAATGCCTCTCTGATTTTTTAAAAAATGAAGTTCAAGCTAACAATTTTTCTATCAATTACCTTTGAAAAAAAGTATCTGAAGATTTTGTTTCCAGATTTTTTTTCATCAAATTATAATACATGGGATAATGACAAGACGATGAAGTGGAGTGTGATTTTATTTAGAAATGTAGCTTGAAATGTACGTTACTCTTTCTTCAATGTCCAAAAAGATATGTAAAAAAAATGTAGTCATTCAAATCACAATTGGAATATCTCATCTTAACACCAGCACATCCTACCAACTCTGTCAGCAACATATTTTCTCGGTATACGAACGTGCGTTTGATTTTTCCTTTCAAAAAACAAAGGTTACTTTTTGATCCAGATGTATAAAAACATTTTTTAAATATATGCTTTAAATTTCTCTCTCTGTTTTGTTTAGAGCGATCAGTTTGGAATCTTGTCATTTTCTATAGATACTGGAACCTAACATGTACATGTAGTAAAATTCTATTTTGTAGTTACTGTCTTTTTTAACATATATCCATGCTGATTTAGAAAACTACGTAAATGTAACGTACATTTCAAGATATATTTCTGTTAAATAAAAAGCTTAAAATTCATCTACAAAATTCATCGTTTTGTTTCAGTTTATTCCAAAAAGATTCACTATGTAATCACATTGTGTTATATGTCACAATCACCACTATAAAGACACGATTGCCTCAGAATATGAGTAGGTAACGTACATTTCAAGCTTGTAATAATATGTAAACTAGTAATAAGAAAATATTGAGAAAAAAGCAATTATTGACATAAAAATCATTTCAATGAAGTGTTTTAAGGCAGTTATATAAGAAATCATAATGTAACAAACGAGGTTATTTGTCATCAACTACATGAATGTCACGTCACTTCGGTAACGTTCATTTCACATATTATTGGGGAGTCCCCTCCACCTCAATTCATTACCATTCTTTTGTGCTGTTTCGCTGAAATTGACACCGGTTGTAGCCTAGTTACTTCTACCTATGTGCAAGGGTACAGACAAAAAATATAAGAGTCAGACATATTTTGCTTTGATCTAACAAATGCTCGTGTTTGGCCATTGAAACTTAACATAAATTTATTCCGAATATATCCATCGACAGTTTGTTCACAATTTCATTTAGTTTGTTGCAACATCGTTTTTCAAATCACAAACATACGTGCTTTTCAGCAGATCTGGAAATATATGACCCAAAATGCAATGATTCGAACAAAACTGAGTATTGTGTGCCTTTCAGTATTTGAAATATAAGTGACCGTCTTGTGTTCTGGGTTTATTTGTTTTGTTTCTTTTTTGTTTGTTTGGTTTTTTTTTTACCAATTATAAGCCTATGCATACCTTGTTTTAAATTATCAACAACAATTAAATTAATATTGACGAAAAGTCGCATATTAAAAGTAAACAAACTGCAAAAAGGTTGCCAAAGATGAATTTAAAACACTTAGAAATAAATTTTCTAGCATGTGGTAACAGTCTTAAACATTTACGAGGATTGGGGGTGCATTTAGATGGATTTATGTGGCCAGTTGTCAAATGGATTGTAACGATAATTTTGTTTCGCTCGTGTAAACGCAATTCATTAACTAAATTAAAAAAAATGTCAGTTAGAAATACGTAAAATGTACGTTACCATAAGTAACGTACATTTCAAATATAAAAATAAATTCTCTTCCACAAGCGTACGTTAGACACGCAATATATTGATACCATTTGAACTTGCATATCATAAGAAATGCATCAAACAGGTTTCGTATTCAGAAATATATAACAGGTATCAGAATTATATTACATATAATTGACCTTAATATATTTTTTTTCCTAAGCAGAAACGTTTCTTTTCATTAATTTTGGGATTTAGCCGACCTCCAACCTTTGAAACTATCCTTTGTGTACACATTCGAGTGTGTGAAAGTATGAGAATACATGAAAATTGGTGCGAGATTCACTTAATTCGAATTTCATGGTAACGTACATTTCAGTAACGTACATTTCAAATGATCACTTTTCATGTAAAAAATAATTTTTTATTGTGTTAAGCAAAACGTCTTTGCCAGTTTACAGGATACAAGGGGTTGCTTATTCAGAGTCGTCTCATATTTTCTACTTAATATATATTCTTAATGGAAAAATATAGGTAACGTACATTTCTTTCTTATCTCTACGATTGAAAATGTCTTTCATTCCGTAAACATATTTATAAAAGTTACTCAAATTGTTCAATTTCATGTTACATTATCTAAGTAGGAGTAATTAATCCTTTGAAATTTCAAATTTAGCCCATCAATAAATAAAGGAGAACAAAACTATCAGGTGTATAATCTTTGTGTTTGCTTGTAATGTGGTTGAAATAGAATTAAGCGACAGGGACATTGCACAATAAAAATTATTTATTATCACAAAGAAAATGTATTTATTGTTATGAAAAGAAATATATATGATACAAGGTTTAACTTATCAGAAAATTTTTACTTGAGAATCAAAACTTATATATATTACACAGAGGGGATTCAGAATAATATTTGCCTCGGCGACAGTAACGTACATTTCAAATAGGCTACTACATTTGAATTTGGAACTCCTTAAATACCCTTTCAGATCGATAATTATATGAATTCTTATTTATTGTTATATGACTATTTATAATGTTGATTTAAAAATTACATCAGTGGTATTTCTTTTAAATGAAAATGAGGCGACATTATTTGAGCCCTTATATTGAGAATGGGTGTATGACTTTCATATTTCACATGTGTATTTCTAGTGACAAGACCTTTCTTTGGGTACCACCAAATTTGACCTTTTGACCTTGACCTTGGAGTTTGACCTACTTTTACTCAAAAATTCCAAACTTTTACTTTGGCCATAACTTTTGAACGGTAGACACTAGGACTTTCATATTTCAAATATGTATTCTTTGTGGCAAGACCTCTCATTGGATACCAACAACTCTGACCTTTTGACCTTGACCTTGGAGATTTCCATACTTATGAAAAAACTTTAACCTTGGCCACAACTTTTGAATGGTAAGGGCTAGGGCTTTCATACTTCACATATGTAATGATTGTGAGGAGACATTTCATTGGATACCAAGAACTTTGACCTTTTGACCTTGACGTTTGACTTTCTTTTTTCAAAAACTTTAACTTGGCCATAACTTTTGAACGGTTTGGGCAAGGGCTTTCATACTTCACGTATGTAATACTTGTGGCAAGACTTTTCTTAAGAAACTACCAATGTATATAATCTATTTTGTCATATGGGGTCATCATGTTCACTTCCTTATAACTTTTGATTGAGAAGAGATAGAGCTTTTATATCTGACATGTGCATTACCTTTGACAAGATTTGACACAATATGTTATAAAAAATGACATCCCACCCACAAAGACACCGAAAGCGGGGGACCACAATTCTTTGAATTTGCTTGTTTGACCAGTATTATTGATGCATCCTTATGTCTGAAACTCGGGGCCATTAAAATATTGACAGAAGTAATAGTGCTCACACTAAATAAATTACTGTTTTGGCCAGTATGAAAATTTATGTAGACAGAGAGTTTTTAAAAATCAATTAATTATGACAGTTTATTCATAAGCCTTAAGGCATACACATAAAGGGGAGTGGGGATCCATATTTTTGTCCCTTTTCACTGATACATGGGATCATATATGAACATTTCTTGAAATTGCTTTAGTCAAAAACATGTTAAGAAGTTTTTGGTAAGCAAGATGGATGGGGACTTGAAGCAATAGGTAACATGACTCTGTTGGCTTAATGAAGTGGACGAGGGGGTGAGATTACAGGTAACATGACTCTGTCGACATAATGCAGTGGAGGAGGGGGTGAGATTACAGGTGACATCACTTGGGAACAACAAACGTCAGCATTCCCAGAATACCTTGGATGCCGACGTCGCGTCGGATAACGTTAGGTGTGCCTGTACCCTCGGACTGTAATGGTTTCACAATGTTTACGGATTCTTTAGGCAGGGCTGCTTTCCAAAGAAAAGAATTTTTATAGATGATTTAGGCTCACAAATCAGTAAGTGTAGTGACATATCCATTGTTTCTTCATTGTATTTCATATATACAAAAAAAAACATTTTTAAACATCAAATTTATAGCCATAATAAATTAACTATCAAATGATCAAGAAATCAAACTGAAACATTTTGAATGAAGACAGAAAATGTAATGGGATACAAACAAATGAAATACTTTAAAATAACATCAAATTTCACACAAACCATGCAAAATTTTTAATCAAATAGTTCTACTGTCATAAAATCATAGAACTTAGCCACAGCTATGTAAATACACTATATACTCAACAAAATACTTTTTCAATTACGTAAAAGGGGAATAAAATAGACATAAATGGAAACAGAACACAGAAGGCTAGGTTATCCCCCCTGGGGGGGGGTCACATCAGATTTGGAGTTACCTTGGACGGCAATGTCCGCTTTCTTCACACTTTCATTAATGGTACCAAGATTAGGGTTAGGAAGGGGTCTCACCAACGTAAATTTTTCTTTAGCAATAGCTACAACAGACATACAAATGACCATTCATAAAGCCACTTCACTAGGCGTACAGCTGGACAAAAAGTTTTATAACACAAAGGTTAATGTACATAGAGTCTGATGTTATGACGTGACCTCCATTATGGATGTGCATAACTGTGGAAAAAATCTTTCCTTCAAATCAAATGCAAGTATCTCTTATATCAAAATAGCTGGCAAATATATATATGGCACAATTTTAATTTTCAATACAAGGACTGTAACTCTGGTAGGAGTAAACTTTAGGATTACAAATTGTCTCCCCTGATGGCAGAGTTTGATATATCTGTGAGTGACATGCTTATAATTTATAATTTACAAAGGTCAGAATTGTTCATTCACAGAACTAGAGTCGTTTAATTGTGCGAGCCAGTCCCTTTGCTATAGGGAATGAAGCACAACAGAACCCCCCTATCATGCCCTGGTGTCCATGCACAAAGCGATACTCCTCCGATTCAGGGGAGATAATAGTATCACCGTAACCTTCCACGGTTCCCTCCGCACTCAGACGTAGCTTCTTAAGGTCCACTACCAGAGCAGCATTGATAAAAACAAAAACTAGAATTACTTCCTACAGCCAATTAATTAATAACAGTGTTAATTATCTACAACATTGGCAACTCTTACACAAATGTTTTACAAAAGATATTTAAGTTATCTACAACATTGAAAGCATACCTTATAAATTCTTAACTGATAAAAAATGTGTTACATATTTTCTGCTCTCAACTTTACTAAAGCTTTAAGAAATGTAGAATAAAAGGTACACAACATGTAAAAATCCTATGCATAAATCATGCATAAAAAATCAGAGAAGATCTGTATTATTTTATTTTTTTAGGTTCCCCATATGTGATAAACAGTGAAGCCCCACCCCACAGTGCTTGCTCATTTTTTTTATGAATGTTTTCTTAAAAAAGTTATGTTGATTTTTTACCAATATTGACCGGTTCTGCAGTATGACATTTTTATAATTTCAATTTGTATTAAAAATAATCTTTCAGACTAGCGTGAAGGTTAATCTTGTTGATAAGGAAAACAAACAAATTGAAATAATCTTCTCTAGCTACTTCTATACAGATAAATCTCTGAAAATTCTGTTTTGTCAAATTATTTAAATAACAGATACTACTAACACATGCATTTAATAAAAAAATGTCAGTTGATCTGATTCATAGGCAAGCATATGTGTTTGAAAACATATACATGTAGCATGTGCTGCAAAAAATCAATTAAATTATGCCATTTCTGAACTACACACTTGTTGGAACTCATTAGAAATATATACATGTATATAGATTTTAAGGCATTATGTCACAGATGGAGAAGGGAAGTAAATGCAGCTAGCTGTGCAAATAAACTTTTTGAGATACAGTTCAAATAGTTCAAACATGGCATAATACAAAGGATCTAGGAAAATAACATGACGAGTAAATAGTAAATATTACAACTGTTTAAAAAAAAAATAATACAATAAAAATCATGCACCAAACAAAGCACTAAAAATTGATCTTCCACAAATTGTCTCAAATCTTCATGCTCTTTTACACTTGTGCAAAAAAAAAAAATGACTTGTCACACTTTTAAGCTTATCATTTTACACAGGTACACATTTGGTCATCATAGCAAGTACATACATTTATAATGATAATCAAGTTAAAGTAAATGCTTGAATTCTTTTTATTCTCCTGCTTAAGAGAATTAATTTCTGTCCTACATAAAGGCATGACAAATTAGCCTCAAGAGGACATCAATTATACTCTACTTTATATAATAAGATGACATAGAAACTTTGAAACCCATTCTGTCAAAAAAATTTCCCATCCAAATTAAAACAACATTCAGAACTGGGACATTTAGTGTTCATTTATGATACACTGTTTTTGCTACAAACTCATAAAAATGAAAAGCCAAACCCACAGAAAAAACTGTTTACTCGGAGACAGCTCAAACACTTGTACAACAAGTAGTTCTCAAAAGAACACAGACACACAAACAAAACCAAGAAACCCACACCTGCACTCTGTACATGTATGATCCTGTACTTACATGAGTTGACAGTGTGTCTTGTTTTAGCACTAGTGCAGTACGCCTCGATCACTTTCAGAATCAGTGCATCCTCCTCCATTGTTCTGGGATCATCTGTCACGGAGAAGAAAAAGAAAATTATGTCTCCATATATCTATTTATACGAGTCGTCTTATTGAATGTTATAACAATGTAATCTGACAGTTTTTAGAATTTAATGTATACATTTATACCTCTTCCTCTTTATATATATAGTAAAAAAAAAAACTCTCTGAATATATCATAAATGTGGGAAGTTAAGTTTTGTAATTTATTTGTATTTACAAAAAAGAAAAATAAAATATTGTTCATGCAAGGCAGACAAAAAAAAATAATAAAATAAATAAATAAATAATAAATAAACTATGAAAAATTAAAACAGCAATTATTTGCAGACTTAAATATTTTTTAAATCATGCAAAGTGTGATCAATTTAATTCATTCTTTTAAATAATTTTTGTGACATGCAATCAAATTATTGGGAATATGTAAACAGTATGTTTATCTATATAAACAAACCAAATAAGAGAAAAAAAGCTATTGAATTAATCTGGGGAATAGACTAGATACATGAAAATTGTTACTGTATATGCAATAAACTTAGAAATATTCAATAGCATTCAATAAAAGTGGAAAGTAAAGAAATCTGAAAAACTGCAAAATAATACATAAGGAACACATAATTAAAGCCACAACAGTTGGACAACATCAAGTCATGAATAAACAATGAAACTTTGACGCAAATCATCTGATTTACTGAAATTTTTTTTAACCCATTACAGCTCAAATAAAGCAATTCTCTAACTTGTAACACAGGTTATAAAATAAACATTTTTTTCTATCTATCCAATCAATGACATGCTACAAGCAAAACTGTAATATAAATAACTTCAAAGTTTCATTGTTTTGCTATCATTCAAGGCAATCATAGCAGACGTGTGACAACATTCCAGTTTGGATACTAACATTGTCGCCATTTGTATTTATAATCATACTCATCCTGTGAGTGCGTCCGCACTAAGAAAATCAAAGGCTTGGTTAAAGGCGTCTTAACGACATTATTTTATTGAAATAAGTACATGTACTTAATTAATCACAAACTAAATACACTTGTGTAGACTAAGGATGCCAAATTCTTACTTCTATACTCTAAAAGTTGTGAACAAATTAGTTTTTAATTTTGAAGCATCAGTTTTTTTTAAAGGCATTTCAACTGTAGTGAATAAAGGTTTAAACTACTTAGAATTTTTTAGCTCACTATTCAATGCTTAACTTCAAGCCTTCACTTATTATTTCAGTATTTCATTTTTTTGTACATAAGAACAAGAGTTGACTTCTACAGAGAGCACCTGGTCCAAGGCCTATATGATTACAACAATCAACCTTAATACCGTATAAATAGAAATTTCAGCGAGACGCAAATTTCGCGATTTGTCCATAAAAATGGTATTTCATTTTTAGCAAGATGTAATTTTAGCAATTTTAAAATGTTCAATAAAGAAGGTATAAAAAAAATAGAACGCAATTAATTTTTAGCAATGTTAAATATTAACGATCTCAGCAAAATTAAATCCTCGCAAGAAATTCTGCTTATATGGTAATATGCATAGGTGAACATATTTTCTAGAATTTTTGTTACCCCAAAATTAAAAGCAAAATAAAATTTTGCTTCCACATATTCAAGATAGCTTGCAGTTTTCAATAAGTGAAAGTAATAAACATTTCCTGACATCCCTAGGCCTGTACTTCGTAGACCTTTTTATAAGCAGTATTTTTCTGTTTTTCTTTATTCCCGTTACCTGGTTTCCGTCTGACTGGTTTCCTGCCCATACGCGGACTCCTGACTAGATCCTCCTTACACGGGAGGTGCTGTCTGAGGGGCGGGGAGGGGCGGAGACATGACATGGTCCACGTGGAATGTGTCACCAGCGCCGTCTTAGCCGGCGTCAACAAACTGATACTGGGCTGAGAAGTCGAAATCTGTAAACAGTCAGATAAACAAACTTATACTGGGCTGAGATGTCAAAATCTGTGAACACAAGTGTCCCATTTAAAGTCAGGGAAACAACTTATACTTGTGATAGCAAGTCATCCAATTAAAAGTAAAAACTAATAGAAATGTGACAACTGCTTTTTTTGTAAATTGAACTTTCTTCTTCTTGAAGTATATGATGAATGAAAGCCACGATTTTAAAAAATTTTGAGTGAGTCACATTTTAATACTTATTCATTCATGCTGTAAATTTTAAAATGTGAATGCCATAATTCTGAGTTATAATGTAATGTTTGTATATACCTCTCCATAAGTGGTAATCTGTTTTGCCATATCTATGTCAGGTGTACTGGAGTTAGGCAGAGAACGAGTCTCCTGAAACAAATGTAAAGTGTATACAATGAAACATTCTCAAAATAAACCAGTATAGCACTGCATGTAATGTCCTTTTTCTGGACCGTTTCAAATGTACACTTCTCCTTTATGAGGGCCTATAGAAACAACCCGAGGCATCAACCAGGCTCCCAACAGTCATAATTATCTTATCTATAAATTATAACATGTACACACCTGTATAGTTTTATTGCTGGGCCCATTCATCACCGTCACCTGGGCACTGTCCTTCCCCAGGGCCTCCACCCACCCAGCCGCATCCATGGGGCTCCCACAGGTTACAACTATCTTGTCTATCATATTACCTGTACACAATGTAAAAGTGATTAGATTACATAATCATACAACATAAATACTATAAGGAATGTTTTATTTAAATATCTGTTATGTGTACATCTGTAATGATAAAACAGCAAAAACTATAGTGAGAAATAAACAAGTTAACCTTTTTATCAGTTGTATACAAAAAATTTTGATTCTAGAACAGTGTTATTTTACCTGATATTTCAAAGCTACACTCCATATCCTCTTCCTCTATGACACTTATAGTCATCCCACTCAGTGGTAGTTTACCCTGAAAGTCAGCAGGGAACAGCATGTTAATGTCAATTACTATAGCACTATATTCAGGTTAACATTGACAGATAAACTACTAAACTGTTTCCATAACAAAATACGATCTCTCTAAGATGAATACAGAGACCTGTTCAACAGAGCGTGTGCTCACAAACTTTTCTGTTGAGGTATAAGGAATTTTGACGAGTGCTTGCAAACGTTTGCCTTGTTGAACAGGCCTGAGGTAATACAGGTGATATTCCATACCTCGTACTGATATCCACTGAGTCTGGGGCTCATAGACAACATAAGCAGCAGACCGGGGAACAAGACAAATATGCGGTCATTCTTGTCTCCGTTCAGGGAGGTCACCTGTACCTGGGACAGTCGGACCACCTCCCCCAGCTTAGCTATCTCCTGTAACAGTCACACAAAAGGGCTAGAATATAGCACAAATCAGTGAGTAACAGTCACACAAAACTATATTAGCACAAACATTGTAACAGTCACACAAAAGGGCTACAATATACACAAATCAGTATTCACACAAAATAGAATATACAAATCAGTAACAGTGACAAAAGGGCTAGAATATAGCACAAATCAGTGAGTAACAGTCACACAAAAGGGCTAGAATATAGCACAAATCAGTAACAGTGAGACAAAAGGGCTAGAATATAGCACAAATCTGGGAGTAACAGTCACACAAAAGGGCTAGAATATAGCACAAATCAGTGAGTAACAGTCACACAAAAGGGCTAGAATATAGCACAAATCAGTGAGTAACAGTCACACAAAAGGGCTAGAATATAGCACAAATCAGTGAGTAACAGTCACACAAAAGGGCTAGAATATAGCACAAATCAGTAACAGTCACACAAAAGGGCTAGAATATAGCACAAATCAGTGAGTAACAGTCACACAAAAGGGCTAGAATATAGCACAAATCAGTGAGTAACAGTCACACAAAACAACTAGAATTGATCTGAACAAAATACTATTATCTTAATGCTTTTAAAATACTCTATAGTATTTTATTTATTATACATCATACATGAATTTTGAATTCTGAGGTTTCGGTAACTTTCAACATTCTGATCCTTAATGTATCACATACAAGAGTTATCACTCAAAATGATCATTGTGATCTAATACTACTTAAACTCTCTATATACGGTAAAATGATTACCTCCCCTGCCCAGCCTTTTATAGAACTTGTTAATATTTCATACTCCATCTCCTTACACTTTCTAATTTCCATGCAAGCATTCTGTAAATAAACCAAAAAATCAGTAACAATCTACAAATAAGACATCATTTAAGTCTCTGTATCATCATGATCATACTTGAACTACAAAATAAAAGAAACATTTTGGCTCAACCGTGTAATAGTTAACATATAAAAATGCTATTTCTGTGGCACAAAGTTTTCATAATTATATCTTTAAGAGTAGCATTCTAATTTTTTCAACTGAATAGGAATACTAAATTTTAACTAGAGCAAAGCTCGTTGCAAAGCAACGAGTAGGTCTTCCGTCCTGTTTGACTGGAAGTAGCTTTCATTTTTAACAAAAAATAAGAAATAACGCCTAAAAATGGTTTAAATCATCTAAAGCTATATTGATTAATGCAGAAATAAGCAATTTTTGCTACTTTCGGTTAAACCGGAAGTAACAACGACGGACGGAAAATTAAGTTTTAGGCTTCCAGTGACATATGTTAACCCAAAACTTGTCAAGAATGGCAAAAATACGTGTTTTTCGACTACTTCCGGTTTGGCCGGAAGTGACGACGCCGGCGGAAGTGACAACGACGGACGGAAAAATTAAGTTTTAGGCTTCCAGTGACATATGTTACCCCAAAACTTGTCAAGAATGGCAAAAATACGTGTTTTTCGACTACTTCCGGTTTGGCCGGAAGTGACGAAGCCGGCGGAAGTGACAACGACGGACGGAAAATTAAGTTTTAGGCTTCCAGTGACAAATGTTACCCCAAAACTTGTCAAGAATGGCAAAAATAGGCGTTTTTCGACTACTTCCGGTTTGGCCGGAAGTGACGACGCCGGACGTATTTTTACGACTTCAATAGATTAATTTTGAAATTTTGAACAACTTTGCTTCTTGTGAGGTATTACAAATTCTCAATACTTTTTGAGATATAAAGGAAAAACTTTCGGCCCCCTTTGGCCCTTAATTTTAGGGACCAGCCCTTTTTTCGAGATATCATTTGAAAGATCTTTAAATTCTACACTTCTTTTGTTCTTCTTGCTTTAACAAAATATTTCTAGGTAAAAAGTTATCGTAGAAAAGGTGTTTAAATTTTTGAAATTCTTGATAGGACTGTTTTCGGACCATAGCCAGCGTCGGCGCTTCGTACTTCCGGTGGTTGAGATATACCAAATACATATCTCCAAAGGTTGCTCTATCAGCACTGAAAATTTCATGCTTCTGCGGTGAGTGCTTTTTGAGAAAACTGCTGGACAAAATGACCCTCTAAAACTCACTAAATCGCGAAAAACTCCGAACTGGAAGTGACGTCATCAAACTAAAAAAAAAAACGCCTTAAGTTCATATCATTTGTCATCAATGCTGAAAGTTTCATGAAAATCCATCAGTGTTTCCGCTAACTTTTACAATCAAGGGTCATTATGACCATCTGGAGTAAACTTTGGGAGTCAAAAAGATTTTTTGAGGGTCAAAATATATTTTGGTTTTGCTTTAGTTCTTATATTAGCTCTGCCTTCTAAAATCATATATTTGATGTTTTAAAAAAATGAAAGTAAAATATACTTCTTTTATTTACCGGTTCACTGTCATATTTTACCGATCATGCTATCTGGGTTTCGTGAATACCTCAATCAAAAGATAACAATTGAAAGTGGTTTGGATGCTTTGCAGATCTGTTTATTAATGATTTGAACTTTGCTCACCTTTTTATTACCATTATTAGCCTTTTTTACAAAGCCAAGCTGATATAAATATGCCGATGTAAGACTGAACATGCTGAAGCGCCATTTTATCTGCACTTCCGGTTTTGTTAAAAATTAGATAGATCGTACAAAAGAATTTAATAGATTGTGACGTGGAAATGCCGATTTCAATGACTGCCACTTTAAAATTAACTAAAAGCAATGATTTATTCCTAAAAAGTTGTCAACAATGTAAATTAATCGTGTAAAATATCTTCTTCTACAAAGTCATCAATATTGAACTGGATTTTTTTATTTTTTTAAAATTTTTTTTTTCTGCGTCATGATGACCCTCTAGGTGATGTTTTAGGGGGTAAAAAGAATTTTTTATGCGTAAAATACGCAGAAATATGCGTTAACGGAAACACTGTCCATCGACGCATTTACGAGAAATCGCGTGCACAAAATCGGTAAGAATAATAATAATAAGAAAAGTTGAAAAGAAACAACAGAAAAATAAGAAGGTCTTCCGTTGAAACGGAAGACCTGAATAAATAACAAACAATAATCTCACTAAAACAACATATCTCAAATATTTTGTGATCTACAGTATTTCTTCCTGGTGGATAAAAGAGAAGGGTCATATAGAGTTTTTATTGAAGCTTTTTCCCCCCTCTTTATACTTACAGCTATTTCCCTGTATATAGATATAGCTCTCTGAGTATCTCCCCTATCTATATGACTCTCCTATAATTAAAAAAAACATTTAAAATCGTACTGCCAAGTTTGCATACTCACATAATGTATAGAAAACCAATTAAAAAGAAAAAAATATGTTCAAAGATGACCTTTATATATACATGTATGTGAAATACATTAGTATTATTATCATTTGGGCTCTCAATATAAGGCTGTAGACATGGTCAGTAATCTCTGCCCACCTCTATATGCCTCTCTAGCTCCTTTAGAAGACTTGGGTACTTGTCTAACCGGGTAAATGGTTTATACAGATTTGTTGTCAACATCATTGTTCCTTTACTAGCACCAATAGATTCCATAAACTTATTCAGCTCATCTCTGAAAAGGACATACAGTTGAATTTTAGTATCTCTAACAAAGATATCTCAAATACAATGGATATGATGAAGTCACTTAAAGTCCCATTTCTTGTTTCTTCATACATCAATATTTAAACCACATCATATCACAACCTTAAAAATCTTGAAAAGTTTTTTCTCAATCGATCCTAAGAAGTGTAAGATAATGAGGTTAAATGTATTTCTGATTCTTGGACTCTTCATAACAAATTCATATACTAATGATTTCTAAAAAAAATTTTGATGAGTGCCCCGATTATGTACAATATTGCTTAGTTTTGTGATTTACCTTTTGTTTTGTAGAATAGCAGCGGCCTGAGGGTGATTGGCTGAGTAAGCCATATAGAGCTCCTTGACACGAGGGGCGTACTTAAGAAACACCCCTCCTACCCTTCTCTGGTGAGGGGGCTGTCTGTAGGTAGAAAAAAAATAATGAGTAAGGAACACAATGTATAACATGGCAAATATTCTATACATTCTTATTGTGCAACAAAGTAAACCAGTTACATGTTTAATAGAAGATACATTTCTACCATAATGGAGTGAAATGATCAAGAAAAAATTAATTGTACTGAAAATGTTTGTTTGTTTGTTTTGTTTTTTTTGTTTTTGCTTTTTTTGCATACTCAAAGTTATCCCTAAAACCCAGGGGTCAATGAAATTTCACTGCCTTTAATGACATACCCCCCCCCCCAATACCCCATTATTCTGGTATTCTTTAATTCTTAGGGACAACCCTATATACTTAGTCATACTCTCATAATTACAAATAACATTCTTGTAAAGCACTAAAAACTATTTCTATTTATAATTATTCATACAAATTCAAACATCAAGAACTTAGACTATAGCTACATATTGCAAAATAACTCATTGACTCAAACATCTCAATTATCACTGTGCAGAGCAAGCCTATTTAAAAAAAAAAAATTTCCATTCACTTATAAAAGAGCACCTGTTAAAACAGAATATTATATAACATGGTGTAAATTATATCTGCCAGACAGATGCACTGAAGCCAACACATAGAGCATCCCACACCTGGAGATAATCAGTCTACCATTTATCAGGTCATCAGGATTGTTTATAATTTCTCCCAGCTTACACTTAGAACACTAAATCATGTGTGCCCTATTTGAAGTGAACTATTTCCTACTAACCTTCTCTTATCCTATACACACTAGCATTAACAAGTAATTGTGATCTTGGAATAGCTAACTCAGTCTGTTTTCTACTCACTTCATGCACTCTTCAATGGCTAATAGAAAAGTGTTCTGGAATGATATGATGTCCTCAATGTTCCCAATCAGCTGAGCGTACTCCGTGGGGGTCAGTCTAAAAATAGGAAAAATAGGCTCATAGGTCACAAGGCTCACCTTTGACCACCTTGTTGTTAAGAAGAAAACTTATTTTCTTTTTTTTTTGCCTTACTCTACCCCTGGGGCCATGTTTTAAACAAATTTGAATCTGCACTACCGGAGAATGCTTGCACATTGATATGAATGACATGCAAAAGAACATTTTTTTGGGGGGGGGGGGAATTAAAAGATTTTAGGCCAACAAGAGATGTTTGTAAAACACTTATGCCCCCTCACCCAAATTGGATTTTTTCCAAGTCCAAAAGGGCATAACTCTGACTAAAATGGTGCAATCCTACCCAAAATATAACTTGACCTAGATATTTACCTGATAAACCTGTATACCAAATTTCATTTCAGTCTGTGCAACGGTTGTGAAGAAAATGAATGGAAACTAAATAGACCGACAGACAGCAGCAAAGCAATATGCCCTCCCTTCTTCGAAGGGGGGCATAAAAATAAAATTAGCTTTGTTTGGCGTTGCCGGCCAACGCAGTTAAATTGATGCGATCCAAAGAATTTTTTTCAACTGATATGGATTGTAATTTTTTCTTCGTTATATTTATCCACATTTAGGTGCTGTATGTTTGAGTAATATACAAAATGGGCAAGAATCATGTAAACGCTTGATTGATCGAACATCATTTTCATTTCAAAGCATCTATGTGATGTTGAATATGCATATCAGAAATCCAAGCATGGCTGCCGAAAGTGATAAACTCCATATCATAGAAGTTGATAGCATGACTCTCTGCGGTAATGTGTTTTGAAATGTCAAAAATATAGTAACAAATCAGTTATACCAGTTTGAAATAGAAATTTTTTGAGGTACATGTTCAATGTCCTGTCCGATTTGCTAGATGAATCTAGAGGCCATTCTTAGATTCTTGCATATGAAAACAAAGCCAATTCAATGTCTGCAATTTTTTATACCATGTATATTAAAAAATTAAAACTAATAGGGTTTGAAAATAAATAACAACTGGGAATCAATACAGACTGCAGTTGTTGTTAAACAATCGGAAACCTGTGACGCGCAGATAATAACAACATTTCTAAAATTGAAAAAATAAATTTCTCCTACCTACCTACCTACCAAAACGTATTATGACCGAGTCTGCAATGCCAAACCAACAATATTCTAATTGTGGCCTTATCCCCTACATATTGTTATGCAATACTGTATACAATATCCATCCCTTGAAGTCTTAATCATATCTCTTCATATCATAGCCCTGCTGTTCATAAGACGTTCAATATTTTCATATGTAAGAATTTAACTTCCAGTTATTGTGACTTCTCCCTACCTCTGAGGACCATCAACAAACAACTTACAATCTATACTGTATAAAAAAAACATTCATGAAGTTTTTGTCATTTCTGGCCCAGTGGTTCTTAGAAAAGGATTTTTAAATGTTCAGGTGAGCTAAAAATTAAAAGGATATTGACCTATAGGTTAAAATTATGTTGTTCTTTAAAAAGAATATCAAAATTTGTCCACAAAAAAGTTTTTTAAATGAATTAACCAGGGGCTGACAAATAGATTTTAAAGGCACTTGTCCAAGGGCAAGTACATGGTCAAAATTCACTTGCCCTACCTGAATTTTTGCCTGCCCTACCATTAACTTATACTGTATTTATAAATATATATAAAAAATACTGAGTAGAATATTGGCATACATATTGATTTTATTTTTGATAATTGATTAAGTCACTTGCCCGCGGGCAAGTGGTTGACAAAATTTCACTTGCCCAACCCTAAAATTCACTAGCCCCGGGCGTCGGGCAATGGGATTTGTCATCCCCTGTTAACTGAAGAAAATGAAAGTGTACACAAAAACTTATTGAAAGGGGTAGCACTTAAAAGTACTTATAATTCAATACTAGAAATATTTATTTATTTGAAATCATTAACTGACTTGGATATTGACAAGTTATGTTTTGGCCATATAAGAGTCTCAAACAAAACACAGTTTCTTTAGCGGAGTTGCTTTACTGAGTGAGTTATATTCAATATTATTACTGTACAGTACATGAGTAACACTTGTTAATTGAGTTTGTTAACTTACATGGATGAGTTATGAATTGGCTGAATGTAAGTTTGTAACACTGTTGTTAATTCTTGGACGTGAGTTTTCTCAGTTTCAATCACATTCTGTAAAACCTGAAAATCAATGTAACAATGACTAGTATTGAGCAATAAAGGAAAAACTTTTGAAAAAGGGCCTTCGAATGATATGTGTATAATCAATATATTATATTCCTGATGACTTTGTTATTGTGATATTTATACCTATAGATGTTTACTTTAGTCTTAAAAGAAAAACTCTTTTTTTATATAAAATCTGAAAAACTGTGAAACTTATAACTTCTTTAAAAATTGAATTCTCTAATAACCAATAAATAAAACCCCTACCACATTATGATAATACTGCATGCTCTCTCGTTTATAAACCTGAACGTCCCCTTTGAGGGCCCCTGACTGTCTCTTCCCTGGGATATCTTGTGTAACAATATCTGAAATATAAAAAAAATATTCTCAGGGATAAGCTGCTACAGGTTCTAAACTTTTATTTAGTCAAAAAAATAATTTTTATCTAAGACTAAGGTATATTTCATATGGTACGTTTTAATATTCCATCCTTTTCGGTGGAGATAATTGCTGGTTTAAAGGAAAATAAAACTATTTGTTAGGGGGAATTAAGATGTTTTTGAACACAAAGGCAGGAAGCCCTAAATTGCTAGAATTGAATTTGGAAGAGAGTGAGTTAATAGCTGAGTGTCTGCCAGTAGAGTTATTGGGTGATTTGGTTCATCTTGATTCAGTAGTAGAAAACAGATAATGGCAGGAAAAGGGAATCAAAATAATCAAAACATATCAAACATCTCAAAATAAAAACTAACAAGTTCTCTGTATCGTTTATCTGTATAAACTCTTTATAAACAGTGCTTTTGTTTTTGCTTATAGGTTTTCAATTATGACCGACAATAAAAATGACGTTTTCAATTGTTAGTGACAGATCCCATGTGAGAGTTTGATCCCATTATAAGTATTACACTCACCAGATTTGAGTTCCTTGACGTAGTTGCTGGGGAACCAGCCCGTTTTTCCATTCAGTGTTCCCTCCCACCACCCTCCGTCCATGGTCTGAGACACCGTGATTATGTCACCTTTGTTCAAACACAGCTGAAAAAAAATTACAAATATTTTACAGGGTTGCTTCTAGAGAATTGAAAGAGCAGGGGACATTAAAAAGTATAGGGTATTTTTGGATCCTCCCCTAATAAGAGATTGTGGGGAAATACTTGTATAACTAGGGGACTACTCCATTATAGATCGGGAAATCCCCTGGCCCTGGAGTTTTAGGGACCAATCTGAATACAGATAGAGTATACATGTATATAAGAGTCAGATAATCTGTCTGTTTAGATTACATGTATTTAATCAGGGAGAGTTTTTAGTGAGGACTCTAGCTCCTTTTGTTTTGTGTTTAAATACTTTATCTTTGTATCTGGTATACTCAGAGAACAAGAGGCCCATGGGCCACATCACTAACCTGAGAAGCTTTGACCATGCTGTTCTTTACTAGATTTCCTCCTTGTAATACATATTGTGACCCCACCCTACCCCATTGATCATAATTTAGACAATTTGAAATCTACACTACCCCAAGATGCTTTCACATAAATTTCAGCTTTTCTGGCCCTGTGGTTCTTGAGAAGATTTTCAAAGATTTTTCCTATATATTTCTATGTAATACTTTGATTTCCCATTGTGGTCCCGCCCAATCCCCGGGGGTCATGATTTGAACAATTTAGGATCTACACTACCCCAGGATGCTTCCACATAAGTTTCAGCTTTTCTGGCTCAGTGGTTCTTGAGAAGAAGATTTTTAAAGATTTTTCCCATATATGTCTATGTAAAACTTTGATTCCCCATTGTTGCCCCGCCCAATCCCCAGGGGTCTTGATTTGAACAATTTAGAATCTACACTACCCCAGGATGCTTCCACATAAGTTTAAACTATTCTGGTCCAGTGGTTCTTGAGAAGAAGATTTTTAAAGATTTTTCCTATATATTTCTATGTAAAACTTTGATTCCCTATTGTGGCCCTGCCCAATCCCCGGGGGTCATGATTTGAACAATTTAGAATCTACACTACCCCAGGATACTTCCATATAAGTTTCAGCTTTTCTGGCTCAGTGGTTCTTGAGAAGAAGATTTTTTAATGACCCCACCCTATTTTTGTCTTTTCTTGATTATCTCCCCTTGTGAAGGGACTTGGCCCTTCATTTTAACAATTTAAATTCCCCTTCACCCAAGTATGCTTTGTACTAAGTTTGGTCAAAATTGGCCCAGTGGTTCTTGAGAAGAAGTCGAAAATGTGAAAAGTTTACAGACGGACAGACAGACGGACGGACGGACGACGGACACAATGTGATCAGAAAAGCTCACTTGAGCCTTCGGCTCAGGTGAGCTAAAAATCATGATTGAGTCCAAGAGATAAAATCAGAGGACACAATTTTCTTTCAGTTCAGTGTATACCAGATCTGTATAGTTAATTTTTTGTTGTTGGAGTTATCGTCTTTGCTGTTGCAGATGATAAGAGAGCAGTGACTATTTACTCATATTAATCATAAACATGTTCTGAGCTATAGGTTCATTGAGCTGAGGCTACTAAGTACAAATAAAGATGCTCAATCAAAACCAGCAGCTTCTTCTCCTTCAAGAAATACACAACTCAAGTGGACCACACCTAGCTGACCAATTCCCTGAATACCGCTGACCCTTAGTCATAGAACTAACTACTTAATGTATCCGTGCAATAACACTGTGTTTAGAGCTGTCCACATGTGTATACAAACATATGAAAGTAATCTTGTGTACTGACCCCCTGTAAAAAAGCATGTCTGTAAAATCACATACACCTGTCAGAAATCCATTCTCCAAGGCATTACAAAATTATGAACATATAACACAGATCAAAGACCCCCTGGGGGAGGAGATTCACCCCTCACTGCTGGACCCTGACCCCTCTCTGCTGGGTGCCCTCTTCATAACTCACCACTCATTTCTGTGGCAGTGCCTCATCTCTCTAGAGAAAACATGTGTTAAGTTAGACTGGTGAATATAACACTGTCTGATGGCGAGAATTCTAACACAGCCTACAGAAGTTTTACAAATTCCTCATTTAAAAACCAATATCTGCAACCTGTTTCTCAGCTGTTTACATGTGTACTCCAGAAAGATTTGACCTAGAACTCCTTGATGTATTCAGTATGTGGCTCTCATTAAAAAAAATATTGAGGTTTATTTTTGAAGATTATGTGTTATTTATAAATGAAACATTTTTATTACATACAATTTGCATTTGTCATTAAACATATCTAATCTGTAAAACATATAAACCACACAGCTTTTAATCTTACATTGTAGAAAAACCCCATAAAATTGAATGAGGGTAATATTTAGTATCAGCAGTTTGCTGACTGGGGGTAATGCCATCTTCTTATCTTATCGTTCTATTCCTAATATACCCTGATCAACCCATTAAAACTGTAGTCTTTAAAGTCATTCCTTGAAATTATTTTCTGAATCCATTGATAATTTTAACATAAAAAAATTTCTTATTCCTCTTGATATCAACATTTTTTAAAATATAGAGATAAATTTGTCAAGTAATTTTTTAAAAAAATGAAACTCTCCAGCCTATGTTAGAATGGAAATAGGAGTCATGTCACAGTCTGACACTGCCTAGATCTTGGCTGTGTCTTAGGGAAGTCCCTAACATCTAAAGCTGCATCACATAATTGATACAAAACAAAAACTTATTTACACAAAACCATAGTTGTGGAAGCTTCTGTGTTAATGGACGTGACATTAAGGCCTGACTGTGTCTTATCTTCTGATGTAGAACTCACCTCCCTTAAAATTATGACCCCCATCCTAATCTCATATGAGGTGAAACAAACAATATCTCCTGACCTAGAACTTGTCCCCCCTTAAAACAAAACAATCCCCTATTGAACTTTCTTCCCTAAAAACAAAAATACCTCTACGAATATGAAGCATGTATCTTTACTCCTTACAATTTACAAAAATACCTCCACCCTGACCTATTAATAAGAGGTGAAACAAAACAATTCTTCTGACCTAGAACTTACACCCCCTTGAATCAAAGACCCCCACCCTCGCACCCTAACTGTTAAAATAAGGTGAAACAAAACAATTCACCTTTCTAAAAACCAAGACCCCAACCCTGACCTGTTCATATGAGGTGAAACAAAACAAGCTGGAATATGACAGCTGATACCAACACTGATAATCTGAACCGCATACTACAGGAGAACACTCTTATATCCCAGCATAAAAAAACTATAGTATACAGTGATAAACAGAAAATAACGGCATCATTCTAAATCCCCGGCACAACAGGTGGCTTTCCTGGGTTACAAATCAGAATAATTTTTTAATATATTTTACATTGGAGTTCTTGCTCAAATCTTCTAACATGTCTAATGGCCACATCATCTTTGTTTTTTTCACAAAGATCCTCTATCTATAAATTTAAATGATTTTTTGAAATAACTATAACAGCAAACTTGAATGATTAGAACTGCTTGGGAATTAAGTTAATAGAAACATTCAGGGAAGTAATTCTGATCATGTTTACTACAATTAAGTTTGTAAAAACTTTGTATTTTCCTGTTTAAACACTCACCAGAATAACATTCTAGGTACGCAATGACAGATGGTACAGATGGATGGATCCATGTTTAACAACTTGATTTTTAAGTAATAAACAGGAACATAAACAATTGTACAACAGATGCCTTCTTCGCTCATTTATCAACTGTATTTTGATCATATAGGCTAGATCGAAAATTCTAATCTTTACATATCATTAAGAAACATATAATTTCTGGATCGGTACATTTTGTGAGGACATTTTAGTGGATTTGCAACACAATCTAGTTTGATACTATAAATGCAACAAAAAAAATACATTTTAAGTTCACTGTCACATGCGTTAATGACCTACCTCATCATTGTTTGTGCCTTTAAAGTTGTGAATGGCCTTGACCCTTTTTGGCGGGTTCCCTGGCTCCCCCATTTTTCTGAGGTTGAGGGGTTTGGGTTTGGGGAGGGGTTTGTAGGCCTGGGGTATGAGGTTAGCTGTGGCTATCGCCTTTGGTTTCGGTCTCACATTCTGTATCGACTCATACGGACATTCATGGACCTCGTCAAACGACTCGTAGATGGGTTCGGAACTCTCCTGTTGCTGAAGGTAGAGATCAGTGTCCTTGATGTGGATGACGGTGTTTCGTGGCGAGAGAGACAGGGATGAAGTTTCCGAATCAACTTCCTGTCCAGTATCCAATGGTAACGGCACACTAGGCTTGTGTCCTTGTTCCTCTAAAATAGCAATAAAATCGTTAATTTCATTCACAATCAAATCAAAATCCTCCGACAATTCCTGGCTGCGAGTTTTCTGCTTCTTAAAATGACTTTCACTTGCCATGACTATAACACAAGGATGTTAGCTAAATGTAGACAAGTAACTTCAAAGGTTATCAGGTATTTGCTCCTGATTTTGAAATCCCAATCTTCTATACAGAACAAGATATCCCATCTCCTTCTCGTAGTTTCATCTTTACTTATGTCTGCCTTCAGCAGCAGGGGATTGTTTTGAGGCCCAAACGAAGGAAAACATTCAAATAAATTCTATTTCACGTTTTACCACACTACAAACAACTTCATATACTAACAGCTGGTCTGAATCCTGCTGCCAAGAAAATTACATTACACATTCCAAAGCACAGAAATTCAAAGCACTTTTAAAACAAGAATTAGATAAGATATAAAACAAATCCCCTTCTGGGGCCCCAGAAACCCAAAGATTTCCACAACTGATTGGAAGGTCTTTCATGTTTTTAATAATTGAGGGTCATAAGGGGACAATTAGGATACTGATGAAGCGGTGCAGATAAAACATCCCCTAACCTTAACTACCAATAAACCTATCAGTACCCATCTACCACATGGCATCTCAACAACTACTTTTATCACCTAAGTTTATCATCTTCAATATTCACCCCCCTGATCCCTACCCAATAGATGTTCAGATTCATGAACCCTCATTGTGCAATTTTAATGTTTTTTTTTTAAACTCAGCAGCAAAGATGTAGCTTCCCTGTAAGAAGGTTCTGCTAACATGGTTAAGTGATTCTTGAAATTAGCTGCATATTACAAGAAAACAAGAGGTTTGATGCCTGGGCTATAAATAGTCGGCATTCCATCTCTAGATCTCACAGATATAAGACCAGAGAGCACCGTCTATACATTCTCTACATGTACTGCCCATGCAGTAAAGTCACGGACAAGCACAAACTGGTAAGTAAAACTGCTATTTGTTAAAATTATTTTAAATTAAAATCATTCTCTTCGATTTTTTCTTTTTTAAATTTGAATGAATCATATATTGTTGAATGAGTCATTACTTTGAAATGCTGCTATTATTTTTCACTGCATGAACATTTCTCTTAACTGTTTTTCTATAATAGATGTCTTAACATTTTTACAATGGTGCAAGAAATTCTACTGTTCAATTTTATGATGTCTCCAAAAAAAAATTCAATAAATTTTTTTCTGTTTAAAATAATGTGCACTACAAACTTTAATATATATTTGCTTTTAAAATTAGTTGGTTCGCTTTTTAAGTGTTTTGGAGAAATCTGCCATTGATTCATTGAGTAAAATGTTTTGCCAGAATCTGTAGCCATGCAAATTCAGATGTATTTTCCTTTGTATTTTTATCTTTTAAAATGGGGGTAACAAGTTCTAATTGGCAGCTTTGTGAAAAAGATTGTTTTAGTAATGTTCAGTGATAATTTTTTGGCATGAAGTTGCATTTGAATTTTAAGCAAAAAAATTTAAATATAATAAAACTTTTTTTTTAAATTGTCTATATTCTCCCCGCTGGGTTTTATTCAGAGAAGGTGTCAACTTAAAAAACTTTAAAGATTACAAGGTGCTCACAATTTACTTACAAAAATTTGCAAACACATATAATTTTTGCTCATCATGTTTCTTAAAATAACAAATGTGTACAACCAAATGAATCATCAATACTAATACATTGTAATTTCATTGTAACATTATTTTTTTTTTTATTTTTTTTTTTAATTTTTTTATTTCTGCATTAAAAAATATATTGCAATTTAATATGTGTTATGTAACAACTCTGCATACTAAGTGATTAAAAAAAATTTTAAATATGCCAAATTAATACACGATAACTTTTTATCAATTTCAAGTTCAAAGTATATGCAGGAAACTATGGACATGAATGCATAATACAATTGGTTTGACAGACAATAAATTACAATTAAGAGAATAAGAGAAGAGAGATCTTTCACCCCAAGAAATTCTTGTGCTGCTGTTCCCAGGAGATTACAATGGTTGATAATAAGATGCCTTAATGTTCAACTTCCCATTAATTTATCTTTAACTGGATGTTTTATACAAATACATATAACAATGAAATTACATTTCTTCTGTGCAATGTAAAAACTGTTTTTAACACTTGATTTTTTAAAAAGTTTTTATGAGTAGTTGGAAGCTGTAGTATTTTTCAGCAGATATTCTAGATGTTTTTTAACAAATGTTATACATGAGCCCAAAATGAACAAGTCAATTAAATTAAAAAATAAAACCTGTAAAAAATAAAATACATTGTTATATTTCCATAGATGCACAACTATTATATGTAATAATAAGTGTACAAATTTTCAGATTATATCCTTGCAATAGTTTCTGAGCTATACAAAAACCACAAAATAAAAGTGAAGAAAGCACCTGTAAAATGTTAACCTATTGTGATGAAAATATCAGGTGCACAACTTCATATGGTGAAAATATGGTACAAATTTTCGACAAATGCGTTAGTTTTGAGTAATGGTGCGGCATAGTCCATGTAATATATACATGTATGTATAGCCTTAAATGAAACCTACAATAATAAATCTTTTAAATATCAACTGCAAAGAAGTTTGCAGAAACACCTTAAGTTTGACATACACTGTATAATAAAACTTTTTTTTCAATTGTCTATATTCTCCTAGAACATATTTATTTATTCACCTTGAATTAACTGAACTTAAAAAAATTAAAGATTACAAGAAGCATAACAAAACTACAGAAGACAAACTCTTCAAACACATTAGAATTTTTGTCCAGTCACCAAATAATGTATGTGTACCGGTACTTTAAAAAGGGGTTTCATATTTTAGTGGCTTTGGCGAAGACAACAATGCGCTAATTTATGAATACACTAAGAAATCATTTACATATACAATACACTGAACGTACATGTGAAGTGCTAATTTCATGATTACGCTAACAACTCTATACCCAGTGATTACGCTAAATTTTGAATATGCCAAATTATGTACACGTACAGTAATTTGTCTGTAATTTCAAGTTCAAAGTATATGCAGGAAACTATGGACATGAATGCATAATACAATTGGTATGACACAATAAAATACATCATCATATTTCCACAGATGATTCTATCTATTATATGTATAATAGGCAATACAAACATATAGATAATATTTATAAGTGCGTAGATCTGTTTTACAAAATATGCCTCCAAAACAGAAAGAAAGATAATTCATTTCAGATTGACAAAATTATCAAATCAGTCTAAGTATCAACAAACTCAAACACAATTTATTTAGTTTCCAGTATTCTCCTCTATAGTTGAGACAAATGTTATTCCTAAACACCGCATTGCTTCACATTTTGATTCAGTTTGCAAGTACATCAGTTTACTTTTACACATCAAAAATTCTGAAAAAGTTTAATCCTACACTAAATAATGCATTGCCAGAGAAGGATGTCAGAGGGTTTTTATTTTATTTAGGAAGACTATGATATTTATAAATATTTCCATTTCTATTTGTTTCCTCTATGATAACACTTTGAAAGTTAGGCAGTTCAATTTCTGGATCATTCTGTCGGCATGTAAATTTTGACAAGCGATAAGTCAGGAATTAAGGAGGCCAAAGTAACATGCATGTAAATCTCAAGTGGCTGTCTTTATGTTTGATGTCAATGGGTGGGGATTATTGAAATTGATACGATAGGCCTCATGTAATTTCAATATTTAGTCTATATTTTTAAAATCTAAATTAATTTTACAATTTTATTTTACAATGAAATGGAAATATAAGGAATCACTGTCTAGTTAGTAGAGTATGTTAGGGACATCAATGCTAGTGAAAAATAACTCTTTCATCTGTAATGGTTTGGGCCGTGAATATCGGCCTGGATAGCTCAGTTGGTAGAGCACCTGACTAGAGATACAGGGGTCCCGGGTTCGATTCCCATTCCAGCCATACATTTTCTCCTTTCCTTTTACAGATTTGGTGCCCTGGACTTGCAGGTAAAAGTCCTGCCAGGGGCAATAAGAACTTGGGTTGTGTCTTCAGGGACGAAGACCATTTAAGGAGGGAGGAATGTAATGGTTTGGGCTGCGGATATCAGCCTGGATAGCTCAGTTGGTAGAGCACCTGACTAGAGATACAGGGGTCCCGGGTTCGATTCCCGGTCCAGCCATACATTTTCTCCTTTCTTAATGTTACACATCTAATAACTCATTAATGATAAATCAAAATACAGAAATATACACTAAATTGATTTACTAGACTACTTACTACTTGACTCACTAGCTTATTAGTATTCTGTCACTTCTTAATATCAAAACACTTGACAGTCTTCCTGAGCTCTGCATGAAATCAGTCTTTTCCTCCTCAACATGAACATACTTATCCCCAGCCTTGTTTTTCTACCCTGTTACCTGTAGAAAATCAACTAAACTTTCACCACTTATTCTTCTCCTAAAATTTTATTTTAACCCTACTTACAACATTTTAGATTTCCTTTTTTTCCCCCTTTCATTGAAGCAAGTTCTTGCTTTTTTTCATCCCCCTGTGATTCTACTTCATTTTTGTCAACTGTCACTGCATTCAATTATCAATGTTACATTTGTTATTAAATGATAAACTGTTTGAAAGTATGTATTACTTGATAAGTTGATGGCACAAGCAATTAGAAATCAAGATTGAGGATCCATTATTGTGCAAGAGATCCAGAGGCAACTTTCTCTTTCGTCTTTATTTTCTTTGCAGCAAAAATGGCGGAAGCAGATGTAGTAATGACGTCAACCCGGAAGTGGAAAGACACATGAAGCGATCCAGGGACAATGTCAAAATTCAAAAAAAATAAAACCGTTTTTATTGTCCCCGCTTGAAATCGCGAAAGTGAGGGGACATTAAAACTCATTCGTCTGTCCGTCTGTAGGCCTGTCAGTCTGTCCGTCTGTCACATAATAATTAACTTTGGTCATATCTTTTGAATGAAAAGAGATGGGGCTTTTCTTCTTCTTCTGGTTTACAACAAAACTTCAGGGTGCTGAAGAATACTTGTTGGTGCGCATGCGTGACCTAACTCAATTTAAAGAAAAAAGAAATGTGCTTTTATTTACATTAGTGATTAAAAGAAAAGTTTAACTGTTTTAATTTTACATGATAGTGTTGAGAACAGCTGGTGTTAGGTGTTCTCTAAAAATGTCAACATTAGTGGCTTGGACAGCGGACTGGGGAAGTAAATTCCATTGAATTATAGTATGTGGAAAAAATGACCATTTGTATGTTTCTTTTGATGTTGGTAAGTGTCGGTATGTTTGTGAGTGATTTTGTCTAGTTCTTGTGTCTGTAGGTATGAGTATTTGTGTTGGTATGGCGACAAGTTGGTGTACTACTTTATAGAACATTATTAGTCTTGTTTTGTTATATTATCCACATTGGCTACTGGCTGTGGCAAGACCTTTCCGACTAAATTCACTATTTATTTTGAAGTGTCGATAACTTAAATTCTGATTGAAAAGAGATAGGCTTTTCACGTATTAAACATGTGTATTACCTGTGACAAGACAAACTTTCTAAATACACTGTGTTTTTTGACCTCTTGACCTTGACCTTGTAGTTTGACCTACTTCCAAGAAATCATTTATTTGAATTGGCCTTAACTTTTGAATGAGAAGAGGTATAGGCATTGGAACCGGGGGGCTGGTGTAGGGGGGTAAGCCCCCCCCCACACTTTTTTTTTGCAAGAATAGACACTATAGGCATTGAACATTGGGGCGTAGGTTTAGCCCCCCCCCCCTACTTTCTATAAAATGTTGCAGTTAAGGTTACAAAAGGGAAAATCTGAGCGTTTGGAAAATAGGATTTTCGTTTGTGTTCAATGAAGAAATTTCCTCTTTTTTTGTTTTTGCTTGTCAGGTTTTTTGTAGGTCTGAATTTTTTTCTCTTAAACTTAGCCCCTCTTTCAATTTGCTTCCGACGCCAATGAGAGATAGGGCTTTCATATTATACATGTGTATTACCTAAATGTATGACATGACCTTTCTAAAAACACTATGATTTTTGACCTCGTGACATTGAAGTTTGACCCACTTTTTAAGATTTTTAAATTTGGTCATGACTTTTGAATGAGAAGAGATTGGGCTTTCATATTAAAGCTGTGTATTGTATGTGACAAGACATTTCTTAATACACTAAGATTTTTGATCATGAAGTTTTACCTACTTTTCAAAAATGTTAATTTTTCCTTATAACTTTTGATTGAGAAGAGATAGGACTTTCGTATTTGACATGTGCATTACATGTGACAAGATATTTCTGAGTTACTATGATTTTCGACCTCTTGACCTCGACCTTCATAATTGACCTAATTTTTAAAAATCAACTTTGGTGATAATTTTTCAATGACATATGATAGGGCCTTCATATTTGACACAATATGTCATAATAATGACATTCCACCCACAAAGACACCCAAAGCTGGGGACTACAATTGTTTGAATTAGCTTGTTTTCCTTTGTCATGGCACCACTGATTTCTTAACAGTTAAAGAATCTCTCTATACATGACCGTAGGAACCGGGAGAAGGGGAATACAGGGGCAGTGCCCCCGCTCCTGTATTTTTCCCGATATATAGAATACTATAGAAAACTTTGTGCCCCCTCAATTAAACAACTGATTATCCTTTTTTGGCTTGTTATATTAAGGACTTTTTGGTATTTGGTAGTGCCCCATCCCTCCAACTGAAAATTCTCCCTGCTATATTTTCTTTTATTGTCATACGTTATATATGTTACAAGTACAAGGCATTGACTTAGTCTTAATTTGGCAAGACCTTCCCTTAGGAACAAAAAATTGACCCTTTGACCTTGGAGTTTGAAACACTGTTGAAAATCCTCTAACCTTGGCTATGAGTATTGAATGACATGAGTTAATGTTGGGCTTTCCTGTTTCAAAGGCGTATACCTCGTGACAAGATTTTGCTTTGGGGACAATTAATTTTTACCTTTTGACCCTGTAGTTTGACCTACATTTCAAAAACTTTACCCTTCATTCTTGTTCATTATTTTTGAATGGTCAGTGCACAGGAGTCTGAAGTTTTTATCGTCAAAAAAAAAAATTAATAATAATAAAATAAAATAAAATGAAAAAAAAATAAATAAAATAAAAATCGGAAAAAAAAGCTCCCTCCTCAACTACGTGTTTTTTTTTTTTAGTTGTGGCGGGAAATTTTTTTCCGGATTTTTTTTTTTTTTTTTTTTTTTTTTTTGGACAATAAAAACTTCAAGACTCCTGTTGTCAGTGCTATGGCTTTCATATTTCACAACTGCCATATTTGTGACAGGGACTTTTTTTAAATCTCTTAATCATGTGGGGAGGGGGTGGGAGGGGTGGGGCGGAGTTTAGGTTGTTGACTTGCAACTCAGAAACATAAATTTTCGCCATGAGATGCCTGGGTGTTTTCTGAACACATCTTGTTTTTATGCCCTATAATCAAAGATTCGGGGGTATATTGTTTTTGCCTTGTCCGTCCCTCTGTCTAGCTATCCGTCTTTTTGTCCGCAAAAACTTAAACCTTACCCATAGCTTTTGAGTGGGTGCGGCAATGGCTCCATACTTCAGAGGTGTATTCCTTGTGACAAGACCTCTCTTTGGGTAACACTAAATTTGACCTCTTGACCTTGGAGGTTAACTAACTTTTGTCCAAAATTTCTGAACTTTAACCTTCACCATAACTTTTGAACAGTTGGTGCTAGGGTTTCCAGACTTTTCAATCTAATTAAAATTAGATCTTTGATCCGCTCCAGTTTGATCGCTACACAAAGACAAAAACTTTGTGTAGCGATCAAACTGGAGCGGATCAAAGATCTAATTTTAATTAGATTGCAGACTTTTATTCTTTAATTAGACCTTCCTTTGGATAATAATAATTTTGACCTTTTGACCTTAATCTTTGAGTTTGACTTGCATTTGAGAAAATTCAACCCTCGCCACAAACTGTCATACGGGCGTCAGTGTTTCACAATCACATCTTGTGTTTTTCACTATTGTTTTCAATAGTGTCTGAAAAGATCTAGAGACACAAGACCATTTTAAAAAAAAAAAATTGTTTACCCTCTCTTGAATGACTGGCTACAAATTACCCAACCCAAAACTAAAATTCGCACTGTACCTACCGACCCAATTTTTTCTTACCGTGAGTTGGGAGAGGGCAAACAAACATTATTTCAAAGATGGCCTCATCTCGATCTTTAGGAAAAAATGCGTCAAGGAAAGCATTACTGCTGTAAAATAAAAAGTACTGATCTACCTCTTTTGCAAAAACACATTCAGCGTCAATGTACATTTAGATGAAGATTATCTTGGTATCTTCTTTCATAATTTACAATGCGTATCAATCAACTCATATTTTATATATGTCAAAATTCAAAGAAAATTGTACCAATATTATACAAGTAATTTTGCAGGAAAATGCGATAAGGCACAATCAACAAAATTCAAATCCATATTAAAAATATTCTTGGCACTACTCGAAACTCTGGGTACAAATAACTCTGGTCACTTTTTCTTGTCATAACCAATAGCGACACAAGCTTTATACACTGAGGAGTCGTTGATAATATCCAGTAGATATTTGGCCACATCTCGTCGGGAGATCTGTGTTTCACTGTTCTCCAGATATTGACGGCCGTTTTCTGCTTGAATTGGTTTCTCTGATATAAAAGAAAAAAAAATGTATGCAAGCATGCACTGTATCGAGAGATGAAAACATTTTGAAAGTAGTGTGACTTTTTCAAATAAGAGACATCATATTTTCCTTCTGCTATACAGAACGCAAAATCAGGATGAAGAACATTGTACATGTATATATGCCAAGCAGAGTCAAAATTCAATACAGTATTCTCGAGAGGGATGTAAACAACAAACAAACAAAATAAACGCTAGTATTATAGTCTCAAACTCGAATAATTTTTAATGCGAAGCATGCTACTTGCTGATAAGTTGAAGTTACAAGGATTTCAACAACCTTGATCAAAGTCGGTATTTCGTAAATTCTATGGTCGTTATATAATGATCTTGTTAGCAAATATAACTCATCATTGGGTGGAATTTTGGCTGACTTGTTTGATACCAATTATTAGCCCATTGTTTTATACTGATTTCACTAGGAAAAGTTCTGTCTACCTGATTAATACACAGGGCTCAGGGCGGATGTGATCGGTCAACAGGAAGCTTACTCCTCCTAGGCACCTGATCCCAGTCCTGGAATTTCAGAGGTCTGTGTTTATGCCCTCTTTTCACCTTTGTATTGTTTATAGAATTTTTTAGACCGATCACTGTTCGTTATCATCATCTTAAACGTATCGCCATCATAAACTTACCTATTTCCAAACATTTTAACAATACCTGTACTAGGTCCGTTAGAAAGCCATGGCAGTCGGACGGTAGTGAAGTTTATATCTTGACACTCCTGATTTAAATAGTCCTCCATTTCTCCAATATTTTCCAGTATTTCTCCGATTAACAGCCGCCGTAGAACCCATTTCATAAGAAAAGGTTCGCCCTCTGTAACTGTGAAGAGAATCCACAATTCAAACAAGCTCACATAAAGGAGGGAAGACCGGACAAAGGATAGATAGAGAAGGGGGGTTGAAATTAAAGAAGCCTTTTTAAAGTTAAAGAAATCCATAACCGTTTTGTTAAACTTCTCATATAAGGACTAAAAACAAAAAGAATCGTTTTCTTTGTCCTATATATTGATCATACCTGCACTACCCCAGGATGACATGGCTATTAGACGCTTCACTCCCGATTTCCTCATTGCTCCCACTATACTCCTGATGGAGTCCGTGTACAGGGTACATTTGTTCCTCCCGAACAAAGATCCCCCACCGGACCCCCCTCCCCTAAACACGATACAACAGCGTCACATCCTCCAAAATGTGGAACCAATTCATCCTCCTTAAAGATGTCTACTTTACATACCTGAGAGAAAAAATGTAAGTGTTTGGTCATTGCTAGTTCTAAGTACTTTCAAAATAGGATCGGTAGTGGATCTAAGGTTGCTCACGATAAAATAAAAAAGTTCTAATGAAGATTACAAAAGTGATGCTATATTATACTCAATATCTTCTGCAGAGAGTGTTTATATCTCTCAGTTAATTAGGTATGCAAAAGCACGTTCTGAGTAAGATCTTTTATTTTAATCAAGGCAAGTTACCGACAAATAAGTTGTGATTACAGGGTTTCGTCAATTTTGTTTAAATCAGAATTTGCAGATTCTATGCATAGATTAGGTTCGAATGGGTTTATCAGTCCTGAAAGACAAACAAATGAGGTATACATTAGTACACTTATCATTCTGGACTAGAGAACAGTTACTGTAATATGTTTGATACAGTAAATACATAATATATTTTAATACACTTCTCTGGAACTTATGGTTTTACCTAGCCCGGCCACATGTTTCCTTCTCTCGGTTATAAATCAAACTGAGCGGTTCTCGAAGAGAAGACACGGGTTGTTATAAATTCAACCGAATTAATTATAGATTTTACTCACATTTTTCTGAGGTCGTTATCATATGAAAAACAATATGAAACTCGGCTAGAGTACGGCAACATAGCGAAGGTTAAATGTTCTTAAATGCAAATCAAACATATTGATACCCCAAATAAGCTAGGTCTTCTCACAAGAAAGACAAATGTGAAATATAAAACCCTTGCACCATCTGTTCAAAGGTTATGGGCAGGGATTACGGTTTGAAGGTAGGTCAAATTCCTGGGTAAAGGTCAAAGGGTCAAGGTTGTTGGTTTCTAAAGAAAGACCTTGTCTCAAAAATTACATAGTGGAAGTACGAAAGCCCCAGCCCTAACCATTCAAAAGTTATGGCCAATTCTAAATTTTTAAGAAGTAGGGCAAACTCCAAGGTCAAAGAGCCAAAGTTCAATCCAGTGAAAGGTCTTGTCACAAGGATTACACATGTGAAGTTTGAAAGTCCCAGCACCAACCGTTCAAAAGATATGGCCAAGTAATGTTTTTTAAAGTAGGCCAAACTCCAGGGTCAAAGTTGTTGATATCCGATGGAAGGTCTTGTCACAAGGATGTGAAGTTTGAAAGTCCTAGTACCAACCGTTCAAAAGTTATGGCCAAAGAAAAATTTTGGATAATTGATGTAAAAGTGTGTCAAACTCCAAGGTCAAGGTCAAAAGGTCATATTTGGTAGCCCCAAAGAGAGGTCTTGTCTAATGGAATACACCTGTGAAATATGAAATTCATAGTCCCACTCAGTCAAAAGTAATGGTCAAAGATTTTCTGACAAACATGCAGCTATACGGACGGACAGAACAGAAACTATATACCACCGAAACTTCGTTTACGGGGGCATAAAAATTAACGCTATACACACTCATTCGTATAAAGATATGCATATTTCGCCTTTTGTAGATTTCTGACAATAAAAATCCACCCACGCCCAGTTTAAGTTTGAAAACTGCAGGGACTTTATCAATTATGTGACCTAATTGTCCCCCGCTTTCGCGAAAGCGAGGGGACATTAAATCTCATTCGTCTGTCCGTCAGTCTGTCCGTCACAAAAACTTTAACCTTGCCCATAACTTTTGATTTAGTGGAGCTATGACTTTCATATTTCACATGTGTATTCCTTGCGACAAGACCTTTCTTTGGGTACCACCAAATTTGACCTTTTGACCTTGACCTTGGAGTTTGACCCACTTTTACACAAAAATTCCAAACTTTTACTTTGGCCATAACTTTTGAATAGTAGGTACTCGGACTTTTATATTTAACATATGTATTGTTTGTGGCAAGTCCTTTCATTGGATAACAACAACCTTGGCCTTTTGACCTTGACCTTGGAGATTTACATACTTATGAAAAAACTTTAACCTTGACCATAACTTTTGAACGGTGAGGACTAGGGCTTTCGTACTTCACTTATGTAATCCTTAGAGAAGACCTTTCATTGGATACCAATAACTTTTACCCTTTGACCTTGACCCTGGAGTTTTAACTACATTAGAATAACTTTAACTTTGGTCACAACTTTTTAACAGTGGATACTAGGATTTTATATTTCACATATGTATTCTTTGTGGCAAGACATTTCATTGGATACCAACAACTTTGACCTTTTGACCTTGACCTTAAAGATTTACGTTCTTATGAAAAAACTTTAACCTTGACCATAACTTTTGAACAGTAAGGGCTAGGACTTTCATACTTCACACATGTCACAAAATTCTTGTGGCAAAACCTTTCATTGGATATCAACAACTTGACCCTTTGACCTTGACCTTGGAGTTGACCTACTTTTAATTTTTTTTTTACTTTGGCCATAACTTTTTAACGGTCAGGATTAGGGTTTTCATTCTTCTAAATAAATGACATATAATAGGATGTTCATATTACACACAATATGTCATAAAAATAACATCTCACCCACAAAGACACCGAAAGCGGGGGACCACAATTCTTTGAATTTGCTTGTTTTACCTGTAGTTTATCGTCCTTGATGGTCAGTTTATCCGGGTTTCTCACCAGGGCCACGACACTGTACCCTCTCTCCAGGGCTTCTAACACTGTCTGTAACCCTGACGGGCCAGTAGCACCCAAAACAGAGATTTTCATCGTTTTTCTTACATATTACATAATCACTAAAGATCTCTACGCTCGAGATAGATAAATAACAGATCTATGGGGGTACAAAAGGTGCAATATTTATACATTAATTAACTCATCTTTCTGAAGTCTTAAATTCATCTGCATTTGTATTTAATGCTAGATATAGCTCCCATATGAATCCTCTGTCAGTTGATCTGGGGATAATTCTACAGTGTTGGTAGTTAAAATAATGCAATGCTTAAAAATTTGTTTTAGCCCTACTTCATGAAATCTTGTTAACTTTCAAACACTACATTGACATTGACTACTTCTCCTCTATGCAAATCTGTATACTAGTATTAGTTTATTACTAATTTCCTTCATAATTATATACCTACTCTTTACAAGAAGGAAATATGGAGATAACGAGTAGTCTGTTTTTACCCTATGTGATGTTCAATAGCCACAGTAGACTTGGTTCAGAATCACATAGGGTAAAAACAGACTATAGGAACTCTTTTATTCGAGGAGGTAAACAATTTCGTCATGGGAGCCATATTTCGAACGCAGATAACAGTGAATATTTTTATGTTGGGATTTACATGCCTAAACGCTTAGATATGTAGAAATAATAGTGACAGAGAGTCAAATAAACAACTAAATGACTTAAGTGAATCGAACGGCAGTGTGGTCTAAGTGAATAATTCTTGCTATAGTCGACCGAATTTGGAGCCTAATTTCCAGACGTGAACTATTAATGGTCGTCCAGAGATTCTGCGACGGCGTCAGTCCAAATATCTAGTCTAGCAGAATCTCAACAGAGATTACTCTAAACATCATCAGAGACCTGTTGGATGGTGCAATAGACGAGTAAACCTCGTTGATAGGTAGCAATTGCTATGTGCTAACAATGTCAATGAATCGACCATAGAATTTATAAATTGTTGACTGTTGATATCTTAGTGTCACCAACTTATTTGTCAAAAACGTGTCTGTTTTTAGAGCTTGCTCTTGCATATCGAACTCCATATATGTAGTTGATGTACATAAATAATAGAAGTTGATGATAAAGAAAGGTAAGCTTATCTCTTTGTCAATAAATTTTCTAGTAAAGTGTCCAAATATGAAACAGAGATGTGTTCGATTCTAGATCAGTGACGACTTTGTTTTCGAATATAAAGAAATACATATGTAGCGAAACAACGTACAAAAAAGTGTTAATTCGTCAAACGCGTGTGGTTGGTATGTCTGAATGTGAAATTGAAGGCCAAATCAGGAGATTTCTTTTTTCATATAGTACTTTTTTTTTTAAAATTCTGCATCATATTATACATAAGTAGGTCTGTTTATGAAAGGGCGCAATTAGTACACATGAGAATGCCAACAAAAGGGCGATGGAGATTAAAGGGTAATTTCCTTGGTTCACCATTTCCTTTAATTTTGATTTAAAAAAGATGATTGAAAATATCCTGACTGAGGGATTAAAAATAGTTATGAAAACAGTCTTCTGAACTTTTCTGCTTCAAAACTGCAACTTTCTGAAATTTGAGCCCAAATTTTGCATTTATTTTTTTTAAAATTTAGATTCATTCGCTTTATTAAAATAGATTTATTGTCTATAAATTTTAAATAAAAAAGAACATTAGATATTAACATTTAAATACGGAGTAATAAACAAGGTGAATTTTTCTTTAATGCACAATTAACCCCTCGATCCAAGTGCATGGTTACGTGTTTCCTTTTTAAAAATTTATTTCTGAGACTTTAAGTATCATGTAAGACATTGTTAATGCGTAGTTTGAAGTCGTGTCCCATTTTCTATTAAAAAAATGATACGTTTTATAATTTGCAATGATCTATCCCTTCTCTCTATTGCGTCACTGTACATATATAGCATTGTATAGGGTGTCCCTAATGTCGTAGTCTGACTGGTCTTTTCATGAAATCAGATATTTACAAAATTTTGCACCTCCCACCGTACCCCATTTCCTTCTACATCAATTAATGGTTTGATTTAAACTGGGAAATTAATATGCTTGTAAGGTCTTCTCATCATTATAAAACCCCAAATCCAAGCAAGTCGTTTTGATGCGTCACATAAAACACTAAAGCAATAACTTAAAACATTTTTTATTTTTTTTAAATTGAATCTTCAAAAAAGATATAATTTAATAATATCAAACTGCATACTTTATGAAAGACTTAAAAAAAATTATGTGAGTTCAAAATGTTGCCGAACACTCTTAAAATCCAAATTTTTCTCGTCAAAGATCGTTGTGTAGTACATACGAGTACATGTATTTAATCTATCTTAGGTTTACATTTCCTTTAAAGTCCACTGCTTGAAAAATGACTCCATTTCCAGGATTCTATTCCAATAAGAGATCCATTTTTGGAGGGATAATTCAATCTCACTCAATTTTAATCCTCAAAAATACAGTTCCGTATTTGTTTACTATACATGTATTTTTTTATCATATTAACTACAGGTATATGACCTTTACGTAACCTTTGACCTAAACCAGATAAGCAATTATAATTTTGATGAGCGTTGGTAGACCAATGTCTTATTCAACAAAAGATGCTTTCCAAGTATGTGTTATATGAATGACAGGTATATTCATGTACAAGGCACACGTAGGAAATTGAGGTTCTATGGTCAGTCAATGGAAACTGCTATCACTTTTTCTTGTCATACCCAATAGCGACACAAGCTTTGTACACTGAGGAGTCGTTGATAATATCCAGTAGATATTTGGCCACATCACGTCGGGAGATTTGTGTTTCACTGTTCTCCAGAAATTGACGGCCGTTTTCAGCTCGTACGGTTCGTCCTGCAATATTAATTATAGAAGGATATTATCCATTCATTTCGGAAGCTGGGATCCAGAATTTTTTCTAGCGTGGCCGGGATGGGGGAGAAGGATAAAACGTCCCATAAAAATTCTACACGTAAAATGCGACGGATTTTTTTTGGGGGGGGGGGGGACAATTGAATTATCTTTCATATAAATGTCAAACTTTATCGCTTTTATCACGAGGGGGCTATATTGTCCGATAAGATGTGGTCATAGGTCATAATTTTGGGTTACCTAACAAATAAACGTGTGTTAATTTTATTAACTCTGAATATCCCAGGGTGGGGCTCTAGATCGGTTGCATTGATGTAAAAAAGTCTATATATAATACGCATACCATGAAATATATACATGTGAAAAGCTGCCACTATTGTACAAACGGTATAATTTTTGTCGGTGATAAATTATATAAATTTAATATAAAATCTCTCGCTATCTTGTATCCTGACATTACCTGTACTGGGTTGGTTACTAAGCCCTGGTGGTCTAACAGAAGTGTAGTCGATATCTGGACATTCTTTGTTCAGATAATCCTCCATTTCTCCGAGATTCGTCAGTAAGTTTCCGATAAACAGCGGCCTTAGTATCCATCTTATAATGAACGGCTCGCCATCTGTCACTAAAAATCGTAATAAATGATTAAAGTGTATAGAAATCTAATTTTGTAGTCATGAATTTCATCTAGTTATAAATACAAACAGGGACGTTTAGTTTATTATGGTGTGTATAATCCCCTCCCCTCAGGACTATACTTCAGTACCTGCACTACCCCAGGCGGACATCGCTATCAGACGCTTGACCCCCGACTTCCTCATCGCCCCGACTATACTTTTGGCGGAGTCTGTGTAGAGGGTACATTTAGTCCAACCAAACAAGGAGGCAGATCCTCCCAGGCATGACACGACAGCATCCGAGCCCTTAATGTGAGGGGCCAGCTCATCCTCCTTAAAGATATCCACCTTACATACCTACAGAGAGAAAGGTGTGTCAGTTTAACTCATGGAGAGAGAGAGAGAGAGAGAGAGAGAGAGAGAGAGAGAGAGAGAGAGAGAGAGAGAGAGAGAGAGAGATGTAAGAATTTAATAAAACTGCTTGATAGAGTCGAAAAAGTTGCATCATCGATGACATAAACATACATGACATATACAAAATTACAATAAAAGAAAAAAATATTCCTTTCTGTAACTTTTCTTTTAAAAATAAATTGATCCTTTCATCATGTTCATTATTGATCATTTCATTACACGTAATATCATTCATTTCTGGATTTATTTTGAAATCAAAGACACTATAGAAGTAGGACTGTTTGCTTACCACCCCCCCCCCTTCTCACTCTCTGACACCTTCCGTTAAGAAGTATCCGATGATCTATTTTACCTGTAGTTTGTCGTCCTTGACGGTCAGTTTATCGGGGTTTCTCACCAGGGCCACGACACTGTACCCCCTCTCCAGGGCTTCTAACACTGTCTGTAACCCTGACGGACCGGTAGCACCCAACACAGAGATTTTCATCGTTCACGTATACGGCCAATGTTTTGTATTGCTTATCTATCTTTTTACAAAGGTGAATCGTCTATGGGGAAAAGGCAGGGTCAAAATTATAGTTGTATTGCAATTGAATGAATTTTACAGTGGCGGGTTGGAGGGCTGGGCAACTGCCCACCACTCCTTAATATGTATTTTGAAAATAACGTAGCACATTAAAATCGCCGCTGAAAACCACTCCTCCTATTGAATAAGAAAACCGGCTCTTTTCCATGCTAACCAGTGAAGTTAGTGAAAAAAAATTTAAAAAAAACTTATAAAAATAAAATTAAAAAGTCCCAATATTAATGTTCATCTACAACTGTCAACAAGTATGTAAGTATGAGATTAGATTAAAGTGAAAAATAATATAAAGTATTGCTTACCTTTTCAGAAATAAGTTTCATATGTCTTAGCCATGATACATTTAGCTAACACACTTAATTTTTACTAATTAACTTATTGATAATTATCAAAAGAAAATAAAAAATAATGTTTCGGATTAAAAAATGTGTGATTAAAAGTAGTTTCAGCATATTCTTAGTACATGTACATACTTATATTAATCAATTTACACATGGTTCATAACTTGAAATAATTGCTTACATGTAAAAGCCATATAATACTGATAAAAAAAAATATATTTTTGAAAAATACAAAATTAAGTAAAGAAATATTTTGATAACACAGTTAATTTTCACTAATTAACTTACTGATAATTACTGATAATTATCAAAAGAAAATGAAAAAATAATGTTTCGGATTAAAATGTTTTGGATTAAAATGAGTTTAAAATTATGGTCTCCTGCACCATACTGCTGACCAATACTAGTATCAGAGAGAGGGTTTTATTTTGTAAATCTTCTAAATTATAGAATATAACCTTAACATATCCATATAATTCTTTTCATAGGGCCATTAAATTTCAAATAGCATGTTTTAAACGAAAGATATAGCTTTAAGATGTTTCACATCACAGGCACGTAGCATCGTTTTTTAAAGTGGGGGGGGGGGGGCAGCAACAGAATTTGCTTTTACTTACCTATAAAAGTTGACAAGCGAAAAAAAAAGGAAATTGCCCAAACTCACAAATCCTATTTCGTGCCGGGGGGGATGTTAGTGACCAACTTTTTTCAAGCCAACTTCTTTCACTTCCAATTTTTCCCCCATACAATACATGTACTACATTTTCTTGATATCACTTTACTGTGGTAAGAAGTGGGGAGGGGGGGGGGCAAACCAACCTTTCAATGAACATTTTCAGTAGTAAAGGTAATGTTGGAAAAAAAGTGGGGGGACCAGCCCCCCCCCCTCCCTGTTGCTACGTGCCTGCATCACAGGCGGACACAGGATTTATGATTGGGTCGTTGATGACTTCGTTCAGCCAGGGGGTATGGGAGCCGCATTGAGGGGAAGCCCTCTTAGGCTCCAAGGTTTTCGTGTATTTTAAAGGTAAAACCAGGCACAACTAGAGGTACTGTGAGCAATGGGCTCACTAAATAATACCCCCCGCCTCCCATATGAATATAATGGCAGCGTCCAAGTTTTGCTCTGGAAAATCCAAAATATATGTCAGATCAAAAAGTAAAATAGGAGGTGCACAATGGCAATATGTAATGAAGATTCTGTGAAAGTTTCATTAAATTTCCTTCAGTGGTATGAGAGGAGTTGCGGATAAGAGATGGGACACTACCCCAAAGCGTAACAGACGGACGGACGGACATACCGATTACTATATACCCTCCCACTTTTCAAGCGGGGGGTATAAGAATACTGATATTGGTTAAATATTCTCTTAAAAATCTACTTGAAAAAAAAAAGAAAAGCAATTATTTAAACAATGGTTAGACCACAAAAAAAAAAAAAAGAATGCCTAGGGAATGCAAAGTTTTCAGACTTGATTTTAAAGAAAACTGATACTTGGTCATTTAAAAAAAATCCATTTATTAATTGACCATTAAGAATAAAGATAAACCATGGTATTAATATTAGTGAGTCATGTCATACTTTGAAAATTTTATGGGGCGTGCGCCTCCTACGCCATCCTAAATCCGCCAGTGCACATTATTATCACAAGCACTCGCACATTCCTATATACCCCCCCCCCCCCCCCCCCCCCCGGACAGAATACGTCAGTAGCGAAGGTTTTAGGTTTTGCATTATCCGCCCCTAACCAAGCTCCAAACAGCTCAGTATTACGTTACGCTACAACTCCATATTCGTAGGGAAAGTAGTCCCGGAGAATCGACACTGTATGGAGTTTGGCCCCTAACATTGTGCTCAATGAGAAAAAGTCTATATTTATGATCAGGTACCTTACAATGAGTTTCTTGAGATTATTCTCAACGTACCTCACAATGTACCTCGGTTACTCATTATTCATTACTAACCCCCCCCCCCCCAAAAAAAAAAATCCGACCGCTAACCTTGGCCATAACAGTTGATGCTACCTGGCTTTCATCAAAGCGGAGCGTAAAACACCCTCTGGTGAGAGGTTGGGGCTTTCATATCACAGGTGAATTTCGCTTGACAATTCAATTCTTTTATTGACCAATTAAGGGTCATGGGGCAAAAAAGAAAGTACATTGTATTAAAATTTATATAATGATTATGATCATACACATGAAATAAAATATACATATACATAAGAGGGAAAGGGTTGCTTGATTGAAAAGATTCCTTTGGATACAACAATTTTGACCTTGATCTTGCAGTTTGATTTGCATTTTAGAAACTTGTAGTTTGATTTGCATTTTAGAAACTTAATTGTAGTTTGATTTGCACTTTAGAAACTTGTAGTTTGATTTGCATTTCAGAAACTTCAAACCTAGTTATAAGCAGTGTTTCATAAACATGTTTTCTTTTTTGTTATCACTCATAATTTTCTATGTCCCGAGAAGACCTCCGTACTTTAATAATTATACTCGGGATCGGCATTCATATGACATTGATTTCGTAAGAAAATCAACAACGCAATGTGACTGCCAAATTGAAATTATTTCGCCCTAAAAACTCTTATACAATGATCAGGAAAGGATAATCATTAAATAAAAAAAATGGTAAGATGATTTCTGCACACTTTAGCGCTACTTTTATTCATAATTGTTGTTTTCAATCCATTGAAATCGAAAATGTGGTGCTTAACTCGAATGTCCTCAGACTGTAAACTGCGTTTCTTCTTGTTACTTGTTAAATGTCGACCCGTTAAAAGTCCCTCCTTTGTCAGTTCTTTTAAACGCATGTTTTTTGGCAATGAATAGAATCTTTGTCGTTAGAATGATTCGTGTAAATCAAATGGACTTTAACTGGGTGAGAGACATGCAGATGTTGGCTTAGATCAATCTGACTTTCATTCCTGCTTTTATATTTGACATACAGAGGATAAAGTAAGTAAGTAAGTAAGTAAATTTTATTTAAAGTCGGCATTGTATACATACATAACAATAAACATGAGCTCTGTAGAGCTCTTCAACCGACTATCACAGTTAAAATATCACAGAAAGACGTTTACACATAAATTATCATGCAAAAACACATGTACATATATACACATACAAAAATTATGACAGATAAAATGAATTTTAAGAATTAAACAAATTTTAAGAATTTATAGTTTCTTTAGAATAAGTTAAAGAAAAATAGTCAACTTGAAAAGCAATATGATTGCATTAAGAGAAACAAAAATAAATATAACGTGAGTATTATAAATAAATAAATAAAAGTCATATGATAGTACATGTAATAAAATTAAGCACTAAGTTTAATTCATAAATTCAGATAAAAATAACTAATTGTATTATTAATAATATTAAAAATAAATAAATAAATAAAACCCGATAATTGAACACATTTGAAAGTTTAGGAAATTTAAAATTCACACAGACATAGCTAAACCAAATTGAGAAGGAAGGAAAGAATGAAAAATAAAATAAATAATAATAATAATAATAATTTTTAAGAAATTTATGTTCTTCATCAGTACACATCCTGCCTAGTGATTGGGTCAGTCCCTACCTACATAGGCAAGATATGCATATTGTGAGGTTAAAGGGAAAAAAACTAGAAAACAATGAAATAAAATGAGATAGGTGATATCATTAGAGAAAATGAAAGATTTCAAAAATAAATGAAAATTCAACTGTTTCTAAACATTGTCTCATCAGCTATGCAGCCCCACGCCGTGGTTTCTGCAGGAACTGCATTTGCATTTTTCCCCCGTCCATGTCTCTATGAAAGTTTTAAATTGGCTGAGGGTGGAAAGTTCCCTAGCATGATTTGGTAGAGAATTCCACAGCGTAGCAGCTGCATAGCTGAATGACTGTTTTCCATACCTAGTGGTTCTTGGCCTAGGTAATTCCAGGGTCTTTTGATATCTAAAATTGTATGTTGAATTTCGCTGTTGAACTAAATCTTGCAGGAACAGTGGGCATTGATTGTTTATAATTTTGAAAACTTCAAGGGCCATGGCTCTCATACGCCTGATTTTCAGTGAGGGGAGGTTTGATTTTTCTAGGAGCTGGTCATAACTGCTTGTGTAGTCATTATATATGAATCTTAGTGCTCGCTCTTGAATTTTTTCTATTTTTTGGCAATTTTGTTCACTGCTAAAATGCCATACCAGAGGACAATAACTAAAGTTGGACATTATAAAGGAGTGATAGATGGTAAGTTTACCCAGTTTACAGAGATGTTTCCCGACACGTTTTAACACATTTAATTGTCGAGCTGCTTTTTTACAAATATTTGATATATGAGAATTGAAGTTTAAGTTAAAATCAAAAGTAACACCAAGCAGTTTCACTTCATCCTCACAGGCAAGAGTTGTACCTTTCAAGTTTAAAGTAATGTTTTTATCATGCGTCTTTTTCCCCAGTGCTATTGCTTGAAATTTTTCTGGGTTTGCCTGCATTTTATTAGCTGAAAACCAATCGATGAGAGTGCCACTTTCCTTTTCAAGAGTAGTAATAACATTTTTAGCTCACCTCAACGAAGTTGGGGGGAGCTTATGTGATACCCTCGGCGTCGGCGTCGGTGTCGGCGTCCCAGGTTAAGGTTAAGTTTTTTGGAGCAGTTTTCTTTTTAATTACTTCTGTGTCCTATACTGATAAGACATGCATGGAAGATGCTTTAAGTGTGTTTCATTGTACCAGTCAAAGTTTCAGATGCTGCAATTTCAGCAAAGGAATTACCAGGTTAATGTTTTTGGAGCAGGTTAACATTTTTGGTGCAGTTTTTGGTGTGGGTTTCATTTCCAAGTAACTATAAGCCCTATGTTGACAAAACTTGCATGGAGTAAACAACAAAGTATGCATACTACCGGGCTTGCTTCGGATGCTGAATCTGACCTACATTTTCCGGTTGAGTGAACAAGTTAAAGTTTTTGGTGTAGGTTTCATTTCCAAGTAACTAGAAGCCCTATGTTGACCAAACTTGCATGGATGATACATCTAAGGATGCATACTACCGGGCTTGCTTCGGATGCTGAATCTGACCTACATTTTCCAGTTGAGTGAACAGGTTAAAGTTTTTGGTGCAGGTTTCATTTCCAAGTAACTATAAGCCCTATGTTGACCAAACTTGCATGGATGATACATCTAAGGATGCATACTACAGGGCTTGCTTCGGATGCTGAATCTGACCTACATTTTCCAGTTGAGTGAACAGGTTAATGTTTTTGGTGCAGGTTTCATTTGCAAGTAACTTTAAGCCCTATGTTGACCAAACTTGCATGGATGATACATCTAAGGATGCACACTACCAGGCGTGCTTCGGATGCTGAATCTGACCTACATTTTCCGGTTGAGTGAATAGTTAAAAGTTTTTGGTGCAGGTTTCATTTCCAAGGAACTATGAGTTCTTTAATGACCAGTCTTGCATAGATGATACATCTAAGGATGCATACTTCCAGGCTTGCTTCGGATGCTGAATCTGACCTACTTTTTGTGGATGAGTGAAAATGTTAGTTTTGATGCATGTTTCATTTCCAATAAACTATGAGCCCTATAATGAGCAAACTTGCATGGATGATACATCTAAGGATGCACACTAATGGACTTGCTTCGGATGCTGAATTGGACATACATTTTTCAGATAATAGACAAGGTAAAAGTTATGGTTGCAGGTCTATTACCAAAAACTATAAGGCTTATATAACATTATATAAACCAAACAACTGCTGCATCAAGAGATGAAAACTCTCAAATTTGCTTCAGATGCTGGATTTTCATTACATTTTCATAAAGAAGAAGTAGTTTAAATTTTTTATGTAGGTCTATTTCAAAGTATCAGATCAAAATTGCTTTTAAAAATATTTTCATTTTTGGAATGTATACTTTACGTTGGTTAATTGTGTGACTTTGCCTTACTTAAAGACAACATTCGTTGAGGTGAGCTCTGTAATCTCTGATTACCTATGTTGTAAGATAGGATCAGATTTGGATAAGGTATTATCATCAGCATAATTGTACAAATCTGAATTTTTTACAAAATAAAAAATATCATTAATGAAAATATTAAAAATGACTGGCCCAAGAAGATCCTTGAGGTACACCTTTAAAGATATCCAACAAGGTGCTTATAAAAAACTAATTTTGACACACTGTTTTCTGCAAGATAAATAGTTCTTTATAGATCTACCGCATTTTGGAGAGAGACCATAAGATTTTAGTTTGAGCAGAACAAGATCATGAGGGAGGCAGTCAAATGCCTTGGATAAGTCCATTAAAATAGCAGCAACATATTTATTTTCATCAAGAGCTCTCTTCAATCCTCGGTGATTCTTAATAAGGTCGATTGGCAGCCATACCCTGATCTAAATGCCGCTAAATAAGGGTTAAAAATTTTCTCAAAATAGTTCGATATATGGGTGTTAATTGCATTTTCAAAAACCTTGGAAAGAGCTTAAAACTGGTCTATAGTTTCCCTTATCTAAGACACTGTTCTTTTTGTGAATAGGGACTACTTGGGCTATTTTAAGGGAATCTGGGAAAACTGAGGATGACAGCGACATATTTACCAGTTTGGTCAAGGGACTGATAATAACATTTTCGCGTAATGTAGTATCTTTGGGGAAATCCCGTCTATACCCGTAGCTTTTCTGGTATTGATCTTACTGATTTGTTTACTTATAAATTCTTCATCAATAGGTTTAAATTGGAAAGATTTTGGTCGAAAAACATTGATCACTGAGTTGTGGCAAGTTTTCCCTAATCGCTTTAACACTTGGGTGATTATCATCAGTGCTTAAATTTGAATTTCCTATATTTTTGGCCACATTAACAAAGAAGTCGTTGAAGATTCCTGGTATTTTGGATTGGTCAGTTTCAATCACATCATTTTTAACAAGACTGTATCTTTCTGTGCACAACTGCCCTTGTTTGTTAAAAAAGGTTTAATAGTCGTCAGAAGTCGTAGAGTTTCGGACCATGTACATCTTTCCAAAAAGTAATTATTAACTGATTTATTCTTTAACTTTGGCATAGTTCCTTTGAATCATATTTGCTTAGTTCTTACTTGACCTACAAGTTTGGTATTTGTTGTGTAGCATTTTTTTGTTATAGATAGCTTTGCGTAGTTCTTTGTTCATGTATTGAACCTGATTGGATATAAGAGCAGGGGTTATAGTCACAGGAATACCGGATTTAAGGATCAGCTGCTATGTTTTGGCCAATGTTAACCAAAGTTGGTACAAAACAACCCTGGGTAAAAAGGGGTACTAAATTGTTAAAATGAAGGGCCAAGCCCCATTCCAAGGGCCAGGAATATCCCTGCCTATATGATGTAATTCCAGGTTATTCTGGTTAATTCCCCTCAACTTTCTGTTAGGAGAGGAACCCAAACTCCGTCGCCTCCATTATAAAGCCTCGGCCGTACAAGAAAACGATATACTTTCCACCAAACATTTAAGTTACAACTGCCTGTTTATCACATAGTGAAAATGTAAAACTTTGAAAAGTGATTATAAACAAGATCTGACATATGATAAAAGTCTTCAAAAGCAGTAACACTCAGAATAACCACTTGATCAGAGAAAACAAAAAAAAATTGATGAAAGCTTCTTGAGGTAAATTATTCTTCATGGATGGATGGATGGACAATATATTTACGATTTATGTATTGCTTTGTTATTCCTTTCAGAGTTCAGCGGTGATTTTAGCGGGACTTGGTATGGCTGTGGTAGGATTTGGTGGTTAGTTGTTTGTCATTAATGTTATCATAAAAAAAATCAATATTTAATTTATTTCACAGTTATCTCTTGAAGTACAATTTTATCTTTGTTAAGATAATCCATATGACAATACCAACAATTTTTTATTTTTAAATATTTTTTCTCTATGAAATCTATAAATAAGAAATGTGCAGTAAATTAAACAAAACATCTATTTAACAGGTAGATACCTGGCCAAACATGCCCCTGCCTTTGGTGCCACTGTGAAGAAGTCCATGGATGCTAGCCTCAACTCTGGGGTAAGTAAGGTAGTGCTCCCCCACACACACCCATAAAATACAATTTAAAACTACTGGAAATGCACTTTTTCCATGGGGTTATAATTCTGTGGAATTACAATGTCAGTAGATAAGAATATTTTTTGATTGACACTCAGTCACTGTAGTATCATTTGATGTCCTTAATACATTTTAAGTGTACTTAGGCAAATTTCCATGGAAAAATTATGGTCATTAACACATAGTGTAAATGTATGCCAATCCAACAAGCAACACATTCTGATATTGTTTTACTGTTTTTTTTTTAATTTGTAAATTCAATTATTCCAGGCTTTCAGTAAATACTACAAAGGTGGATTTGAGGCCAAAATGTCAAAAAGAGAGGCAGGTCTGATACTAGGAGTAAGGTAAGTCTAGACATATATCTCATGTTCTTCTCCCCTCTCTCTCATTAATAAATTCATATAGGAAAATTCTATGTTCAATTTATATTTGTAATTATGTATAGGTTTTTGTATTATAATACTGAATATTTCCTCTGAAAAAAAAAAATGAAGAAAAAAATTATTTTGTCAGATGATATTTGAACTTTTTTGTTTAGTATAATTAAAAAAAAAATTATGTTTTGCAGCCCTTCTGCCAACAAGGCCAGAATTAAGGAGGCCCACAAAAGGATAATGATTTTAAATCATCCTGATAAAGGTTGGTATATCTCTATTTATCATATGCAAATTTCCCATGCAAAGTGTATAAAACTATTTTTTTTTAAATTATAAAACTTTTTTTATTTAAAATTATAAGAAAATTGTATAATTACTTTATATAAAGAAGACCAATTGTGTTATAAAGAATGAAGACGGAAGAATTAAAATTCTTTAACACAGATAAAATTGTATTATTAAATGAAAATGTTCAGGAGAAAAGCTTTAATTTGACTATATTTCTTTAAAGTATTTTTAAAAATATATTTTTTTTGATCAGTTACGCCATATATACATGACTTCTTATTAAATAAGAAGTAAATATAATGTTATTCACTAAGCATTGAGAGAAGGATATAGAAGGATATCAAGATGAAAAAATCTAATAAAGGCATTAAGTACTGCTTCCTGGCCCCCAGGCTACTAATATGTTTTGCCTCAAGAATAAAAAAAAACATTTTTGAAAAGGTAGGAAACATTGATTGATTACTATTAGATTTTTTTTCCTGGTACATGCATGTATAGAGATCTTAGAAACAAGTATTAATATGATAGACAATAATCAAAAAATTGACAAAAGAAATCTTATTTCAAAGCCTGAGGATTTTTCATTTTTCCTGATTTTCTAGACTTGTAGAAAACTATTTCATGTAATCTAATTAGCTAATTAATAAAATTGAAAAAAATTGTATCAAATGTCATATTTTTGGAAGATTTATGTTGTTTTGGTGTTTTAATAGTTATTGCATACCATGCAAATTATTCTATATTAATGCTAGATTTTACAATTATGTCCTTTTACAGTGCTAATCTCTTTCAAGGGCTATAACTCTGAATCACCCTTGATTTAATGGTTGTTGTTTTCTTTTCTCACAGGAGGTTCTCCGTATTTAGCAGCAAAGATTAATGAAGCCAAGGACATGTTAGACGGCCATACAAAGAAATAAAGCAGGAGCTCAGTCTTCACGTGAAGTTGTGTTGAAGAGACTTTATGTAAACATTAACAGACTATACACAAGTTGATGTTTTATAATTTTTGTATGAATGTTTTGTAGATGTGTGGCCACAAAGTGGGTGATATTTTTTGTGACATTGTTACATGGTAATAAATTTTTAACATATTCATTCAATGTATTTGCCATTTTTTCTGAACTGGATGCAATCTTATAGAAATGTTTGCTCGTTCTATCAAATTTTCATCATGGGAGCCGTTTTGATCCAAGATTTATCTTTTTTTTTAAACATGAGACATTATGTAAGCTGACATTAGACCATGGCAGCTGACATTAGACCATGGCCCTTTACTCAAAGGAAGGTATACTAAACCAAAATGTGCACTAGATAATGAAATTTATTCCAATTTTGGGCTACATTATTATAAACCTTCTTGTATACTACAAATGAATTTGAAGGCTTATTCCAGATGCTGTATATTTTGATCGTCATGGTTTTAGTTTTGGTAAAGGCCAGCAGTTAAGTCTGTTCCAGAACAGTATCAACTCTTAGCTACCGGGGGAAAGGATATGCACTCTGTAGTTACAAGTGGGATCCCAAGATAATGACATAAATCTAAATGGCAATCCTCTGTAATTGTTAAATGGGAATTAACATTCAACATTCTGCATGACTTCTACACAGTTTCCAAGTATGTAATATATACTATCTGATTTAGTTTGTCACATGATATCTGGAAATGGCCCCAATCAAACTTGTAAGGTCATGGCAGTAAATTGATGACATCAGTTTAATAAAATACAATTTCCATTCATGTAACTTAGAATACATTTTACTACTCATAAACTGTAATCATATAAACTTTCACTTGAGTAATTGTCACATTACTACTAATTTTTTCCAGTATCAAATAAGGTCACTAGGTACCAGGTAATCAGACCTACAGAGGATTACAGAACAATAACTGTACAAAGGGAGCTAACTACTAGAACATGCTTATAGCAAACAAGCTTAAAATGAATGGACACTTACAGCGAAGGTGTCCATTCCCTATGGCTATAAAATATACTGGAACTTCTCTGATAGTGATTTAGCAAATTTTTCATAAGGAAGCAAAATTGTCAATACCTCTATTGTCAATATTGTCAGTACTTCATTATAAGCTCACTTTACTGTAGTTCACTAACTTAACTAATGTCATACCAGCTGAGGCCAAACAAAAAAATAACTTTGTTTACTGTTACATGCTGAAATAAAATAGGGTCGGTAGGTAGGAATTTTTTTTAATTTTATTGAATTTTTTTTTACACAATTCACATGAATTGGTTGAATTACAAAACAGTTTTCCCATTTTATGGTGCCTTAATTACTTTTGTTTGGGCTTGTAATATGGGTGGTAGACAATATAATCTTTCTTGCCAACTGCCTTACAACTCAGGGGTGTGTAATTAAAAAAAAAATCAAGCACTAACCCACAGGCTTGTAACAACAATAAAGTTATTAGTCCGAATTTAAAAGTGACCAGTCCAAATATTGGGGCAAAAAACTGTAAAAAATAATATTTTAAAAAATTCATAGTTGAGAAAGCTAGGGTCCTAAGCCATTCCTTTTAAAGTTGAAGTTTAAAACTTTTAAGAAATTATCTTTTCTTTTCTGAACAATTGCACTAACTAGCTTATCTAAATGAAGCAAAAATCATTTTATTTTCATTTAAAACCATTAAGCATAATTGATATATATTAAAGTTTAATCACATAACACTTAGCTATCATTTGATTTGGGGATTTGAAAGAGATATCTGCATGTATTTACCATTAACAGAGGAATGGTGTAAATTCCGATTAGTAAAAAAAAAACGATCGTTTTTTAAGTAAATAAGTCAGGTAGTACTGCAAAATGGATGAGATTAAAGTGATTTAAGAGCAGTAGGAGAATGCTAAAATTTTCATTAGTTGGAAATAAAATAGCAAAACAATGAGTGAAAATATCGTTTGTGTTTCTCATGTATTTACATGCATGATTTAAATTTTATTTTTACTACCCCCCAAAAAACGGTAAGAAAATGCTAGTTGCACACCCCTGCAACTGCCACGCAATGGTAAGCAAATTGCAACGAACTCGTTGATGTAGAAATTGAACTAACTTGTTTTGTTTCTGTACTTTCAATTTCGATTTCTTGAATGTAAAAGTTAAATTGACCGGCCAGTAACTTCCGGATTTTTATGACGAAAAAAAAGTTTGGGTCGGCGATTAAAATTAGGGTCGGTCGGGTAACCGTAAACAAACATATTTTTTTGTTACGCCTGATAATCATAGTATGATGATTGCTGCACTTAGATAAAATAAACAAAATATCACAAAACAATGTTTACTTTAAAACATTTAATATCTCATTAAATAATTCTTAAATATTGCATGACAATGTTTTCAATGCTGTGTACCATGTTTAATGTAAACAGGTCTAAAAAATGACCGATGGCTTGCTGAGAGAAAGACATTAAAAAAGGACCCCGACAATGACAACAAATTGTAAAAATGTTACAGGAAACAATATATACAAAATAAACTGTCAGGGTAGAAGTTACGAGTCTGTTAATTTGTTTAGTCCTGGTCCAAATTCAGCAAGTCCTTTAGTTAAAATGTGTTCATGAGATCTTGTTGCGTTTCTGTCATTATGCCATGCGAATACTCTGTATAATCTGAAATATCGCTGCAAAAGAAGGAGAAAAAAAAATTACAAATGTCGCTCTGAAATCAACAAATGCATACTTCCATAGAGTGATCAAAGATAGACAAATCTTCCTAATTAACAACAGTTCTGAGTATTGCTTATTTAAAATTTTTACAATGTTTGGAAAAAACATGTGCCAAGACTTTTTTCATAATTTTCATTACTTGGCACTGCGTTTCATGAAGCATGCCTGTATTATTAAACTATTTCTCACATTTTGTTCCTACTGTGTTAACTGTTTACAAATCAATAAAGATACAAACCTGATCCACAGACAACAAAGACAAAAAGAGCTAATAACCACGGTCCCACAGCATATTTGTCTTCCGCTGGTTTCTACAAAACAAAATAAACATTTACTACTTTTGATTTTTTTTTTCTCTAAAATAATTTAAACTTTATGGACCAATTACAGCAAAAGAAAATTATATTAAATAAAAGGCTGTTGTTTACAATTGTGAGAAAAATTTTGGGGAAAAAATAAATTATATGCATTTAAATACACCCATTTCCAATGCCATAATATGGATAATATATCTTCTCAGTCAAAAAATCCTAAACATGCAACTTAAACTGTCTGACAAAAGTGAAAAGAGGTTATAAATCAAGTGCAGTGTTAAGTACTTTACGTAAACATTTAATTTTTTCAAATCTATCCCCTAATTTTTTACTCTTCATCATTTGTTTGAAATGAAATATGACGGGGAATTATATTTAAATCACTTTAAATCCTTAAGACTGTAAAGAGTAGATATGTGGCATTCAAAATAATATATTTATCTGCAACCCATGACAGGATCTGAAATTAATAGGTATGTAATGATTTGGGCCAGGATAGCTCAGTCGTTAGAGCACCTGACTAGTGATGCAGGAGTCATGGGTGTGATTCCTAGTCGAGCCTACATTTTCTCCTTTCCAGGTTACAGGTACACAACCCCCTCAACATTTATGACTTATTTTCAAATAGTTCGACTTGCAATTATGTTCTAGTTGCCTGCATGACCATTAGAAAATTCATAATAATAAATTAAATATCTAATTTTCATATTTGTAAGAATGTTTGCATTTTTCTATATTCCAAAATTTAATATAACACTACAACACACACACACAACCAAATCATTAGAAACATGATCAAAACAAATGACTTCAAAGTATCCTTGACTGTCCTGCTTCATTATATAATTGTTAATTATCCTTCAAATGAATTATCAGCATACCAATCATTAAGGATTAGATTATTTATATAATATAATTCAAAATGTGTTTTCAAAACTACTTACAGTTTAAAAGTAAAGCTAAAAAGGGACATTCTTGTATCTTACTAATAAATATTTTTTTTTAATGAATTAGAGGTTTTTGCTTACAAGTAAATTGTCTACTAATGTTGTCCTTTTGGATCCAATTTACAGTATATGCCTCATATGTTCAGCGATTTACAGTTTTTTAAATTTAAATTTCATCTATAACAAATTGCTCCAATTGTCAGATAAACAAGATTAAAAAACATTAATGTTAGACATTCAATTTTCCGAGTTTTGAATTTACACGTCGGTCAGATTGAAACACACAAATTGCGTCAAATGATAATGACATATGGGAACTTCTCATAAGATAAACATAACAGTTTAGTGACATAAAAATTCTTACCAGTGTCTTCGGCACATTGCCTCTTGTTGTGATGTTCTTGCTGTGCTTTTCGTTGGCTAATCTCATTCTCTGTTTAGCAGCCATTTTCTGTTAGAATGAGATTAACAACTTTAAAAACACTAACTGTCCACAAAATTCACCACACACGTCAATATGCCTCCTTTTAAAAGGAAGTGGTAATGCGGTCGGCGTATGTTTTAAAAAATATAGATCTAAATCATAATTTAATGCATGCTGAAAATTATTGAGACTAATAAAATAAGAATAGTTACACACAATATTAAAAGTTTATGATAATTTAAAGGCATCTATATTTATGAAAGAGCTATAAGATTAAAAAAATATAGCGTAAGAATATATGAACTATAAGCAATATGACCCGGTAAAACGTGTCAGTGAAAGGTCAAAGCAGATTTTCGGAAGTTCTCTGACCTCATTAACAGCGTAAAGGAACCCAAAAGTAAAAATGGCGCCTCCCATAGCATGTGAGTTGCCAAAATACAATTTTCAAATGTTTAAACCTGCAGAAAATTATAATTTCTATTTTAATTCATGCAGAAAATAATAAAAATCCTCACTTTAACTTAAAGTTTAAGCTTGGTACAAATTCTGTAATATCATAAGAAATTTGGATGAAAGACATGAAAAAGTCATTACAAGATGGATGAAGAAAACACCGGCTAAACATGCTGAACATGATTGTAAAGTCCTTGTGCAGATGCACAGACTAATTCATAGAGCCTGTCGACTATAACATGCAGAAAAAGATATGTTTACTAGTGGCAACTGACAAAATGACACAATTCAGTTTTCTTGGACCATTGTCTGATGATTGTGTTGTCCAGAATAAAGAAATGACAAACATATCTCACTGAGCATAATCAAACAATATTTTAACAGTTAAGTCATAACACCACAGATTTTATAAGTAGTCACACAGACTGTTTAATATTTATGATGTATATTTTAACCCCCTAGTGAGAGGTTCTGATGGGATATGGATGGTCAATGGACCCCCAAACCTTGGATCCAGACCAGATTTTCCAGAGTGAGTCTTCAGGGTTTTATTATACCCCTGTTTAGAAAACAATGCTTCCTAATTTTAATTGAAGATGTAAGATTAAGTATAGGCTAATTTTAAAAAAGAAATTTAGTTATATCTGAAATTGAACTGACTAGAATATGTTGACTTTTCCCCCCAGAGATAAGAGTAAATGGTGCAAAGTTCTAGCATTCAGTCGGGATGGTTCTCTGATGAGTTGGTGTAATGGAGAGAAGTAAGTTACAATTGTGTAATTAAAAGCATTTTAATTCTTATCCAGACTTGGATAAAATCATTTATTGCAATTAAAATTTCTTTTATGAACATTTACAATATTTAGCCTTGCTAACATTCTCAAAGTAAAGTCAATATTTTTTTATGTTTCTCTGATTTTTCAAAATCAGCAGTAGAAGACTTATATTATTGGTACGTTATCAATGTTTTGTCTGACTTTGAACTTACTTTGTTTGTAGAACAGTAGTACTGAGAACGTCTGATTTCAAACAGTTAGCACAAATTGATAAAGCCAAAGTCAACTGCCTGAATTTTTCTCCAAAAGGAACAATACTAGCATTGTGGGAGAACTACACTGGTAAATCAATGAATCTGCAGGTTGAAAGAGTCTTTAATGAACATATTGAAAGTAACTTAGGGAAACAATTTATTTTGAAAAAGACACTAGCTGGCACTTACTGTAAATATTCCTCTGAAAATATGTGACAGTGTTGATATAGGAGAAGTACAGTAAAACACGCTATAAATGCCTATAATATAACGAAATGCTAGGGATGGATGATTTTGATTCATTATAAGCGATTATAATGAATGAATATAAATGATTATATCCGTTAAATGTCAGTATATTTGAAAATCATGGGTCAATTCTTTAAAATCGTGTTTGCTATTAAGCATGTTTTACTGCATTGAGTTATAGTTTTACAAGTCACTGTAAATGTACTTTATAAATCTGATTTCAGTAAACAAAGAAACAAACCAGGGGAACCCCAATCTCCACCTGTATAATGCACAAACAGGGGACCTTATCAAAAGTCTGATCCAGAAGAAACAGAGCAACTGGTATATGTAAACATTGTCATAAAAACACATAAAACACATGTTAAATATGTGGAATGGGGACATTATCAATAGGGCTAGGACGATATATCGATATATCGCGATATCTGTGAGAACGATATGCATATCGATACATTTGAAGAAATATCGAAATATCACCCGAAAAATCTTATTTCTGTTTTTCTTTGTTTATTTAACATTTGGGGTTTAATATATAAATTAAATAAGATAAATATAAATATAGATATGGAATAAATAATAATTAAAACCACTTGAGTAAAATATTTTTGTTTTACAATATATAAACAACTATTTTGAATAGATTATTCTTATTTGAAAAGAAATAAATTGTTGATTTCAATGCAAAAACAGATCTCATAAGCAATTAAAAATATCGTGATACATATCGTATCGTGGCTCAAATATCTTTATATGTATCGATATAGAAAAAGTTGTATCGTCCCAGCCCTAATTATCAAAAGCCTGACATAGAAGAAACAGAGCAACAAGTGTATGAAATATTTTACAATTATGGAATGGGTACTCAGGGAAATAGAAAATTTATGTTTCCCTGAGGGAGGAAATTGTTCCATTCCAAAGAATCCCATATTAAAATTTGACATTTCCCGAGTATCCATTCCATAATTTTTTTTCACTATACTGCAATGACTGAAGAAGATTAATTCAACCAGACACACAGACTTTTTTAAATAGACTATCAAATCAGGCACCTATATTCTAACAGGATAAGCAAATCTCGCGATATCTTGTAAGTTGCGGGATTTTGTAAGTCAACTTTAATTAATTATATCACTAATGCTAGCATATATTTCAGATGAAAACATTTAATTATCTATCAAAAAATAATTCTAGATTTGTTTTTAACACTGATTATACATGTATTTTAGTAGTAAATTCTTTTTATTCAAAATCAGCACATGCCCCTGATCAGCCGTATCTCCAAGAAATCTCCAATTTTGGTGTTTGTTTTCTTTATATTTAGATTATATGATAATTTATGCTTTAAAATTTATTAGATATTCATTCCAATACATAAAAGGAATAAATCACATTAATCAGAACACAGGCTTATGTATTTTTGTGTGTTTACCATAAATGTAGGGACCCTAAGTGGACAGATGACGAGGGAATCTGCTGCAGAAATGTCAACAATGAACTCCACTTCTTCGAAGGAAATGAATTTGGTATTTTACCTATTTGTTTACCGATATATTTCTGAGTTCTCAGAATATTTTGAATTTACAGAGTCAAATTCTTAATCCAATTACTGTAAAACGAGAAAATTTGGCGCATACGTATTTTAGCGCAAACGCAAGTGGGAATGCATTGGTGCAAATAAATTTTAGCGCTTGCACCTGTCAGTAAAATATATAAATGTGATATTTTTTTAGTCCACACCCGTATTTGATTTTTTAGTAAGTCAAGCACGGAAACACATTAGTACTTTCGTAAATCTGTAAACATTCGTTAACTTTACCGCGGTACGTGTTGCTATCATATGGACATGGAACAATGTAAAAATTTGTTTTATTTCTATTTTCAATTAAAAGAAATGGAGTATTTACTCCTTTAAATCATATTAAAACAATGCATGCATCGACAAAAATTTACCTAGACAAAACGGCAAACCTGATCAGGTTATGTCTGCAAGCTCAATCGCCATGCTTGATTGCATTGTTTACCTCGAGGCGATAGATGATTGACACGCCGAGGAGACAAACTTTGAAGGTGCTAATGATAATAATCGGGTAACAATGCTGGGGTAACAATAGTTTAATTAAATTATAATTTGGCAGAACTTTCTGTCTTCCGAACATGTGCAGTGTTAGTGTGTATATAAAATCCAATGACCGACATTACGTAATCGCGCGTTCCGGTTTACATGTACTTATGTAAAAGCTTTGAACACATACAAAATTGATATTTAGAAACCCTTTGGCGCACAATAAATTTTAGCGCTCAGGAGCTCTTGCACCAAAGGCGCTAAAATTAGTAGTGCGCCAAATATTCTCGTTTTACAGTATATATCTGGAAATACAGTGTAAAACTATAGACCATCATGTCAAATTAAGGACTTTACATATAATTCTGTGTGAACATGATTTCTAGATGCCATCAAAACAAAGTTACACATACAGAAAGTGTCCAGCTTTGCCCTAGCAGTGAGTGGCCCACCATACCACATAGCTGGATATGTCCCAGGGTCAAAGGTCAGTACCTCAGTACCTGTAGTAGTAGTATCTCCCAGGTAAAGATATAGGACAAGTGTTGAATTTAAATACACATACTTCAGTTACTGAAAAGGGCATACCAGTTGATGCTTAAAATGAAGAAATCATACATTCACTAGTAGTATTGACCTTTAATATGTAATACATTTTAGTTGTTCTTGGTGATTTTTTACCTATGTTTTTCTGTACATATATAAATCATTAAAAAAAAAAAACCAATTGATTTTCATCTTTGTTTAATTTCAGGGCCAGCCCTCTTTTGTCAGAATTTACAGATATCCAAATTTTGCGGGGCCTCAGGCAGCTCTAGCAAATAAAAGTTTCTTTAAAGCGGACGACGTTCAGATGAAGTGGAACAAGGCGGGGTCTGCTCTCTTGGTTCTCACTTCTACGGAGTCCTCAGATAAGAGTTACTATGGCGACCAGGGACTTCATTTCATGGCAACCAATGGAGAGTGTAGTCTTGTCAATCTGTGTAAGGTTACAATCTTAATTCAGATTGACAGTGTGCATTGAAATAGTAAACTTTACAAAAATGAATATTTTTACTCAAATCAAATACAATTTTGACAGTCAGTCAAAACTGAAATAACATAAAAGAAGAAATTTAAGTGAGGATTTAATTTGTCAATTTTAATGAGGTTGTCCAGTTTTCTAAAATTGAACATGTCATCATAAAATCACTGAAATTGGCTTTAGTTCAAATGCTAATTTTGGGAAGTTTCTAGTATGCCGGTCCCCAGAATCACGTGATTGCGCATGAGCAGTTATTTCCCTTGCTGTTGCTATGCAGAATGTAAACAAACCGCAATTTCCCACTCGTTTCAACAAAACGCATCCGATCGAGTGATTAGGGTTAGGTTATATAGTTTTTAAAATTGGAGTTGTTTTATAAATCCACTCTGTAATCTTTCTGACTTTGGGCTAATTTATGTAATTTTTGCTTACAAAAGGCACTTTGAGTGCCTTTAGTGACCAAAAACTTGCGTGAATCAGCCTGTCGAATGCCGATATCTTACACTTTGGTTTAGTTCATGAAATTTTTGCTTTACAAAGGAAAGTTTAAGAAATGAAAGTTTGGGTAAATCAACTCTATTGTCTAAACATGACGATTTTAAGCGCTGAGTTTAGACAAGTTATTGTAAAAGCGACTTACCGTTAACTGCAGCTCGATATCCTGACCTCCTAATCATGTCCAAATATTCAGAATATTTTTCCTTTCAAATCGATATTGATGCACAATTCAATCCATCGATGACTAGTAATTAGCTAACATTTGTTAAATCCCTGTATTTCCCACAAAAATCACGCAATTTTAGTAACATTGCACTTTGAGTCCTATCAGACATTTCTTCATTACGTCAAAACACAAGTGACGCATCTCATGAATATTTATGAGATTACGTCAAAAATTGATCATGTGACTACATTCCTAAACAACGCAAGATGGAGATTTACTTCCTAAACAAGTACGTTATTTTACGAAATCTTTTAATTCTCATTAAAAAAACTGTGTTTAAAAACCAGTTTTTTAAACCCAATTTTTCACAAGGAACACGAATTTGGGGTCAAATTTGTAATTTGTGGCTTCTTTTTCGATTTTGTCAATCGCTCACGCGATCTTCTATATATTGTACACCGCCTTCGGCGGCACCTATTTTAGCGCCATATTTATGGGGACCGGTATACTAGAAGTGTTCCCTAATTTTCAAGGGCAAATTGCTATAAAGTTTGAATCTCGCTAAAAATTCCACTGACACTGTCTTGGATTGTACAGCTGTAGTAAAATTTTTCAAACTAATTAATAGTTATGAATAAAAGATTTCTTTTAGAAATTCAGGCACTGAGATCATGATCTAAAGTTTAGCAAAGTTTGGTGATTGAGTTTTATCAATCCCGTTAACAAAACATTGGTGTTGATGCGAGATAACTGGGAGTAAATGTTTATCACTTTTCCTTCATTACAGCAAAGAATGGTCCTATTTACCACATTGAATGGAGCCCCCGGTCTACAGAATTTGTTGTTGTCTATGGCTGTATCCTTCTATCTGTCCTATGTTGAGTAGTTGTCATTTTAAAGCTTCGTCCTCTCGTATGACTGAGATGAGATCTTGTTGTCTTTAACTGTGTCAGTTATGCCTGCCAAGGTGAGCTTATTTAATCTGAAAGCAGAGCCCATATTTGACTTTGGAACTGGTCCCAGGAATCTGGCCTACTTCAACCCACATGGAAATGATATCCTTTATTTCAAGCATTATGTACAATTTTATCACTTTGGATTGGTCCATGAACATTTTGATCGCACCTCTTATAAAGGTGCATGTGTGTTGTATGTATTTATGTAAACTGATATGAAGGCATCTTTTCACTGAGAGTATTAAAGATTTAAAGTTTTATTCATATTGGAAAATACATGTAGGGAAAAAATCCATAACAAAATTGAGATTCTAAAAGTTTTATCAATGTTTGATTTAAAATTTATTCAACAAGTCTTATTTATATACAACATTGTACTTAATTCAGTTCAGTAATTTGTTTTTGAGAATATTTTCCTTATGTAACTTACTTTTATGTTTGGCTGGCTTCGGCAATCTTCGAGGTAACTTGGAATTCTGGGATATGAGATCCAGGAAGCTGATGTCACAGACCCAGTCCCCGGATACCACCAGTTTTGAGTGGTGCCCTGACGGGGAACATATCCTTACTGCCACCACATCACCAAGATTACGGGTTGCTAATGGGTAAGTACTTGTAATTAAGCTTAAACTTCCTTCACAGAATGAAACAACTAATCTGTGCTTGTAAAGTTTTAAAACTTTTGTAAATGAAATAATTCATCAAATGAAACAACTTTGATATTGTTTGCTTCGAATAAATTACACTGCATAATTTATGAATAAAAATGACTAAGATTTAAAAAGTTTCTGTCATTTATTTGCTCTTGATTAGATACCGGGTCTGGCATTGTTCTGGTAAAATGCTGCAGCAGGTTTTGGTTGACAAGGAAAAAGAATTATGGGAAGCCGTATGGCAGCCAGCAGCAGAAGGTGTTTATCCTACTCCTGCCGTAACAGCAGGCAGCGTAACTGCGGCAGCAGCACAATCTCCGCCTGAACGTAAGTCATAAACATAAAATACAGTGGACTCAAAATATCCACTTGAATGTAAGTCACAAACATAACAGTGTACCTACGATCTCCACTCAAACGTAAGTCAATAACGTAACAAACAGTGGACCCACTAATAAGTCACAAATTTTATTGTGTACAGGGTTCGAAATTCACTATATACAACTTGCAAAATGCGAGTTAGAATTTCCAAATTGCGAGTTAAAAATTTTGTAACTCACAAATTTTTTCGAGTTGATTTTTTTCACTGGAAATTTCACCAAGGGAAAAATTTATCTGACATTCCCCATTTTTAAACCCATGTCCGACAACCAGGCCTAAAAAAAAAATGACCGATTTATTCAAATTACCTCCAGGTGGATTTTTTTCTTCCAATCTGCATGGTTTTATCATGCAATCAGCTGATTCGGAATCCATTTATTCAAAAAAATATTAATTGTAGCTTAACTTGAGACATAAAATATGTCAACCTAGTTAACATTTACCTTAAATATAAAGAGTAATCATAATGTATTATTGTAACAACAACTTCCCCGACAACTTTTGAAGATCGTTTTTTGCGGCTAAGCAGTCATGTTGGTTGCCTTGTTAGGTGTCCACTGTAAATATAACACCTGGTTTATTCAGTCCAGGGATGTTTGGATCTATTAATCATAAGGAAAAAAATCTTGACCTCCTGAACAATGATTTTAGGGGAATGTTACAGGAAACAAACAATTTTTTTTAAGACCTCATGTAGAAAATTTTGATTTTTTTTTTTTAATGGATGGATGGTGATTAATTTCTAGAAAAATTGCGAATTGTCTTTTGAAATTGCGAGTTCATATTTTTGGAACTCGCAATTATTTGCGAGTTGTAATTTTAGGGAGTTTCTACCCCTGGTGTATCTTACCTATTACCAGCAATTTGGCAGCAAAGTCATAAATGGTGTTATTTCATAAAAGAAAAATTTGTACGAATGTCAGGCAATAAAGAGGAAGAATCTAGTTGTTGAAATCTTTTAAGGCATTATTTATTATTGAATGAAATGTTTCATGGTTATTCAATATACACTGTGTTTTGTTTCAAGTAAATTCAAGATTATTAAACTTTTGCAGCAAAAGTGCAAGCGTACCGGCCCCCACAGGCAAGGGGGACATCAGCCTCTATAAAACTCCATGAATACGAAGCGCCTTCTGATCCAAATAAAAAAGTCTCACAAGGTAAGATTGTCAGAACTGTTCACTGTACTATGTAAAACTGCCGAACCATAGACTTCTACACTCTGACACTGCGTAAACATGGAACATTTTAGTCTTCTTTGTCAAGTGACTGAACAATCCTAGGGAGTACATTTACATACAAGCCAGAATAAGAAAATAATGACAGAAATACATAATTAATCATATCAGGTCTCTGATTATCAGATTATAATATGTTCTAAAGAGGATATTTATAAATCATATGTAAATAATGTTCAGTAGACAGATGTATTGTAGTCTGTGTCTTATCTACAGATCCTAATAAACCTCTGACAAAGAATCAAAAGAAGAGAGAGGCCAAAAAAGCTAAGGCACAGCAGGATGGACAGGTGAGTCAGAGTTATTCTCCTTCATCTGCACAGGTAAAGTCAGAGTTACTGCCCCCTTCATCGGAGCTGGTATATTCTGAGTTACTTCCCATCATTTAGGCTGGCATATTCAAAGCCTAGTACCTGAGGCCTTCCGAATGCAAGCTCGAAGGAAGGCCTTGAATATTAGGCCGGTAATTCAGAGTTACTCCCCTTAATCTTGGTTGGTGAATTCAGAGTTACTCCCCTTAATCTTGGCTGGTAAATTCAGAGTTACTCCCCTTTATCTGGGCTAGTATATTCAGAGTTACTTCCCTTTATCTGGGTTGGTAAATTCAGAGTTACTTCCCTTTATCTGGGCTGGTAAATTCAGAGTTACTTCAGACCTGCCAACCAAAATTGATGCTGTGGGGGGTCATGACCCAACATTCAGAATTGAAATGTTGGGTCATAGCGCGCGGCGACATTTTTCGAGGTTTGATTAACAAAATGCTCCCTAATTTTTAGGCATCAATGCAAACACATGCATGTATATGTTACATTTCATAGCAGATTTAATTTTTTGTAATTAGATATTACATTGAAAGAAATACTGAAAAATTGCAGGGGGGGGGGGGTTAAGAAATATGTGCCATTTAATTTCCTATTATTAATTTTATCACACACACACACACAAAAAATTGAATAAATCAAATACTACAAAATAAATTATGATGGATACCTAACACTCCAGACAAAAACTTAAAATCGTTAGAGTCATGATGTTACAAGTGGGTATTCCCTTGTCATAGCCATTTAAACCAATAAATACAATGTACAATTATACTACATTTTGGGAGAGGGGGGGGGGGTGGGGTGAGAAATTCAATATACTTCACTTGAGACTCTGTTGCTTCTTCTTAATTAATATCATCTTATTTTAACCACTAAACTTAACAATAATTTCAATATAAGTGGATAAAATCTGATTAAGCTGTTACCAGTTATGCTTTGTAGTGTTTACTTTAGTTTTTAGCTCACCTGAGCCAAAGGCTCAAGTGAGCTTTTTTGATCAAAAGAGCAAGAGCCACATTGGGCCTTATTTGGCCCTGAGAATTTCTGAAAAATCAAAACCGCTCAGTTTAGGTTGCAAATGCAATATTTTTCACTTGGAGTGTTGGTGACCACTAATCTATTAATTGTGACGTAATTTCACATCTAGTCAATGCATTATGACGTCATAAAATGCGTCATTTTCTAATATCCTGTAAATTCCTTTTAAAATGACCTAAAGTTGAAGCATTTTTTCAATATTTCATATAGAGCACAACCTCTGATCCAAAATATGCAAATACCTAATGAAAGCATTGTTTCTGAAGATTAAAAAACATGTTTTATTTTTTGGATCAAGGGCTGTGCTTATATTTTAATTCTTTGCTGAAGGTAGTCAAATACGCATATTTTCTGCAAATTTCAAGAACATTGCAATTTCTCAAACCTGTTTTCAAATATGTGGATTCTCAAAACGAAATTTTATGATAGAAAATGAAAGCACCAAGTATCTACTTTATTTTGGTATATGAAGTGGGAAAGAGGGTGATAGTTAATTAATCAATATAAGTACAGGGCCATTTTATGCATAAGATGGCTCTTTCTCTTTGTCCGTTGTCTGTCGTCGTTGTCGTCGTCATTGTTGTCGTTTTCGTAAACTTTTCACATTTTCATCTTCTTCTCAAGAACCACTGGGCCAATTTCAACCAAACTTGCTACAAAGTATCCTTGGGTAAAGGGGATTCAAGTTTGTTCAAATGAAGGGCCACGCCCTTTTCCAAGGGGAGATAATAATGAATTAGAGAAAAAATAATGGCATTTTAAAAAAATCTTCTTCTCAAGAACCACTGGGCCAGAAAAGATAAAACTCATGTGGAATCATCCTCAGGTAGTGTAAATTCAAGTTTGTTCAAATCATGACCCCCAGGGGTAGGGTGGGGCCAAAATTGCAGATCAAAGTTTTACATAGGAATATATAGGAAAAATCTTTAAAAATCTTCTTCTCAAGAACCACTGGGCCAGGAAAGATGAAACTCATTTAAAATCATCCTCAGGTAGTGTAGATTCAAGTTTGTTCAAATCATGACCCCCAGGGGTAGGGTGGGGCCAAAATGGCTGATCAAAGTTTTACATAGGAATATATAGGAAAAATCTTTAAAAATCTTCTTCTCAAGAACCCTGGACCAGGAAAGATGAAACTCATGTGGAATCATCCTCAGGTAGTGTAGATTCAAGTTTGTTAAAATCATGACCCCCGGGGGTAGGGTTGGGCCAAAATGGCCGATCAAAATTTAACATAGGAAATTAGGAATATATAGGAAAAATCTTCTTCTCAAGAACCATTGAGACAAGAAAGATGAAACTCCTATGGAATCATCCCCAGGTAGTGTAGATTCAAAATTGTTCAAATCATGACCCCCGGCGGTAGGGTGGGGCCAAATGGTTGATAAAAGTTTTACATAGGAATTTCTAGGGAAACCTTTTAAAATCTTCTTTTCTAGTACTTTAAAGCCATGCTTAGTGATATTTATAGAGAATCATCCTTAGGTAGTGTGGATTCAAGCTTTGTTCAAATCATGACTCCCTGGGGGGTTAAAGTTCAAGCCCCCCCCGTAAACTTTCAGTTCTGATCTGATGTGTGCTTTTTCCTAGCCAATTGCTCAGGTGAGCGATGTGGCCCCTGGGCCTCTTGTTAAAATACGATCCCAAATTTAATACTTTTGTTAATTTTATCATATCATTGTATTTAATTAATTAATTTCTGTTTGTAATAAAATTATATTTAATTAACCTCTAAATCTATGTGATTCACCATGCATATACCCCTTCAAATGGATAGTATAATCCCCTGACTGCTCCAGACATGTCACCTGTACAGCTGTGTCAATGTGTGCATTCAAGCGTGAAGTGATTTCCTGTGGCTAATTAACACTTCGAATACAAAGATACTCATCATTTTGCATTGAATTAACAAGTCTGATGTTCATATCTCGATTTATAAAACACAAATCGGAAAATTTTAGGATGAATTTTCAGATCTTTCTTGTGGGGACAAACATGCTTTATTAATATTGGGTCAAAAAATGGGGATGATCGATTTTGCGGGTGAAAACAATGACACGCCGCGGGTCATTATGAGTGGGAGATGAGAGGTCAGTTTTGCGGATGTGACCCACCGAATGCGGGCCACTTGGCAGGTCTGGTTACTCTTTTTTACTTACGCTGATATAAACATAGTATTTCTACTTTACATAGGCAGCTTTGTCTAGCTTGAACAAAATTTTTGATATACATTGGACAAGGAGGTGTGCATCACGGGGCTTGATGTTTTTAAGCTTTCTTTTCATAAATAAAAATATCCCCATATACATGTTATTATTATAGTTTAGGGGATATTTTTATTTATGAAAAGAAAGCTTAAAAATGTCAAGAGCCTGTGGCTTGCGTATGAGTTTGACTCAATATGATGTGTTTTTCCTTAGGGAAGATTTAAAAAAAAAAAAAGAATTAAACATTGACATGCAATTAGAATTTTACAAATTGGTAGAACATCATACATGTATTTCCCTCATCACTTGGCATTGTGTTTGTTTCAGAGATGAACAGTATACTGTAAACCAACTTTTATTCGCGACGACTTTATTACCGGGAGTAAATTAGTTCACGACGAATAATTTTCGCGATCAAGCCATTTTTGGAAGTGTTTTTAATAGAAAAAGAGACTTTAAGGACCCTTTCGCGGCGAGAAATATTCGCGATGAAGAGGCTTTCGCGAACCTCGCGAAAATATCTCGCACGCGAATAAAAGTTGGTTTACAGTACAAGAAAATTTTTCCATAACCTAATGCTTGTCACCAGATTCTAGGGTCCCATTCATAGCTTTGTTGTGGTGACCATCAAGGCCCAAGGGCACCTTGTTTATGTGTCCTAGACAATTCTTTTGATCATTGAATTCCTTACTCTATCTAAACACAGGTCAGACCTGAGTCGTCCACGCCAGCAGCTTCCTCCAGTGTGTCCCAGCCGTCTGCCTTCCCGTCATCGGGAGACGTAGAGAAGGATAAAAGAATCAGGAATCTCAAAAAGGTAAAAGATATAACAGGAAGTAAAGAAGGATAAATGCATCAGGAATCTCAAAAAGGTTAAAAAAAAAAGTAAATTTATTCTATGAATAATATTAGAGACTTTTCCACGAAGAATTGAAATAAAACACAAAATCCTTCCCCCCCCCCCCCCCCCCCCGAAAGATATAATTGGTGAATAGTATAGACTTATCATTCTCAGAGGAAATTTCACAGTAAAATGTATTGACAAATTACTAGATTAAGCTAGTAAGTCTACATGTACATGTGTTGATTTATGAAACTGTAAATTTTTGTTGATTTTGCAGAAAATTCAGCAAGTAGAAAAGTTAAAAGAACAACAAAAATCTGGAAAACAGTTGGAACTTAATCAGGTTTAGTATCTTTGTTAATTCAATGCCCAATATTTCTTATACATTACTGAGACAGAAAAGTTGTGTTGAAAAATTTTGTCCCTACATGTATTTCTTCTCAAGGTATCTGCATTCAAATTTGAAAATGCACAATTTTGATATAAATCAATGTAGATGGATTTAAAGAAAAGAATTGAATTCTAAAAACCACTTTAAATATTATTTTAAGGACTTGAAGCACATTCTATGGTTATTTTTGTTTTTATTTCATGTATTAATAAAGTAGATGGTAAATAAATGAACAGAATCAATCTCTTAAAATAAGTGATTTTAACAGTAGTGCTTTACGTAGTATTGATTTTTTATACCTGCTCTACTGCTTTTATTAAGTCATCTCAGGTGATCTTTGCACATTGTCCAACTTTGTACATGTACTCCTTAATATTTGAACATTTTTAGCTTCTTTTCTGGAACTGTTGAACCAAAAGAGATCCTTCTTTAAAAGTTTAAAAACATGTAGCCAGTAAAAGCTGTTGTGATGAACATGAAAAACATTTCTTTGTAGCAGCCAGTTTTGCCTACTATGTTACAGATTATTAATTATAACTAATGCAGTTGACTTAGCGGTCATATTTATGAGACTGGGTCTTTATTTTTCTTATTTTCAGATTGAAAAAATTAAAACAGAGGAGTCTCTTCTTAAAGAGTTAGCTGCCCTTGAAGTCAGCTGATGCAGCCATTTTAGGAGTTTATGATATCTCTGTGAACACATTTCAGTGGCAGTCTACATTGAAAATATGATATCACGTAACCTGTGTTTCTAATAAGGATTGTGTTAAAATGAATTTCTAAGCCCTGGGTATAATTGATTTGAGAGATTTTTCTGAGAAATGGTGAAGTGCCAAATCTCTGTGATATTCAGTATAATATACAATGATTGAAGAAGGTTTATTTGTTAATCCTTTAAATATACATGTATGTTCTTCTGTTTTTTTTTCTTTTTAATTACATTAGATTGAGTGCGATCAAAAAAAAAATTAATTATATTATAAATGAAATGAGATTTTCCTCTTTTTTTTTTTTATTAATGAAGCTGCTACACTGATATGCAATGTTAAGTTGTTTTAGATATTATGTCATGTTTGATTGTTTATGAAATTTTTGTCCATCTTTTTGTTTATTCTAGCTCAAGGAAGTCATTAAAGAGTCAGTTTTTGTTAATTTTGTGTCATTATTAGAGCAATATCAGATGCTTTTCTGAAATCAAATGCCCTATTCACACAAATGCTGTGAAAAAAAAATAATTTGCAGAAAATTAATGCAAAGTAATAAAATGCAAATTAAAGGGTGTTTCAAGTTAACTGTTGCACTTTAAAAATTGATATATGTGTTATAAATCAAGTGTAGTGATGTCATTTGTAAATCATGTCATCTTATGGAGAGAGAAATATACTCTAATGTTTTAAAGATTGTACGGATCTTTACATCACCGGACTAACTCTGGTGTTCATGGATATAATTTTTGTCCATAGTCATTTACTGTGCATTGTCAGATAATGTATAAACATTTTTAGCTTCTTCACTGAAACACTCTCCAAACCAATTTCAAGCAATTTTGGCTTATAACATTATGGGTGATGGGGAATAGAAATTGTGAGCACCTCCTCACACCCCTACCCCTCCCAAACTTCTTTTCTCCTGGACATCAAGCAGTCATCCTTCTGGCAAGTTTGTAAAATGCATTGAGTCATCTACCAAAATCCATGGCTCTAGGGTCAGGGATTCCAAGCTATATACAATATAGTAAAAATGCATAGATTCTTTGACCGGTGTGTATGTAGCAAAGTAAGTGCATGGATATAATAAGCAGGAGTGGCTCTCACAAAATTTAAAATTCATGGCACCCGGGTCAAGGTTTGTTATATTAATGTAGATAAGAAAGAGCACTTTTTCCATATTGTGAAATTCTTGGCCCCTCTGCAGCTCTATAGTAAGGGCATGATTATTTCAAAATTCAGCAGACAAACTAAGTGCATAGTTATGATGAGCACAGGTGCCCCGAGCTCTTCCAAAAATTAAATTTATGATCTTTTGGTCCAGGGATTTACAGCTGAAGCAGCGCTCCTGTAACGAAGAAGAATTATTTCGTTTGAAATTTCTGTTCTTGAGTGTTAAACAGACAAACCAAGTGAATGGGTATGATAATCTGTAATGCCTTTCAAAAGATGTTAAAATTCCTGAACGGGTTCTGCAGTTGGGAAGGACTGTTGATCACATGGAGAAAATGCATTTTGGGGAAAAAAATCTGCTTCTTTTGTGTACATTATTGTTGAGTCTACTAGCATTGCGCAGAAAAAGATCAATTTTTAAAGAGAGATGGGATACTGACAAATAAATTGATGTTAAAGGGGTTTTAATTACTTCATTTAAAATCAGGATTTCATTAATTCTGTCATTGATATGATGACCTTCTTAGCAAATGCAACCTATCAATGGGTCGTATTTTGGCTGTCATGGCATATTACGTTTGATTTTTATTACTGGAACTCTTCAAATTAGAGGTGCATTTAATCGTTTGACTAGGGCAGCATGACGTTAGGGATAGTAAAAAACATGCCATTCTCAATCCAATTTTCAATGTTAGATGTATTTGTCATTCCAATTGTTGTGAAATTTCGTTGATCAAGTTAATAATTTTATAATCAGGGTTTAAAATAGTCTTTGCAATCAAATGTACTTAGTATCTCCTGTGTTCAGTCAATATTTCAAACGTTCAGATCAAGTCTGAGTCAGCAGACTTAGGTAGAGTATATAAGAGGGCTCATCCAAGGCCCGGTTTTCACTTGTCGAGAAGCCGTCACAAGAAGAGGAAGTATCGGTACTTAAGGTATACCTTTACTCAGATGACTAAAAATTCCACTGATAAGAACGAAAAACGACCTATTGCACATTGTACACTTATGATTCTTGTGTTAAATTTCAATTTCAAATAACTAGGTCAATGACCTATTTTTCATGCTAGTGGCCCCAGAGTATTTCTCAGGAAATACCCGAATTTTTCACACTATGACCAATGTTTTCTCCACTCACAAAATATTATAAGCAACAGAACTCTTTTAATAATAAAATATTAAAGTAATGGAACAGCGTTGCTTCATATAAAGAAACGATTTGAGTTTAGGCCATAAACTTGAAAACTTTTACAGTCCGAATTTCCTCTGTCATATTTATATTTTTTCCCCATTTTTAATTAAATTTTACAAAAATCTGACTGATAAGAACTCTAAATTATTTATAACCTTAGGTTTTTCCTGTTGCCCTTATTTTGATGGTATTAATATTATGTGGGGTCAATGATCAAATTTTTGAGATTTGTTGCCTGGAATGGTTTTTATTCATATTTTTTAATTCTTTATTTCATGGTATTCAATTATTTGAAGTAATTTATGAGCTTTAACACATATAATATATGCAACATGATGTCTAAAAATACATTTAATATTTACATTGCTATTAATATTGTAAGAAATAAAAAAAAAATGACAAAAATGAAAAATTGAAAATTTATTCCGAATTTCCTCTGCATTACCATACATTGACTTTTGTTCCTGTATATTTTCTTTAAATAATAAAATATGGAAATTTTAACTTGATATTGAGTTAAAACTTGGTTATTTTGTACATATAGAACAATTTTTGATTTAACAAATTTTACTTTAAAAAATTTCCTGTCTGTTTTCTGAAACCTGAGTAAACGTCAATCCTTAAGGTATTTATGTTGTACGTCTCATTTGTGGTGACTCAATGTTCTGCAGACGAACCATTTGAATAACATACTGTACGAGGGGTGATTAAAAAGTTCGCAAACTATCTCTATATCTAGAAAACCACAATTCAGATAAGAATGAAATTCAGTACACACATAGCCATACACAAGTTCTATAAATAGCATATGCTGAATCAAGTTTCACTCCTTGTTTGTGACGTCACAATGTGAAAATGACGTCACTATTTAGATCACTTGTGACGAAAAATGGTTGTCTCAGTCGAACTCGTTCAACAAACGACTGTACAATTTATTGCATATCTTAGAAATCCCTCTACAGTATCATATAATAATTTGTAGACAGTTTATTGAGATAAATGAGTTCCTATAAATTCAATTAATGATTGGATTAATCGTTTTAGTGAAGAAAGGCTGATGGTTAAAAATGATACTTGTCATCTTGCCCAGTGAAAGCAAGTTTGAAAATGAAAAGATATGTATTTTTAATTAAGCTATTTGCAATCAAAGACCTCCAATTAGCACTTTGAAAAATAGTTGAATATTTGAACAGTGATATAAGTATTAAATACCTAAGATATCGGTTACTTTAGATTTTAAACATATTAGATATGATAAAAAGGATGCATCCATTCTCTATCCACCTTGAATAAAGGTCTCTCCTGAGACGGAAGATTTGTGTTTTGATGGTCGCCATGCTTATTTTTGGAAAGGATATTATTATAAATGTAAACCTTGGTTGTATATTGAAATAAAACAACAGGTTTCAAAGTTCAGCAGGTTATATTATTTCAATTCCAATTCGTTTCACACATGGTAATCAAGACAATTATGGCCCTGCAAAATCAATGTACAAAACCTCAGCAATGTATACAATCATCAAGTGTTCATATTATAAAACAAAACACTAATCATAAACTAGTCTTTCACTGAAAATACGTATCTGAACGCATTTACTCAATATAGTTATATTTATAGTTTAAACACTTATAAATTTAATTTATAAAGTGACCTCCACTGAACCTATTTAACTATGAAAGTTTAGCGATAAAATCAAACAATTATTTACACTTACATTTACAAATAGTATTTAACAAATGACTTACCAAAATTATGGAATTTAGGCTCTCCAAAAATATCGGAAATTTATCTAAGTGCTGTGCTGTGCTAAAAGTATTAAACATGCAAGTTTTAACCACTGGAAAATGCAGAAATCTCATCCTGAAACAATACTTAAACTTCAAAGATAAAAACCAACAAAAAGTCAAACATACCATGACTATTTGAAAATCCAAAGTCCAATAAAGTAAACTGATGTCTATATATACAGAACACAACCTGCTGGTACCACAGCACTAGACAAGAGTGACCAACACCCCAAATAGATCCAAAACCTGTCTATGGTCACTAGTCATGTGATATGTCCACACCAATCGCTCAATAGAGTTTTGGCGGGAAAATAATTAATTCAACAAAATGTAAAATAAATCAACACAAAAAATTTTAATAACTTTGTAATTTTATATATATTTGTTAAACTTTTATTTATCTACCTATATTTCATAATTATAAATGCATAAAAATTAAAAACACAATTTTAAGTTATATATACAAAATTCTGCTATGCTACATTATCCACCCATTCTGTTGCCGAGAAATGACCATTTCTGACAAATGAACTGTTCTTGTCATAAAAATTAACTCACATGGAAAGAAATATCAAACTCAGAAAAATCTTTTCAACTTTTGTGACAGAACGCTACGGAGGGAGTCACGTGACCGCCAATATCACGTGATTCGCGCATGCTCAGAACGGTGGTTGATGTGCATTAAAATCGGGCAGGATTAATTTAAAATATAATCAACATTAAAACCAAATATTGTTTCTTGTATGGAAGTTATTCAATTAGTTTGCGAACTTTTTGATCACCCCTCGTATGTATACATAAATAAACGTATTGGCAAGCCTGCCAATAATATCTTATTGTATTAATATCATAGTGTCTTAGAATATTATAATTACGCCTCTCAAATAGAGGAATCACTTATAGCACATCCTCATTTGTTTCCAACACCGTCCGGCGCCTACAAAGTATACCATTCATTAGAGTTAGGTCTGTGTCACTGACACCAAAGTGATATAAGAGAGTAATCTTTACTTCTGATATCTTCAAACACAAGTCTCTGTTGTTCTCAAGCCACGACTTAACAGGAGAGATATCCTTGTTCTGTTCTTGCATTTCCAACAATTCCATACTGCTAGTGTCCTTTTCCTTAAACACAGATCGAAGTTGGGATCCAGTTCTGCTTTTCGCCATCTTGCTTGAAGAAGAATCATTCCCACACTGTTTGCATAGTATTCTACTCAGTGTATCAGCGTTTCTTTGTAATTCTTCTGGCCAATGTTGTACTTCAATCTCATATTATGTAGGTAGCGTTTCTATCCACTTGCTAGCCGACCTTCTGCATCTTTTATGTTCAACAGCCATCGTAATTATCTATTCTCTGTTCGGACGAGAAAAGGCTTTGGCCAATAGCTCTTTACTTGTCATACAATGTTAATGCTCGACCTTTGTCAAGCATCGACTGGCATAACTTATAACCTTTTCTTCTCCGTCATGCACTTGGGACGAAATAGCTCCTACAGCCACATCACTGGCATCTGTATTAAGTACAAATGGTTTGGAAAAATCAGAATATGAAAGCATGGGTGCTTTTATTATTTTTCACGCAAAATCTCAAATGCTTCCTGACAATCCTCAGATCACAAAAATCCTTTGCCTTTCTGTGTCAGCACATAGAGTTTTTTTTTACTAATACTGCAAAATTTGGCACAAACTTCCTGTAGTAACTACAGAATCCAAGAAAAGATCTCAGATCAGTTATATTGCTCGGACGAGGCCATTTCCGTATGACTTCTGTCTTCTTTGCGTCAGTGGATATTCTCTGCTCGGACACTAAGTCCAAGGTATTCAACGTTTTGCGCAAATAGTGTGAATTTTTTAGCATTCGAGCTTTACACCTGCAGTTGCGAGTTTCTCAAACACCTTTGACAAATTCCTATTCATTTCTTCAAAATTCTTAGCATATACTTTTTTGTCGTCAAGGCAAATTAAGACAAGGCTAGCCTCTTAGTGTGATCTCCATCAATCTCTCAAACGTGGCAGGAGCGTTACATAACCCGAATGGCATCACGTTAAAATGACATACTAGTAGGCCATTGCGAGTTACGAACGCTGTTTATGGTTTAATCCTTCGAATCTATTTCAATCTGCCAATATCCAGTGTGTAGGTGGAGAGTTGAAAACCATTTACGTCTAGTGTTTCATCGATGCGTGATATTGGATAAGCATCTTTTTCGGTAATAGCGTTTAGTCGTCGATAGTCCACACAGAACCTGGTGGAGCCATCCTTCTTCTGGACTAAAACAACCCTAGACGCCCAAGGACTATTGGAAGGCTCTATGACATTATTTCCAACACATCTTGTACGTGTTTGTCTACTTCAGCATTCATGTGATTTGGCAGTCTCCTTGGCACTTTTTTATTGGACTATTGTCACCTGTATTGATAGTATGTTTTGTGTGACTTTTGTCAGACCTGACCTTCCTATATCTTTGTCAAGGGTTTGTAAATAATTGAACATACCCCCGGTACTTTATCTATAACGACTTTACAACTTGTGCTTGTTTCTTACTCAGGTTTGAGCTTGTCTTTTTTAAAAGGGCTTTTAAATGTTCAGACCAATTATCGAGGATCCCGATTCTCCTAGTTCACCCTCAATTACATCCTCTAGAGGTGAAAGCTCTCTAACCGTCGTTCCCGAATGTATGGTAACATAACATTACATGGAATAAACAGCCTAACTAGAACGTTGGCCTCCTTTTACCACAGTTCGTCCAACCAGCCCTCTGTCAGATTTAAGAGAAGTTGTTGATGGTTCAACTACCCCAACGTCTAAATGAAACTCTCCATTGTCTGCTACAATTACTTATCCTATCGTTACCACTTCTGATTTCGATGGCAATGTCATTGCTCCTGAGGCTCCTAAAGCATCAAATTTTCCTTCAAACTGTTAAGGAGTGGGACTCGTCCCCTAGTTTAAGGTCATACGCATTGAGTTTGAACTTTATCGGGCTCTTCCCTGGAATTGAAGAGTTCCACTAAACGAAGGACCTGTGTGAAATACTTTTAATGTCTATATATGGATTTGTACACCTCTTGTAAAAAAAATTCTGCTGGGAAAAAATCAAGAATTTATGTGTCGAATTTTTTGCGTATTTTTCTTTGAATAATGCAAAAAATTTCATAATTTGATATCTTCCAAAACCCCCTGGTAAGCATGCTGATTTTTATGCTGATGGCACTATAATCTTGAATTAAGAATATCTTGAAAAATTATCAGTAGGTAAGGTACCTTGCCTATGTCCTTAAGACTTTTATCGCATAAACCTATAACACCTCTAAGCTGAAGTCATCGATTGTTTCTTACTATTTAGTTTAAGTTCGTATTTATTGTCTATAACCAGTAAACATCCAGATATGAAACCGATGTGCAAGGTTCTGTGGTGTCTTGTATTTCGAGTTCACAGGAATATATCGAATAGACATATGGATTGAAGTAACCCATTATGTCAACTAATTGTGGTCGATAAACATGTTTCTGAATAGGGAGTTGAAGGCCACAGCAAGCATTTTATTCATTTCATGTAGACGTTTTTGAATACTACTTCATAGAAATATAAAAAAAACAGGTAAGAATCTCTTGCTATTTTAAAGCAGTGAACACTTAAGAACAAAGTAAATTTACAAGTACAGACTGTATATAATGAGAAAAAAAAATTGTTGCATTTACAGGTTAATTTGTAAAACCTTTCCATGATGCTATTTTGGGGGGAGATAAACTTCAGAACTGATGTTTTAACGTTTTAAAAGTCTCTCATTTTATAGACTTGTTGCTTGTAGGTATTTAATATTTATGATAAATATACATATCTACAGTAAGAAAATTACCACAATATTATAAAGCCTTTCTATAATTTTTAATATAGAATTTTATAATTAATTTCTAATATTTTATGAAGGGAGGGGGAGGAGTACTAAATTTGTGAAGTTTCTATCGTTTAGAAAGCCTCATTTTAAAGTTTGGTGGCAAGTGCGTTATTCCCAATGATCCATCCAGAGAAGGCAAACACTCGGGATCCTCTGGTTTTATCTCAAACTTCTGTAGAAATCTGGTGAAAAAGAGGAAAAGCTCCATTTTTGCAAGTGATTCCCCCAAACACACCCTGCGTCCTGTAGAAGAAAATTTAGGATATATTTCATTAAGTTTATGAAACTAATTTTTAAAGTAAATGTTCAGACATCCCCACCAAATAATTAACGTGTAAATGAATTTTTCAAATCGCCTTGTGTTGTCTTTTTTCCGCTTTATTGTAAAACCTATACTGTACCTATTGAAAATGGTATCAGCTTATTTTTCTGTTCTCCTTGACATCTTCCGCTATCGTCTAAAAACCTCTCTGGTTTAAACTTTGAAGGCTCAGGGAAATTTTCAGGATCCGACAAAACAGAATCTATAACACAAAAGACAAGGACTCCTTTGGGGAAGAGATGCCCCTCGTACACGAAATCCTCGCAAGCGGCATGTGGTACATTCATGGGAACTATGTCTGCCAAACGCTGAATTTCCAAAATAAACGCCTCCACCTTTGGCAGTTTGTCTCTGTGTTCCATCTTAGGCTGACCTTGACCGATGACGTCATCAATGTCCTTCTGGAGGATTTTCTGCCATTGTGGATAATGGATCAAGTACAGAAGCGCCCATCTGAGTGTCGTAGAAGTAGTCTCAGTGCCAGCACCAAAGAAATCTCGTACACTGGTGACAAGCTGTTCATCTATCAAAAGTGAAGGTCATTGTGAAGTTATTCGAAATTGATACATTTTTTGTATATATAACGTACTGTGTTATAGACGAACTGAGATGATCCTATAACAGTTTCGATAGTGATGGAAAACATACAAGCTAAGTTTCAACTAGTGAATTCACTTAAATTTCAAACGAAACATTCTTCCAAAATATGTCCATACAAATACTAACATTTTTCATATAAGCAAATGTAAGCTATAGCCGCCTGATCCCTTTTCTTGAATTTCCTTTGTTTATGCTCATTCATTTTGTTCTGTTGTACAGAATAATGAGATCTGTCATTATATATTTACCTTTATATACCAACAATTTTGATCTTTTGACTTGGACGTTGGATTTTGACCTATTATTTAAGAAAATTATCTATGCCCATAATCTTTAAACAGTTGGTGCTAGGGCTTTTATATTTCACATGTGTATTTCTTGTGACAAGTCCTTCCAATGAGTATAATTGATTTTGACTCTGACCTTGATCTTGTAGTTTGACAAACTCTTACAAAAATGAAACTTAAATCTTTGCCATGATAACTTGTGAACTGTGACCTTGGAGTTTGATAAATTTCATAATTCACTGGTATATTCATTAAGACAAGTCCTTTCTTCAGGAAACAACATTTTTGATATCTTGGAATTGTTACAAGATCTTCCTTTAGATACATGTACCAACAATTCTAATTTTTTAAATATCAATTGTTTGTAAAATATCCTGATATTATTTTAAAGCATTTTAAAGTAGAAAAGGATTAACAAGAGAAATTTTCAAAAATTTTATTACCTATGCAGAAATTAATTATTGAAGATTGCATTGAAGTCTATGGAAGGAAGGAAGTTTTTTAAGATAAAAATATAAATACTTCAAATATCACAATATGCTGTGGTGGAAAGATGTATTTGATCATTGGGAATAGAGAGACAATTAGAAATAAGTTTTTTACCAGACAGATTTTTTTAAAATTAATTTTCATTTAGTAAAATCAAAGGGAGATAATTGATTTTGGCAGGAAAAGGTGAAAAACATTAACCTTGGCCTTAATTTTTGTACAAAGATGAAAATTAGTTCTAACTACACTGAGTATTCACTATAATATTCATTACGCATTCAATTCCATTGAATCTGAGGATAATTTTTGATATCTTGGAATTTAACTTGCATTTGAGAAACTTTAACCTTTACCATGTTCATCTTGCTCATGAAAAAATTTCACTGCCCCTGACTGAAGTCCAGTTTTTCTAAGGACATTGATTTTTCTTTCCTTAACAGACAATTTAAAATAATAAATCATCTTAGAATTAAGGTATCCTCCATATCAATACCAGTGCAATACAAATAGGTTCCATAATGATAATTTAGGGAAACAGGAAGACTCTTATGAATATTACCTGTGAATGTCGAGTTTATCTCATTTTCTTTTTGACTTTGTTCCAGAAGGAAAGCGTCGACGAAATCGTTGATGTTGTTCTCATCAAAATTTTTCCTGTGCTCTTCTATCATTTCAGTTACAAACGCAGTCAAAGCATCAATGTCCTTCATTATCTTCCGAGTGCTACTAATTTGAAAATGGCGCACCCAAGGAAAAAGAAATCCGATTGAAGAAGCATTGGCAGTCGAGAACAGTTCATTGAGTAAATAAATCAATCGCTTGAATTTTTTATCTTCATAATTAAATCTTTTACCGAATAAAAGTGAACAAATAACGTTTGAAACTGTGGTATTCAGCATACTTTGAATGTCAAAAGCCTCTTGTCCATATTTTTCTAGTTCATCCATTAAGCAGTCTACTTCTTCTATGATCTGGCTTTCCAAGCAACGTTTCCCGAATCCGAACTTACGCATCGTTGTCAGTGCAAACGTTCTTTGTTCTTTCCATAAGGGACCCGAGGACCATACCAATCCTACAAAAAATTTACAAAAACGGTGACCATATTCAATTCAATCCTGATTATCCAGTTTAAAATACGTAATTGTCTGGTTTCTATGGTAACTTTGATAACTTTTGTTTGATTTTTACATTATATGCTGCAAACAAACCTTTTCCTTTTGCAATGGCAACGGTTGAAGGGGAGTTTAAATTGAAAATGACGGGCCAAGTCTCCTTACAAGGGGAGATAATCAAGAAAAGACAAAAATAGGGTGGGGTCTCTCTGAAAACACATGGAAGCATGTTTTGCCAGATATTAAATTGTTAGGACGGGGCCAAAATAGGGAATCCAAATTTTACATAGAAATATGTAGAACAAATCTTTAAAAATGATGATAGGAAAGCTGAAACATGGACAATTATCATAAAAGGGAAGGAGGTAGTGGGGCATGGTTATTTTGTAGAATAGCATTAAAGAGTAAAACGAGTGTCATGGTAGGTATAGCCATAAATCTTCCTTAATTTTCTGTTATATGCAGCAAACAAACCTTTTCCTTTAGCAAGGGCAACGGATGGAAGAACTTTTGGTCGCTCTGAAAACACATCGCCATGCTTTGCCAGAAGTTCCCTTATATGGTGATATCCATGGACAATTATCATAGGTTTGTAAAATAACATCAAGGAATAAATGTCTCCATAGATCTTCCTTAACTTTCTGTGAGCCTGGAGGAAGACAACATTTGAATGGTCGTCGGACCTGGTGGAATACCTTTAGGTCGTTTGGAAAGACTGCAAATTAAACAGACCAACACAACAATAATGGCCACAGTAATCCACATGGTGCAGGAAGACTTTTACAAAAAATATGTTTTTCCAATTTCGATGAACTGTACCTCTATATTCACTTCACACGTACCTTTGATAAAAGAAATGATTCCATTAACTTGACCTTAAATCTGCAATATTTGCAAACGATGCCCGATCTTGCTATATGGGTCACTTAAATCAGCGTTTCATTTTATCAATTGGCTTGCAGTTTTCAACTAGGATGAATTCCATTAAATAATCCTTTACAAACGATCTCCGACCTTGTTTTCTGCGTCATTTAAAATGTAAAATGGACGTTCTAGTTTATCACCCGGCTTGCAGTTAAGCAGACGATAGAAAGCACGCGCCTGGATTTTGTTTATTTCATTAATGGCTAACCTAAGGGCATTATCTCGACTAGTCGCGACAGCATGTTGTCATAAACTGTTCTTGTTATAAATACGGAGAATTGCAAAGGCAAATAATTAACAATGATTCCGAAAAATAAAAATTAAAGGGGCCACTTTTCAACACAGTATTTTTTTCATATAATAACTTGGATTTGCATGGTCAGGAAAATTGGTGGACCGTCCATCACGATACACCAGTAGACAGGTTGAGAGCCCTCTGCTTGCATCGCTCATTGGCTGATAAAAATTCTCGCTGACGTAAATGTGTCGGGGAAACCAAAACAGATCTGTAAATATAGGAACTCTCCTTGCTTACAGCCACTGCATTGGAAAAAAAATAATTTAATTTTTTTTTAAAACAAATAATAAAAGTATGACATTGATAAATGATGATTTTTTTTAAAAGGCTACAGAATCCGTTTTCAATACTTATACTGCCATACCAATTATCAAATAAAGGGATCTATTTTAATTCTTACAGATAGCAAATAATTTCACATTTTCATCTTCTTCTCAAGAACTGTTGGGCCAATTTTCACCTAACTTGCCACAAATCATCCTTGGGTAATAGGAAATTATAAAATTAACTAAATAATTATAGGGCCACGCACCCTTTCAAGGGGAGATAATCAAGAAAATACAAAAAGGGCGGGTCATTAAAAGTCTATAAATTTATTTAATCAATATATCCTCTGGGCCAGAAAAGCTGAAACTATGTGGAAGCATCCTGGGATAGTTTAGATTATAAATTTTTCAAATCCTGATCCGCGGGGTAGGGTACGCCACAATAGGAAATCAAAGCTTTACATTGAAACATACAGAAAAAATATTTTTAAAAATCTTCTCAAGCACCTCTTGGGTAGAAAAATTGAAAACTTATGTGGAAGCTTCCTAGAGTTAGTGTTGATTCTAAATTGTTCAATTCATGACCGCCTGTGGTAGTATGGGGTCACAATAAGTATCATATACTGGAATTCTGGTGAAGAACAGCAGGGTCAAAGCTACTCTGGTGAGCTTTGTGGCCCATGGGCCTCTTGTTATTTACTTAATTGCATATTTATGTACACAAGAACCAAATCAATTAAACATACTAGTAGTAAAATCATAGAATCATAAAATCATAAAATTTTTAATTGGTTATTTTTCACGTATTTGAAATTGTATATAAATATAATAAATTACACTGAAAAAAAAAATGTTAATGTAATGTTAATTACTTTTTCATTACATTTCAAATATCTTAATTGGTAAATGATACAACAAAAAAATTGCAAATGATGCAAAATATGATGTTATATGAGTATAATCCCACAACGTGCACGCTCTCATTGTTTTGAGTGAGATATGACGATAACGAATAGTTTCCAAGATTGAAAGTTTATTGAATGAGGGATATATATGGAGATAACAAACAAAACTCAATATCAAAGTCCATATAACAATACAAAATAGGAGCAGCGCAAACACGGACCTCCAAAACATCAGAGGTGGGATCAGGTGCCATGGAGGAGTGCAAAAAAACGGCAAAAATGGACCTTAAAACATTATTTCTAAACCTATTAACCTCTGCAATACAACGATGTCATTGTCTAAATATACATTATACTATAAAATCATAAACATAGAGAGATACAATGAATAGCTCTTTTTATAAACATAATTAAGTTTTTGACATGTTATAAACAAAAGACTAAGTTTATACTTAAAACAAAGGAAGAGAAAAGTAGCAGTTGGGACTTGAAACTTTAAAACAGCAATAAATACGCCCCCCCCCCCCCGGAAACTCATGCTATTTTTATAGCTATGGCACTTACGTACAAGGGAGACCTACAAGTACAGACTTTATATTGAGGAGAAATTGTAGAATATTCGTATACGTTTCCATACAACAACTGTTTTGCTGACAAATTTTGGATCAGCTGCAATAATGCAGCCCTCTCCGATTTTTTTAATCTGATATTTTCTTGAGAGGGTTATGTACAATATGTGAATGAATCATTCCCATACTTGGACCAGTACGGAGATCCTAAGGAGTTGTAGCCCTCTCCCAAAATGAAAAAAGGAGAGGGCTACATTATTTCAGATAATTTAGGATAAATACACTTCTACAGTAGAATGTTAAAACTGTAATTACAAAGCCTTTCCATAAGGCTTTTAAATATGTAAGGAAAAATGTGAAGTTTCTAACGTTTAGAAAGCCTCATTTTAAAGTTTGGTGGCAAGTGCGTTATTCCCAACGATCCCTCCAGAGAAGGCAAACACTCGGGATCCTCTGGTTTTATCTCAAACTTCTGCAGAAATCTGGTGAAGAAGAGGAAAAGCTCCATTTTTGCAAGCGATTCTCCCAAACACACCCTGCGTCCTGTAGAAGAAAATTTAAGGATATATTTGATTATGTATATGAAACTAATTTTCAAATATTCAGACATCCCTCCCCTATAAATAATATGTAAAATGATTTTTTTCAAATCGTCTTGTAGTCTTTTTTACTTTATTGAAAAACCTATTCTGTACCTATTGAAAACGGGATCAGCTTATTTTTCTGTTCTCCTTGACATTTTCCACTGTCGTCTAAAAATCTCTCTGGTTTAAACTTTGAAGGCTCAGGGAAATTTTCAGGATCCGACAAAACAGAATCTAAAACTCTAAAACACAAAATACAAGGACTCCTTTGGGGAAGAGATGCCCCTCGTACACGAAATTCTCGCTAGCAGCATGTGGTACGTTCATGGGAACGATGTTTGCCAGACGCTGAATTTCCAAAATGAACGCCTCCACCTTGGGTAGTTTGTCTCTGTGTTCCATCTTAGGCTGACCTTGACCGATGACGTCATCAATGTCCTTCTGGAGGATTTTTTGCCATTGTGGATAATGGATCAAGTACAGAAGCGCCCATCTGAGTGTTGTTGAAGTAGTCTCAGTGCCAGCACCAAAGAAACACTGACGACAAGTTGTGCATCTGTAAAAGTTAAAGTCATTGTGAAAATATTAGATAACATTACATACTTAGTAACTTAGTATAACAAACTGCACTATAGACGCGCCTAGATCGTCATCTAAAACTTCGACTCGGTATATGGAAAACAGAATCTAAGGTCCTTTTTCGATTTAACCACCTTTGTTCTTCTTATCCATACCGTCCCCCGCGTGGCGAAGTGGTTAGTGCGTCTGCTCTAAAGTCGCAAAATAAGGAGTTGATCCTTACTTCGCGGGTTCGAATCCAATTGTGGGTCATGGAGACCGGTCCTTCGGATGAGACAGTATAAACCGAGGCCCCGTGTCCCAGTAGGTCAATGTTGGCACGAAAAAGATCATACACTGCTCAATGTCCCTGAGTGCCTAGTAAAGGACAAGATTTGTAGCTCTTCATCGGCAAGTGGTGGCTTCACCATATGAGTGAGAAATTCTCGAGAGGGACGTTAAACAACAATCAATCAATCAATCAATCAATCAATCAATCTTTCCCATGGATACTAAAACTAATATTTTTCATAAAGCAAATGTAAGCCGGGCGCCAGATCTCCTTTTATACCAGGTATTCATAAATTTGTACTGTTTCAATGGACTTTATCTGTATGTTGTTTAACGTCCCTCTCGAGATATTTTTACTCACATGGAGACACCACCATTTGCCAATGAAGAGCTGCAAATTTTGTCCTATATTCGGCACTTATGGTCATAGAGCATTGAGGGATCTTTTTCGTGTCAGCACCTACCGGACAAAGGAACTTGGTTTTTGCGTTCTCATCCAAAGGACCTGTCTCCACGTTCCATAGTGGGACTCACACCCGCGACGTAAGGATAAACTCTTTACTTCGCGTCTCTAGAGCAGATGTTCTCACGATTGCGCCACGCGGGCGAGTCAGTGGAATTTGAGATCGGTCAATGTGCGTCATATTCACCTTTTTCATTATATATATAATTGAATTCAGCGCAAAAATGCAAAGATTTCCAACCTAAGACGCAAATTTATGTATACTACTGTTCCGTTGACAAGCACCCATTTTTAAAAGTAACATCTACGGTTTTGGATAAGACCTTTAAGATGTAGGTCCCGATAGCCGTTGGATCCATCCCAAATTGATTTTCAATGGTCCCGGGTCCTGTAGATTCCTAAATATATGCGAGAAATTAATTATTGCGTAATTTAGCAGGAAAGCTCGATCGCAAAATAAAATTACTCGATTTCATTTTTTGTGGTGCTGAATTCAACGTAAAACCCTCCACTCGCGAATTGTTGTTCGCGAGATTTGACGTTAAAGAGCCATTTTCAGATAAAAGTTCTCGCTAAAAAAGGACTCTACAATAAAGGTCCTAATTTAAAACCCTTCACGTATGTAGATGAGTGAAAAATTCTCGAATGGGAAGTAATACAACATTCGATACATTAGGTAATACATGTGTAATAACATGTGTAATTCACATAGATTTAATAACGTTAATTTGGGTAGACAGGGGCGGATATTCTTTTAATATTACCTGTGAATGTTGAGTTTATCTCATTTCCTTTTTGACTTTGTTCCAAAAGGAAAGCATCGATGAAATCGTTGATGTTGTTCTCATCAAAATTTTTCCTGTGCTCCTTTACCATTTCATTTACAAATGCAGTCAAACCGTCGATGCTCTTCATAATCTTGCGAGTGTTACTCATTTGAAAATGGCGTACCCAAGGAAAAAGAAATCCGATTGAGGAGGCATTGACAGTAGAGAACAGTTCATTCAGCAGATAAATCAATCGCTGGAATTTCTCATCTTCATAATCAAATCTTTTACCGAATAAAAGTGAACAAATGACGTTTGAAACTGTGGTGTTCAGCAAACTTTGAATGTCAAAAGCCTCTTGTCCATATTTTTCTAGTTCATCCATGCAGCAATCTACTTCTTCGATGATTTGGCTTTCCAAGCAACGTTTCCCGAATCCGAACTTTCTCATCGTTGTCAGTGCAAACGTTCTTTGTTCTTTCCATAAAGGACCCGAGGACCAAATCAGTCCTACGAAGAAAGGTATAAAATCAGTGACCACATTCAATAATGTCTTAATTATATTGTTTATTATACATGTATAAATGAATTGTTTGGTTACTATGGTAACTGCTTTCTGGTTAGATTTGTACATTTTGTATTGTAAACAAACCTTTTCCTTTAGCAAGGGCAACGGATGGAAGGACTTTTGGTCGCTCTGAAAACACATCGCCATGTTTTGCCAGAAGTTCCCTGATATGATGATATCCATGGACAATTATCATAGGTTTGTAGAATAGCATTAAAGAGTAAATGTCTCCATAAATCTTCCTTAATTTTCTGTGAGCTTTCGGGGCGTCGGATGGTTTGAAGAGTCCTACATTGCCGATGAACGGATAACTTGTCGGACCTGGTGGAAGACCTCTAGGTCGTTTGGAAAGTCCACCAATCAAACAGACCAACACAACAATAATGGCCACAGTAATCCACATAGTGCAAAAAGACTAATCGAGTTTATATTTATGATTCCAATCTCGATGATTTGTAAAGACCTTTATATTCACCGTGCACCCTTCATTAGAGATATGATTCCACTATCTATAAACCAAACATTGCAATATTTGCAAAAACGATGCAAACCTTGCTTATATTCGTCATTTAAATGGACGTTCTAGTTTCTCACTCAGCTTACACTTTTCTTTGTGATAAAAATGAACAATCGATAAAAAGCACGCGTTTGTCTATTGGCCTACTGGCAAATTTCGGCGAGAAATAGCTCGTTTTCCATGTTGACTCTTATGGTACTCGAGAAGGGGTCCTTTTCATAGTTCTTTTTAGGTGATTGTAAAGGCAAATAATTAACATTTATTCCGTCATAAAGAATGAGGGAGTAAGGGTTGTACTAATGAATGCAGACAAATGCTTCATATAGCTAGGATTTGCATGTACAAGTAAAGTTGATCAAGAAAACTGGTTAGATTAGGTCACGCAAGTGGTCTGACCCCCCCCCCCCCCCCCCCCCCGCACACACACAAACACTACATGGTATGAGACTATGGATGTGACATTCATATAGGAGACAAAGACTAGAAATATAGAGACTATTTCAATTCAATTCAATTCTTTATTGGCACTAAAGCACATATTTATATACAGAAATGTGTTGTTAGCCATATACATGTATTGCAAAATATTAAACTATTGTAAGCTTGTTTCTAACATCAAAACAGTCTCTTATATATAGACAGATTTGTTTCGTAGATACAAAGTTATGTGGATTAAGCAAACAAGAAAAGTTATTAACATCTAGTAACCTCGAATACTTTTTTCTGACATTTTTATACACATGACAATCAAATAAAAAGTGTTTTTCATCTTCAACAATAGTTTTACATCGGAAACAAAATCTATTTTCTCTAGGAATGACAGGATTACAGTATCTACCTGTTTCTACGTACAACTTATGTGCACTTATTCTTAACTTGGAAAGATAAGAAAATAAATTCTTTTGAAGTGGAAAACACAAGTATGGTTGGATTTCCAGTTTCTTAGCATCATAGTTGAATAATATACTATAAACTGACAGCTTACCGCATTGAGTATTGTTAATGTGTTGGAGTTCAGAAAAAAAAAAATATAAAAGAATCTTCAGATCTCCGCTCTCATTGGCTGATGAAATCTCTCTGACGTAGAAATTTAAATGTGTCGGGGAAACCAAAACAGATCAAAGAGTGCAGAGCTTGTGTTATTATGGATATCGTTACCTTGAACTCTCCTTGTGTACAAAAACAGCATTAGAAAAAAAATGAATCGCGAGTGCATGATGTTTGCAACACTTTATAAAAGTACGAATATTGAGTAAATGATAATTTGAAAACGTCGTTCTACATATTACGTTGTCTTGCAATACGTACCAATGGTACTGTGAGCACTGAGCTCACTAAATTTAGCCCGCCTCCAATATGATTATAATGGAGAGGTCCATGTTTTGCTCTGGAAGACCCGGAATAAGTGTCAGATCAAAAAGTAAAATAGGAAGTGCACAATGGCAGTAATAAAGAATCTGTGAAAGTATCAAAAAAATTTAACCAGTGGTGTAGGAGCTAGGACCCTTCAATACGCAAGTTTCGAGATTATCTCCCTTGCTGCGCTCTTTCGTTGAGGAGGGGAGTTTCGTTACCGCATAAACAGACAGGTGGGACAGTTATTTATATATTGGATACATTTGCATCATCGATAAACTGAATTATCACAACTAAATGATTGTCATGATACCCTCTACAACTCGAGAATAACCGAATTAATGTAGAGGCATCATTATTTAAAGCAAAAAATCGTAACAAAAAAGAAATTTTCAGTGAATGTGAGACATTTCAGACGAGGAAAGAGATATGGACCTCTAAAAAATATGGTACACATACATCTGATCATTGCACATCGGCAGTCTAAATGACATATTGATTCTCTTCCTTATTATAACTTTTAAAAAACCACTAACTATTTAGAAAATGTTTGTACAATCAAGAAAATCAGTTACTTTTTATAAAGACTACGACGTTTCTTTCGTTTTCAAGAACCCTTGTATAATTGAAAGTAGATTTATAAATATGCATAATTGAGCTTTATAAAATCATCAAATGCATCACTGCTCAACATTATTATATTTCTATAACATTTAATGAATTTTAAAAGCCATAAATATCGTTCATTTATTTATGCAATATGTATACAGAAACAACTTGTCCCACCTCCATGCTGAAATGGGTACTTTTTGCGCCTCTTTCGTAGGAGAGTTACAATCTCGAAACTGGCGTATTGCAATGTGTAACAAAGATTCTGTGAAAGTTTGATTAAATTTTATCAGTGGTATAATAGGAGTTGGGGGATAAGAGATGGGTGAATCTCAAAGAGATCCCCCGAGATTTGGAATAAGAGATGGGTGACCCAAGATGCAACAGACGGACTTAGAGACGGAGGGACGTACAGCTGGACGTAGATATATCGATCAACGGTGCTTTTCAAGCAAGGGGGGGTTTATAAAAATACTTGATCTGAGTTACTTTTACATTGTGTTTCAAATATCTTTAGTCCCGTGGGGTTCCAGGTTAGAATAGGTCCTCAGCACCCCTTGCTTGTCGTAAAAGGCGACTAAATGGGGCGGTCCTTCGGATGAGACCGTATAAACCGAGGCCCCGTGTCACAGCAGGTGTGGCACGATAAAGATCCCTCCCTGCTCAAAGGCCATAAGTGCCGAGCATAGGCCAAATATTGCAGCCCTTCAACGGCAATGGTGACGTCTCCATATCAGTGAAATATTCTGGAGAGGGACTTTAAACAGTATACAATCAATCAATCAATCAAATATTTTTATACAGTGTACTGATACAAAAATGATTTATTATATAAGAATATTGCCATCACGGTCAAATTTTACTGCATGGAATTTGAAGATAACGAACAGTAATCAAGCCCGAAAGTCCACGCAAGTAATACAGTTCGGGAGCAAAACAAACTAGGACCCTTAAAGCCTCAGGGGTGGATCCAGGTACCAATCAGAGAGGAGTTAACATCCTCTGTTGGCCGGTCACACCCACTGTATACTCTTTGTCGTGGACAGGCAGATGGGAGAAAAAATCCTTAGATTAATTGATAATCATATATATAATAAATTGATTGTATGTTGTTTTACCTCTCATTCTAGAATGTAGAGACGTTACCATGTACCGGTGAAGGGCTTCAAATTTTGATCTTTACTTGACACTTGAGCATTGAGGGACCTTTATCGTGCCAACCGAGCCTAGGTTTTAAGGGTCTCTTCCGAAAGACCCGTAACTTTCACTTCATAGTTCCGAGTGCAGGACACAGGAAAAGTTTCTACCCATTTTTTATCGACTTATGCGAGTCGCAGCCGTTATTCGAACTCCTGACCTCCCGATAATGGAGCAAGCGCTCCATTGACTCAGCTACTGTGCGGTGAAAAATCCGTAAACAATTAAGAACAATTTCTTAAAAGATACATACATTAGATATTTTTCTAGAAAAAAAGATGTTAATGGTTACGTAACATCACTTTATGATAAACATGATGACTTAATTAACTTTTCTATCGTCAACTTTTCTTACTTATGCAGCAATATATACAAACATCACCTGCATACGGAGTTTATATATCTCAGTTGATTCGATTCGCCAGCACAAGCTCTACGTATGAACAAATTCTAAAACAAGCTAAATTATTTTTAACAAACAAGTTGATGAAACAAGAATTTCAGCAGACTCGTTTTAAGTCATAATTTCCTAAGTTCTATCGACGATACAATGACCCTCTCAGCGAATACATCTATTATTGAGTCAAATCCTGCCTGACATTTTCATATTAAACACCGAATTGTCTACTATTTTTCGTTATTTTCCGATCATGACGCGGAGCAAAAGGTGGGTGTGACCAGTCAGCAGAAGATGTTCACTCCTCCATAGAACCGTATCCTGTGATGTTTTAGAGGTCTGTGTTCGTTCTGCTCCTGATTTCTTTAATTTAATGGACTTTTGAGCTTAAATGCTATTCGTTATCTCCACATAAAATCAAAGAATATACCACTGCAATTTCTTCTCCATTCTTATCATTGCTAAATATATTTACAATGAAGCGCATTGAAGTGGTAAAATTTTCCGTTTGGATGACACGTTTTCAGTCATGTTTTGAGCGTCAATTATATCATAATAACACGCCCATTTCTTTAGAAACGCAAAAAGAACTAGAGAGTCTGCTATTGCAAGCAATAGCGTATGTCGCCCCGAACTGTTCCCCTATTTCCATGGCAGCTATTGATAATTTCGGGCAAGGCTTTCATTTTTTTGTATCACTATAACAATACCCATTAGCTAAGCTTGGACAACCATCAACTCCTATCAGTACTTTCAGTACTTTGATTTAAAAATCAAAGTTAAAGAATTTTCACTTTCCTCTGGTTTCCATGGCAATAATCGATTATTTGAAAATTTTAAATGCGAATCGCACAACTACAGATACTAATCACTAAAATAAAAAAGTTTCATGACGAATGTTCAAGGGACCAGAGAGAACACTCGCAGACAAAATTCGTCGCTTTTTGCAGGTTTCCATGGCAACGGTAGCCATTTTGAAACTGAATGACCACATGGCACAACTACAACCAGTGATCCTCCTTTGAGGAAAGTTTCAGGAATATTTTCCCATCTATCTCCGATAAACAGCCTGGACAACAAAAACATGCGTACAATCGCAATATTTCTTCCCCGACTTCGTTCGGGACGACATAATAACTATTCGTCGTAATGTTTATAACACCCCACTCCTCCTGACAAGCAGCATGAGTTTTACCGATATGCAGATTTTTTAAAGTTATAAGAGAGAGAGTTAGAGAGTTTCCGCTTCTGTAAAACACGTATTGCAACGAATTTGTCCATTATTATGAATTTATCATGTTTAAATTATATTGGAGGTATCATAACACATGTATCGGTCGAACACGTGCTTATTCGGTGTTTATGCTGACCGTCAATTTGATTGGCTACTATATTTATGGAATGCCTGTTCTACAGGTATTCGAATGAACCAGTTGACCGATTTTTCCTTTCTTAAGAAATGGGCATTTCATTGTATGACAATTATCGTTCTAAAGATAGCTCAAAACGTTCTAGTCAAGCGGAAAATTTTACCACTTCAATGCGCTTCATTGTAGCGTGATTGTCGAAAAAAAACGTGCGTGCTACTTAGGACTTTCAAACAACCTTGAAATTATTTGTGACCTCTTTCAGTAGAGTTTAAAAATATATTCTTATTATAAACCTATAATACACGTCGTCTCCTTGATACACTACATTATGTAAGTAAATAGATCACAAACGCATCAATCTTTAATCTGCCCCTTTAAAAGTTTTAAAACTTCTATAAAACGCAAAGAAAGTCCTTAGTTGGATCCTTCGACACTAGAATGCAATATAGGATTTGTAATTTAAAAAGACATTGCAAGGCTCTTGAAAACACTGTTTCGCTAAAGAAAATACTGCTTGAACAATCTTTGTTCCTTAAACTTCAATATGCCAACAAACAGTTTGACACAGTTAATAAAAATAATATTATTAATCACAAAAATGTTCAGTCTTGTATTCTATCATATTTTAAGTTGAAGTGCGGCAAGTGGTGGCGTCTCCGTCTGAGTGAAAAATTCTAGAGAGTTACTTTAAACAATATGAAACATATGGAGATAACAAATAGTATTCAAGATCAAAAGTCCATAAATCAATAGAAAATAGGAGCAGAGCAAACATCAGAGGTGGGATCAGGTGCCATGGAGGAGAAAGCATCCCTTGCTGACCGGTCACATCCGCCGTTTCCCGCTCATTGTCATGATCGGGAAATAACGGAAAAATCCGTCGTCAATTCTGTTTATAAATAATGCACTAACGATTAGTATGAAAAACGTCAGTCAGCACGCATTTGACTCAATGATAAATTGTATTTGCTGACAAGATCATTGTATCGATCATAGAACTTACATAATGCTGACTTTAACCGAAACTGCTGATATTCTTGTTTCATCAAGTTGTTTGTCAATAATTTACCTCGTTTAAGAAGTTGTTCATACGTAGAGCATGCTCTTGCGTATCGAACCGACTGAGATATATGAACTCCGTACGCAGGTAATGAAGGTATATTGCTGCATAAGGGACGTTGGCAATAGAAATGTTGAAGTCATCACAAACAAACAATGAATAATATTACATCTATAATCCAGAAAAAAACGAAATAGAACTTAAAAGAATACCTACAGTTAAAAATTATATTGTGACATCATAACCCCTGCGAAATGATCAAGAATAATTCTTGAACTTTTAAGAAAAGTTCATGAATTATATTCTTGAATCAGCTCATGAATTGTTCATGAAGATCCCATGAAGTTAAAATTGGACACTCATGATTTCATGGATTTTATTCATGAAAACCAAGTTCAAGAATATTCAAGAATTATTTGTTGTTCATGAACAAACTCGGATTTTTTAAATGCCTGCAAAATGATCAAGAATAATTCTTGAACTTTCAAGAAAAGTTCATGAATTATATTCATGAATTTTCAAGAAAAGTTCATGAGTGATATTAATAGGTTTAATGCATTTTCATGAACTATTCATGAATAATTTGTAAAAGTTATTCAGGAATGTTCATGAACTATTCATGAATGTTCTTGCTTTTAGTAAACAAAAATGTAATAAGTTATGCAGAATGAAAAACTGTAAAAGAAAATATTTTAATAGCATCTTGAAAGATTTCACAGAATTTTTGTTTTCCAATCATGGTAACAAAATCTTTGTTCAAGTAAACAACTCTGATAAGTGATAACGATAATAAATAAATTATGTAGTTCATACCTAATAAATTAGGAAAATTTCAATTCAAACGCAACTCTTTGCAGAATCCTTAACCTTACTTGGTCAAGAGGAGAGTGGGTTCCCTATTCAGCGTATTTCAAAGTGTATGCCTAAAATGGAATGATTTTTAATCCAAGTCTCACTGTCTGGCAGAAAAGTGTGTTCAGCAATTAGGGCATCAGCTAAAAGGACTTTCAAGGATTTTGAGCAGAGGTGGTCAAATAAAAAAATCTTATTGGCTTTCCCTGTGGAATTTTCAGAATTTCATCACTTGGAACCTTTGATCGATTACGATTAATATTTTCATTCCTTTCTTTTGTTTTTCTTCAAGAGCCTGAATTTTTTATATTCTTTTTTTTTTGGCAGCCAGAGTTTTTTAATCTTCTGATCTCAACTCATCAACATTGTCTGTGAACTGCTTCTCTTTTCCCTACAAGAACAAATATTTTCTGAAAATGCTCATAAATGTGAAAACTTAAGACATGCATATTTGTTTCATTTAATTCTGCATCATAGGCACTGCCATATCTTAAAGCATTCCAAGCAGGAGTTTAGCCTGTTTCCCTTGCCCACCATGTTCAAGATGTTATAGGTGAACAGGATGAATGTTTCAATCTTTAATTATTAAATGTAACGTAATTTGGTTGGATCCTTACTCATAACAAAGTTTGACAAAATTTTCATTAAAAAGGACATAACTGAACTCTTACAAATAGACGGTAACATCTTGACAAATATCTCACATATTCAGCGATTGCCTCCATTTTTTGTAACTCACCACTAATATCTGCAGTTATGAAGTAAATTGATCCTCTGGATATTCCTTCTTCGTATTTTGTTATTTTCTTCAAAGATTGACAAAGAATGACTACGCTAATAATCCTCCCACTCTACCGATTCACTTTCCAACGTCTCGTGCGTTTCAAAGTTTGCGCCTTTTAAAAAGTGTCATGCAGAGCTAATTAAGAAATAGTTTCGAATTGCCAAGATTTTTGTTAAACAAAAAATAACAAACACTATCTGAATGATTTTTCACTGAAATTGATTTTTTTAAATTAATATAAGTTATATCATTTATTGAATTGGATTTTTTTTTTTACATTATACCTGTAGAGCCATAGTTTCGTATTCAAGTATGGCCGCCTCCATATCAGAGGACAACAAATATCTCTTGGCACTACTCGCCCTCAAACTGAGTACCCTGAGCTATGAAAGTGTATAGGAGAATAGAATACAAAATACGAATGTGGTTCATGTCATAGCTTCTTCACAACCATGTAGCCTGTGCTGTGTCATTTACACACGATGGACAGAAAAATGTGACTTTATAACAGCATGCAGCATCAAAATATAAAGCTTTTCGACGAAAGAATGGTACGGTACAGTACGGACAAGAGATATAATTTTTTAGTTGTCAATAAATTTATGATACGTTTTTACGAAGATTATGAAATTTTTCCTAGACTTCATTTTCTTACAACTTGTTAAAAGTTTGACAAATAGAGAAAATTCGGTCGAACAAAGTTGTGTCGTAAAAAATGAGATAATTTAAAGCACAATATTAATATAGCTGGCCAATTTAAATGATGAAGAAACATTAGTAATTCAATATGAGAACAAAATGCTGTCAATATTGATGCAGTGTTCTTTAAATTACGATCATAATTTAATTATAATCTCCCTTCTAGACAGTTCATAACAGAGTTTTTTTTATTACCCTGAAGAATCTAAGTTATCAATTACATAGAGTAGAAAGTAGTGATTTTAACCCCTTATGTTCCCCTACTCGGCTCTGATCCCGTACTTTCAAAATCAAAACAAAAGCATGTTATTAATTAAATTAGGGACTTGATCAACAATTGCATCTGCATGCAAAAGTTGTATTATGGGAGTAATGAGTGTTTTCTGGCGATCGTTTGTGACAATTATTTTTACATTTTTAGTCTTCATGAAAATTCATGAACATTCATTACCTTGAACTACTAAGTTTTTTTCTTTAAACTGAAAATTACCAATATTCATATTTGTTCATCATTTGTTCATGAACTATGAATTATGAATGTTTTCATGAATTTTATTCATGAACTACTTTTATGAACCTGTTAAGAATCCTTTAAGAACCATTCATGAACAATTATGAACAACTCATAAAGGTTCTTAAAATCATGAATATCATTTCGCAGGGGAAAATACGAAAAATTGTAATGTTTTCTATTACATCAAATACATAAAACTCGAATCAAACAATATTTAGAACTTTCAAATGTCCTTGTATTCATCTCAAAGCTTTTGGACCAGTACGATTTAACGTTTAACAAGTCTCAGGTTAAAGGCATTTGGAGTTTGTGTAATCCCAAAACTTCCCTCTAAAGAAGGCAGACACTCGGGATCCTCGGGTTTTATCTCAAACTTCTGTAGAATTCGGACGAAAAAAAGGAAGAGCTCCATTTTTGCGAGGGCTTCTCCTAAGCACACCCTGGGCCCTGTCACAGCAAAGATAAGGTACGATATTTATGAGTGCACGAGCGATTTCTAAATAATAACTATTAGAGATATTGGCAGTTTAATTTTTTAAACATATTTTTCCTAATATGTTACTTGATGGTTTCTTACAGTTTATATTTTGACTTACGTATTGACCATGATAATTAGTATAATTGATAATTCTGGACCTTTTCTTTTTCAATACTGTAATATCTTATTGTAAATTCATACCCACTGAAAATGAAATTAACTTGTCTTTTAAGTCTTCACGACATCTCCCGTTGTCATCTAAAAACCGCTCTGGTTTAAACTTTGAAGGTTCGGGAAATGTTTCTGGGTCCATCAAGGCGGAATCCAAAAGACACAGTACCGAGGTACCTTTGGGAAAGAGGTGTCCTTTGTATGTGAAGTCTTCCTTGGCTGCATGTGGAGCCGTCATGGGAGTAGTATTTCCAAGTCGCTGAGTTTCCAGAATGAATGCCTCTACCATTGGCAGCTGTTCCTTTTGTTTCATATTTGGCTGACCTTGACCGATTACGTCATCAATTTCCTTTTGAATTCTTTTCTGCCAGTGCGGATAATGGATCAAGAAAAGTAGTGCCCATCTGAGTGTTGTGGAAGAAGTTTCAGTGCCAGCTTGGAACATGTCTCTTAAAGTTTGGTTTAGATTTTTGGCTGCAAAAAAGATGTATGATATTGTGATAATTAACAATCAATAATGTTGCAACAGATGAACTAATGTTATATTAAATATTTGAATTCTAGTAATTGCTACAAAGATCAAATCATTGTAAATAAGCCAAGATAAGATGTCTTCAAACTGTGTTTCGTTTTTGCTGAGGGTGTAACGTAAATATATAATACTTTGTAATATCAATATCAATAAACACAAAAAAGCAAAGCCTAAATGCATATTTGCACACAACACTACATGTTTATAATTAATCAGAATGAACGGTGCACTTATCTTATGATCTCATGGGATTTAACATTTAAATGCCCTTTAATCCCTCCTTCAAACTCCTTCATGATGAATAACCTGTAACTTGTAAATAAAGCTTACGTCGCGGGTTCGAATCCCACTGAGGGACGTGGAGACCGGTCCTTCGGATGAGACCGTATGAAAGGAGGTCCCGTGTTGCAGTAGGCGCTGGTACGAAAAAGATCCCTCACTGCTCAATGGCACGAGCATTGTACAAAATTTACAGTTCTCCACCAGCAAGTGATGGCGTCTCCATATGAGTGAAAAATGTCGAGAGGGATGTTAAAAAAACAAACAAACCTGTAAATAAACTGTTGATTTCATCTGATGTCTGTTTTTGTTCCAGAAGAAAAGCATCAATCAAATCATCGATGTGGTTCTCGTCAAAATTTCTTCTATGCTCCTCTATTATTTCATCAAGAAATGCCCTATAAGCATAAACATTTTTTAAAACTGTGTCGATGTTAAAGATCCTGAATTTGCGTAGAGATGGGAAAATATAAACTGGTGAGGATGTGGTAACGCTACTGAACGCCTTCGACAAGAGATCAATTAAACGCTTGAATCTTGTATCATCATAATCAAATCTTCTACCAAATAAAAGCGAACAAATGACGTTGGCCGTGGATGCATTCAGTAGATTTTTAATATCAAAAGCCTCGTTTTCACATTTTTCCAATTTCCCCATCAAGCAGTCTACTTCTTCCATGATTTGGCTTTCCATGGAACGTCTCCCGAATCCAAACTTACGTAATGTCGTCAGTGCAAACGATCTTGTTTCTTTCCATAAAGAACCTGAGGACCACAAGACACCTGGACAGGTACAAATTAAAAATTAGGACCCAGGTAATTAATAAGAATGTTGATAGAATTGTGAATGATCAAATAAGATGTGATATCTTTCAATATTTATGCTGTAATTCATTTTATTATCAAATGTTTTTAAAGATACACTGATGATAAGGAAATTAAATTGAAAAAAACCCCTTTATTTTACAAATCTCAAGATTTCCCTTTGAGATTTTTTTCTGTGGTATTGTCAACACCAGTGTAAAATTCATCCCAATATGCGAGGGCCTGTCAAAAAGTTTGTGGACATCGCCATTAAATTAAAACCGCTTTAGGAACATCAATGAATTTTGAAATATTTAGCTATCATCATCTTTTCTATCTATAGAATAAACCACAAATCATCAATTTTATTTTTAAATAAATAAGTAAAGTTTTTCTAAGCAATTGTATGTCCAGGCGCCACAATCTCAAAAACGACGTTTTTTTCGACCTAATTGTAACTAAGATAAATTATTTTGATATGAACAATATCCCGTTAATTCAGGTAAATGTTGAGACACTATTGTTCCATAAAATATGGAATTTTTACCTCATTCTGGAAGTTCTATGAATTTTTTTTGTAAATTTTACATGGATTATCCAAACAAATATTGCCTCGAAAATGACAGCAAAAGGAGGGGTTTCCTTTTCCAACATTCTATAAAGTTTTACCCCTGAAAAAACTGGTATACACCTAGAAATTGTTTAAACTGGCTATGGAGAAATAATTTGCATCCAGATTACTTGTTTTTTTTTTTAATGCAAAACTAGATTCAGAGAGAAAAGGGATGCAAATTTAATGTCAATTTGTAGTCAAGGTTTGAAAAATCTATCACGTCAAATAATGGCGTTCATCATGTGCTTTTGCTATATTGAACTCCAAAAATCAAATATGCTGGCACAATCAAGCGAGGATCTCTTTCAATGTATAAATCCATGTGCAATAATATATATGCATTGAAAGCTGCTGTTCATGGCATTGTAAAGTCTTAAAAACAAGACGGATTGAAGTCCTTACTCAGCTCTAGGGAATCTCATCAAAATATGTGTACGAGGTAGAAGAAGCGGACATTGAAAAATAATGACGTTGTCGGACGTCATGAAACTGAGCGGCGACGGTGCCGGGTGATCATATACTGTCCTTTTTATTTTATAATAATTTGGGAAATAATGAACGTATCAAGCTTAAATTTTCAACATTGATTTGTTTTTGTTGTTTTATGTTCCTTATAAATTTTGTAAGCTCAAACAACATAGTACTAATTTAATAGCTTCAGTCCACGAACTTTTTGATAAACCCTCGTACATGTAAAGATTTGTTATCGTTCTGTGCATGGACTCACTGTGACACATAAAATGTATATAAAATTCGCATGGATTTCATGTGAAACCTTTACACGAGAAAGCGACGATAAATAGTTATGAATTTTACATGAAGAACCTATCGCATAAATATGGTGCAATAAAAACTTCACGTGAACGTTATTTAAAAAATTACGTGAAAATCATAAAAACTTATTCACCCCATATTCGCATGTAAAAAATAATCATATTATTCCTACGTGATTTACACATACTTTTCAAATAAAAGGATAAGCATATGAAAATCGTGTAAACCACATAACCCTGTGTGTCGCCTCACCTCTAAGACTTGAAAGTGAACTGTTTTCATTTTCATCTATCATACCAAGAATCAGAAATGAGATATAAGCATAAGTTAAGAAATTACCATTTCCTTCTGCAATGTCAGTGGAAAGCAACCTTGGTCGCTCAGAGAAGATATCACCATGTTTGACCAGTAATGCCCGGATGTTGTCGAATCCGTTTACAAAAATGATAGGTTTATGGAAGATCATTATGGTATAGATGTCCCCATAAATCTTCCTTAGTCTCCTGTGAGCTGTCAATGCCTCTGATGGTTTGAAGAGTCCGACATTGCCGATGATGGGGTAACATGTAGGACCAGGAGGAAGTCCTTTTGGTCGTCCAGTCAGGCTCCATATCAAAGATAGTAGTACGACAACAATGGCCAATGTCACCCACATTATGTCAAATGTTCTACATGGAGTCCTACATTCGTTGAACTTATTTGTATGGTGTCATTTATGTGCCAAAAAATATTTCTCCTATCTCCTGTTCTGATTTCTTTTTTTGGTCGCTTACACAGTAAAGCGACACTTGGGATTATTTTCCCCGGCATCCTTCTGTCTTTACCTCTGTCACACTTCGTGTTCGGAGTACTATTAGAGGTAGGGATTTGATTTTTGGGTGTATTGCTTGGAATATGTTTTTTTTAAAATACATGTAACAGGGCTACTGACCTCCGGACATTATTCTCGGAACCACTATTTCAACAATGTCCCATATTTCCGATACGCACACAATATATTTTGAGTTTTTAGCTCACCTCAACGAAGTTGGGGGAGCTTATGTAATAACCCTCGGCGTCGGTGTCGGCGTCGGCGTCCCGGGTTAAGGTTATGTTTTTTGGAGCAGTTTTCTTTTTAAGTACTTCTATGTCCTATATTGATTAGTCATGCATGGAAGATGTTTCTTGTGTGTTTCATTGCACCAGTCAAAGTTTCAGATGCTGTAATTTCAGCAAAAGAATGACCAGGTTAATGTTTTTGGAGCAGGTTAACATTTTTGGTGCAGTTTTTGGTGTAGGTCTCATTTCCGAGTAACTATAAGCCCTATATTGACCAAACTTGCATGAAGGATACATCTAAGGATGCATACTACCAGACTTGCTTCGGATGCTGAATTTGACCTACATTTTCCGGTTGAGTGAACAGGTTAAAGTTTTTGGTGCAGGTGTCATTTCAAACATACTATGAGCCCTATAATGAACTTGCATGGATGGTACATCTTAGGATGCATACTACCAGACTTGCTTCGGATGCTGAATCTGACCTACATTTTTTGAGTGAACAGGTTAAAGTTTTTGGTGCAGGTGTCATTTCAAAGACACTATGAGCCCTATAATGACCAAACTTGCATGGATGGTACATCTTAGGATGCATACTATCAGACTAGCTTCGGATGCTGAATCTGACCTACATTTTCCGCATGAGTGAACAGGTTAAAGTTTTTGGTGCAGGTTTCATTTCCAAGTTACTATGAACCATATAATGACCACACTTGCATGGGTGGTACATCTAAGGGTGCATTCTACTAGGCTGGCTTCGGATGCTGAATCTGACCTTCATTTTCTGGATTATTGAAAAGGTTAGCTTTTTATACAGGTTTCATTTCCAAGTAACTTTGAGCTCTATGTTGAGCAAACTTGCATGGATAATACATCTTAGGATGCACACTAATGGACTTGCTTCAGATTCTGAATTCGACATGCATTTTCCAGATCATGGACCTCTTAAAAGTTATGGGTGCAGGTCTATTACCAAGAAACTATAAGGCTTATATAAACCAAACTTGCACAAATGATGCATCAAGGGATAAAAACTCTCAAACATGCTTCAGATGCTGGATTTTAATTACGTTCTTATGATGAAGAACTAGTTTGAAGTTTTTATATAGATCTATTCCAAAGTATCAAATCAAAATTGTATAAATTTTGCATTTTTGGATGTACACTTTTTGTTGGTTAATTGTGTGACTTTGCCTTACTTAAAGACAACATTCGTTGAGGTGAGCTCTGTAATCTCTGATTACCTATGTTTAGGTTTGCAGGGGATGCTCACTCCTCCATGACACCTGATCCCATAAACATATTTGATATTGAATACTGTTTTTAATCTCCATATCCTTCATTTGCATGACTTGTCATAAAATTAACATGCTGAAAAATATCGGTAACGCAGTCTAAATGACATTGACCTTTGACATATTTTCAAGAACACTCCAAACCGTAATGCTAGCTTTTGTAAATTGCAGGCGACGCATATTTATATCTAAATCTTTACGATGGGTTCCTTGTTAAATATATATCATGTATAAAACATGTTCCATTTGTAAAATCTTGCTTAAAGTTATATAACATATGTTTATGTTTCCGGATACATTGGATCCAAGTGTGAAAACCATTTTGTCGGAGGGAAGTTATACAAATTGTTACTCTGAATGTAACACGTTATTTTCTAGTTCCCTACAGGTGAAATCGAAGGAGACTTTAGCTATCCTCTGAGTCTGTCCGTCCGTCTGTCTAACTATCCGTCCGTCTGTTCCTCTGTCTTCTCTGTCTCTCCCACTTTGTTTTCCTCACTTTTTAGCTCACCTGAGCCGAAGGCTCAAGTGAGCTTTTCTGATCAAAATTTGTCCGTTGTCGTCGTAAACTTTTCACATTTTCATCTTCTTCTCTAGAACCACTGGGCCAATTTCAACCAAACTTGGCACAAAGTATCCTTGGGTAAAGGGGATTCAAGTTTGTTCAAATGAGGGGCCACTCCCTCTTCCAAGGGGAGATGATTATGAATTAGTGAAAAATTAATAGCATTTTCAAAAAATCTTCTTCTCAAGAACCACTGGGCCAGGAAAGATGAAACTCATGTGGAATCATCCTCAGGTAGTGTAGATTGAAGTTTGTTCAAATCATGACCCCCGAGGGTAGGGTGGGACCAAAATGGCCGATCAAAGTTTTACATAGGAATATATAGGAAAAATCTTTAAAAATCTTCTTCTCAAGAACCACTGGGCCAGGAAAGATGAAACTCATGTGGAATCATCCTCAGGTAGTGTAGATTGAAGTTTGTTCAAATCATGACCCCCGGGGTAGGGTGGGGCCAAAATGGCCGATCAAAGTTTTACATAGGAATATATAGGGAAACCTTTTAAAATCTTCTTCTCAAGTACTTTAAAGCCATACTTAGTGATATTTATAGGGAATCATCTTAGGTAGTGTAGATTCAAGTTTGTTAAAATCATGACCCCCTTGGGGGGTTAAAATTCATGCCCCCTCCCCCCTCAGTAAACTTTCAGTTCTGATCTGATATGTGCTTTTTCCTAGCCAATTGCTCAGGTGAGCG